CTAAAAGAGGGTAAGAGTTCAGAGCCTTTTATTGTCAGCTAGGAGGCATCAAGGAATGTCACTGACTTGTCAGCTGAGATTCTGAATGGAAGCTTGCGTGCGCATGCGTGCGTGAACCTTTACCTGTACAACATGCTGGATCGAACGTTTTGTCTGACCTTAAGCTGAAAGTTTAAAAAACAAGTTTTATTTTGTTCAATTATTTTCAGTATGATCAGTTTTGACAACACTTCTTTAGCTGTATAAAATCTATGAGATTTTGCTTACTAATATTCTCTCTTTACTGTATTCAACGGTCAAACATGAAGTCAAGAATCAACTGACAGAAGAGAAAAAACTGGTGCTAACAGAACTTGTCATTTAAAAGTCATATATTGATGATTTGCAGATATAATCCAAGTGTTCCAAAATATTCCTTTTGTTATCATCCGAAATGGAACCTTCTGCATACTGATCCCAAATTTTGAGCGTGTACACTTTCAACCCACTGGTTGTTAGCTCCAGTCCACAAAATGCACGTCGTCTGTGAGGGGCAAGCAACAGCACTGTGTGTTTTGTGACAGTACAGCTGCACTCAGAGCCCATCAGCATGTCAAAGCCCATCAAACTGATATCCTGCAAAATGCTGCCTTAAAACCCATATTCTTTGGGACGCTGTTGGACGAGTGGTTAGGGCCTGCGCCCCATGTACAGAGGCTGAAGTCGTCGAAGCGAGCGGCCCAGGTTCAAATCCAACCTTTGGCTCCTTTCCCGCATGTCATTTACCACTCCCTGTCCCTAATTTCAAACTCTATCCACTGTCCTGTCTCACAAATAAAAGCACATAAAGCCCCCCAAAAAGAACTTTAAAATTGAGACATTGGCTAAGATGATGGAGTGGCAGCTCTTTTTGAATTCTAGTCTTCTTATCAACTCTAGAAACTTAATAATACTTCTTTTGAAAGTTTTTTTTTAACCATTTTTTGAAAACCTTTCAACCATTTTATTTGTTATAGTCTACAGCCCTCCTGGCCTCAGATTTTATGTCTGAAGTTTTTATTATCAACAGTAGTCCTTAGCACTGATAACATAACAATCATAGGTGACTTTAATATTCACGTTTTCATGTCTTTATTGAGCTCACGTGGCTTCATCCAGAGTGTAAATAAACCTACCATCTTATCAGGAATAAATAATCTTCAGTTCACCTACTACTACTACTTTCACTGCTCCAAAGATCAGAACTGAACTGGGGAATAAGGTCTTTAGATGTGCTGCTCCTTTTAGTCTTAAAAGCTTCCAATGATATCCACTCATAAAAATTCTGGTCTTTTTGTAATTTGTTCAATGAGTGGGTATCATTGGAAGCTTTTAAGTGGATTTTTAATTATTTGTGAATGTTCAGCCTTGTATTTTTTATTAATGTGTTGTTTTTTTTCATTATGGTTGGTTTGAACAAATATGTGTTGTTTAACGTAGTAATTGTTTCAAACTTTAACTGTGCTGCTGCTTGTCAATCAATCAATCTTTATTTGTATAGCGCCAATTAATAAGAAATGTTATCTCAAGAAACTTTACAAAAAGAGCAGGTACAAAACTGTACTCTTTGTTCTGTTATTTACAAAGACCCAACATGAATCCACCGTGAGCACTTAGCAACATTTATCAAAGTTACAGTGGCAAGGAAACACTTATCTTGGCCAGGTCACTCGTGGATGTGGAAGTGTTCTACTGTTTAAATTAAGGTTCATTTAAAAGATGTGTTTCCTGTAAAAAAAATAAAGTAAAATAAAAAGGACATGATATACAGGGATAAAACTACTCAGAGGGATTTTGATACAGCTGTTTCATCATTTTAGCCCTGACTGCAAAACCTTTCAAGTATTCTTTTTGCAAAACAAGATTACTGCACCAAATGAAGTTCCTTTATATTGACAAACAGAATAGTAAATGCAGTTTAAATCTACACTGTCCCAGTTAAGTGGAGGAGAGGGAGCATTGATTTATTTACCGTCAGCTCTTGCCTTTGTGAGTTGTGGTAACAAAAGCTAAAAAGGGGAAGTAAATAAAAATCAGGAAACACTTAGTCGTCCCTTTGTCTCTACATGAGGATGGTCATTTCATGCTGCTGCAAAGTGAAATGGAACACACACAGATATGATGAAATCATTTGCTGTCTGCACGTGTAGGATGGTCTTACTTACAAGTCTAGTTTAAAGGTCTGCTGGCATCTTGCATAATGACCTACATTAGTCAGAAGTGTGACAATCTTATCGAGAACCAACAATCTTCAGTTCCAGGGCTTACTTTTACTGTCTGCTCCAAAGACCAGAACTGAACTGGGGACTAAGGTGTTTAGTTTTTCCAGTTCTAATTTGTTATGGTGCAGATGTGCGCACAGATTTATTCTTAAAAACTTTGCTCTGTATTGTGCTAAGCTCCTTCTTCATCCCTCTACTGGAAGTTTGTTATAGTAACTAGGCAGCCCAGGAGGTGACAAATATGAAAAGACAAAAAAACCTGTTTTATTAAAACTATGCAAACAACAATCCAAGAGGGAGGTCACGAGGTGCCTTCCAAAAGATTGTTTGTAATGGTATGTTTTACCCATTATTGTCAAAATAGATGCAAATAGTAGTTCTTTTTTTTAAGAAAACCATAACATTACGTGAAACCGAATTTAAATGACCTTGGGAAAATATTTAAATGTCAGTTTGCACATAAAAGCAACCACGTACTGTAGGTGTCTGCTGCTCTTCACATAAAGATGAACACACCCCTCTGTGTCTATTAAGTTTAGTCTGTCAGTGCTGAAGTCTAAACATGGAAATCACTTTTATTTAGCTTTTAGCCCTTTTTCATAAATTAATTTGCAAAATGATTTGATAGTTTCTGAGCTGTTGCTTTCTTGTGTGTGGGGCGTAGCTGTGCCCTGTGTTACATGCTTGTTGTCACAATCAGTTGAAGAAACAAAGGTGGAGCCGAAGTTACAAAATAACACATAAAAACTAACCTAGAAAACACACAAGGGAAACAACACCATCAGGGAAGAATGAGAACTAAATACAACAAGAAAATCGACAAAATAATAAAACCAAATCATGACACTTTTACTAAATCCAGGGACTTACTTTCTCGAACTGAAACCTGGATGTGTCAGGATGAGAATGTTAGTTTAAATGAATCCACCCCTCCCAGTCATTTTAATGCTCATGTACCTCAAGACACTGGCCGAGGTGGTGGAGTGGCAGCTGTTTTTAATTAAATGAATTAAACTTCTTTTTAAAGCCTTGTCCTCAGGATTTTTTAAACCATTTTTTGAAATCCATTTTAATTGTTATAATCTAAAACCGTCCTTGCCCATAGTGAGAGTTTCTATTTGAATTTGCAGAGTTTTATCCAATTTAATCCTGAGCACTTATAAAATAATAATCATAGGTGACTCTAATGTTCACATGTACATTGATAATGACGGCGTTAGCACAGCTTTCATATCTTTATTGGACTCACGTGGCTTCACCCGTATATGAACCTACTCATTGTTTGAATCACACCCTGGACCTTGTTCTAGCATATGGCCTTGAAACTGAAAACTTAATAGTCTTTTCAGCAAGCCCTTTTTTATCAGATGATTTCTTAATAACATTTGACTTCGTCCTACCAGACTTGACCCTCCTTAATAACAATATGCTCTATAGAAGTGTGTGACATTACTGATGCTACATTTAAGGAAGCAATACAAGCAGCTTTTAATTCAGCTGGATCAGTTTGTAGTTACTCTTGATTCAATTGCCCCTTTGAAACAGAAGATTATTGAATGGCAGAGACTAGCTCAGTGCTTTACTTCAGAAACTGGAAACCTAAAACAAACATTGCGAACATTTTCAAGAATATGGTAATCAACCAAATAAAAGGATCCAGTTTACTTTGGCAAGTAAGAAAGTCAGGAAAAATATGAAGTCATGACATTTTGGCTACTTAATTCGGAAAAGACTGAAGTTATTACGCTTGGCCTTAAAAACCTCAGAGAGATATTTTCTAATGATAGAACTGTCCTTAAAGGCATCAGTCTGTCATCCAGCTCCAGCTCTTCGTTACGCTGCTTTAGGGTTAGATCGCCGGGGGACCTGGCACTTTGCGCTCCTGTGTCTCTCTTTACCTATCTACATATGTACAGTATTGACATCATATTATTGCATGTCATCATCTGTAAATAGTCATGTACCATAGGTTCCTCTGGATTGTTTGTGTGGAACCCCATCGGTCCAACGCATTTCATTGTCCTTAAGATCGATAAATAAGACTGATCAGTCTAATATAGTACTTTGTTGTTACTGCTAATACCACACATACTTTTACCAGTATCACTGGCATTGTAGCTATACATCTATCTAATTCATTGATGTTTTGTTGTTGTTGCTTTGTTTGACTCTATCTGTATCTTTTTTTCCTCATCTCCCCTCTCAAGCTCAACACAACTATTTCAGATGGCTGTTCAACATGATTCAGGTTCTGCTCCGGGTTTTTCCTATTAAAGGCATTTTCCTTGCCACTTGTGACTTTGCGTAATGTTTCTTAGCGTAAATAATATGACAAAGAGTAAGGTCTAGACCTGCTCTTTTTCTAAAGTGTCTGCAGATAACATTTGTTGTGAATCGGCGCTATAAAAATAAAGCTTGATGATTGAAAAGCAATTCTACATCATTGTTAGTATTCTGTAATTTTCTTTAGGCAAAATGTTCATCAAATGTCTGTGTCTCTGTAATTTATCTTTCATTTTCACGTTGCAAATGGAGCTGTTATGATTCAGGCCAAGTTTCAGACTTTCTCTGACAATAAAGTTATCAATCAATCAATCAATCAATCAATCAATCAATCAATCAATCAATCAATCAAGCAGTTATATGAGTGTCGGGAAGTGAACAGTGAAGATAAAGCAACAATCAACTTTCCTTATTGTTGCAATATCTGGGGCAGTTCCTTATCAGTTCCGTATTGAGTATGTATATTAGAGGCCATGTTCCTCCTTTTGGCATTCACTTCATCTCGTTGGCATTCAGACTGACGCATCAGGAGGAACCAGACTAACTACAGCTTTGGGTAAGAGTGGGTATCATGTTTTTGTATGGGGCTTCATTGATAAAAAACATTCTGAAGATTTTCTCTGTTCTGATTAAAGTAACAACATGTAACTTTTCTTCTTACGAAGTAGTTCCAAAGACGATCTAATAGTGTCAAGACTTTCAACAGGGAGAATAGTGTCTCTCTCATGTCCACAGTGTGGCCCGGTCACCTGCTCTTAATACTATATGACTTTGAGGGCCATGGTCAACCTGCGAGAAGTGCATGCAGCTTTGCAGCACTACAGTTCCGTATCCCAACATTTCAATGGCCTATAGGCTAAGAGACAGAAGAAGATGGTGACATATTAAGCTAAGAATATAACAAGAAAGAGTTGCCAAGAAAGAGGTCTGACTGGATTGTTTTTTGGGTTAGGGTTAGGCTGTATCGTCATCCTTGTCTCATGTTTAGCAGCTTTACCGGGGGCATAAAGTCATCACATCCAAGTTGTGTTTCTGGTTTGCATACAAATAAATAAATCTATCCGGCACCAAAAAGTTGCATCTTCGCTGGCCGATCTTAAAGTCAGCTTTATAGGTTTATAGGACATAGGTTTTTAAGTACAAGTCTTACAAACCTATCCCAATTAATACCTAACCCTCTTCAATGTAGCCGTTTAGCCATGGAAAATACACCTCATTATAAAAGGTGAATTCAAATACTCTTAAGTTATTTTTGCGCAAAATCCAGTAATATTAATCTACCTTGTAAGTCGGTATGGATCTTTACCATCTCACAGTATCATTGCCCTCTGTTTGTCAACAGATGGCCGTTATCTGTAGAGGAGGATGCAGCAGCGCTGTGTGTCATAGGACAGTGCAGTGGCACTCAAAGAGAGTCAGCGCCAAAGCGCACTAAACCAAAATCCTACACATTGGTGCTTTAATTTTAACAACAATGATCTAAATTCATAACAGACATATCAGAATCAACGTGTGAAGGAACTTTGTTATGTTGTATATGAACATCCTCTAAACAAAGGGTAGATTTCAGAAGGGGAAAACTGTCCAAAAGTGATCCCATGATTCTGATTTGTTTGGTATGAAGGATGTTCTTTTCCACCTTAATTTCCACCTTTTTGTTCTAAATGCGTTCCCCTCTGAGTCCGGGCCAAAGCCCTACAAGAGAGCGAGTTCTGTTTCTGGTTCCTATTATTCACGTTTTTGGAGTCTAAATAGTTTTTTTAACAGATTTGTTGAGATTAGTAATCTAGAGACGTTGAGTAAAAAATGTACAACATGGATGCTCTGTCTCTGTCATCATGTTAGTGTGTGCACCTCTCTGCAGCCTAAGTGCTCCTGTGTCCACCCTGTTCACCCCCCTCCCCCCCACCCCCAGTAGTGATATGCATATCCATATCCAGAATTGACAAAATAAGTGCCTTTACTCTCATCTTAATTCAATCATGTTGTCATGTGGTTTCTTTCACAGAACGAACAATCAGCTCTTTCACAGACCTCAACTGACTGAGAAATCCTTCACCAAAGGCTGGATAGTACATCTACTTACAAGTACTGTGTTGAGTACAATATAAAGGTAATTTAAGCTACTTTAAGCTTTTTAAGTGGTTATGAAAATGTTTGACTTTAATACCAATGCCTCTTTATGAACTAAAAAACAAACAACATCAGCAAGGACAAGACATAATATAGCTATAAGGACATTTTCAGAATAACTTTTAAGAGACATACAATAGTGGTGTGATAGCCTTGTGGTTATGTGGAGGCTGTGGTCCTAGTGGCAACGTCTGTGGATTTGAGTCAGACCTCGGCCCTTTGCTGCATGTCACTCCCCACTCTCCCCTTCTAACATTTTCTGTCTCTCTTCAACTATCTCATGAAATAAAGACAAAAATGGGCAAATAGAATTATTCTGCCTAGTGTTATATCATTGATCTCCAAACGTTACGGCTTTATGAGTCTTTGTACATAATAGTGAAATGTTTGAGAACCCTGTCACGTCAGATACTTGCTTATGGATTCACTTTTACGTCCGATTGACTTTAATAAAAGTTATCCTCAACTGTATTGTCACCTATCAATCACTCAATCTTGCCAATGCATCCTATTCATAGATAGCCTAATACAGGATTACAAAGAATAATTTATCTAAAAATGGAGGAAAACTCTGTATAATTTCTGTTTTATAGGATAAGAAAACCAGAACTCTGTCTGGTTTATAATCCTGTTAATGAAAATATGAAAAAAATATAATTATTTGTGACCATCTCCTTTTAATCTCCAAACAGTGAAGATGTTTCTGCGCTGCTTGCTGGCACTGCTGGCTTTAACGTCACTGAGTTTTAGCACCAATCCCGGAGTACAGGTCAGACTAACAAAGAAAGGACTTGAATATGGTAAGTTTTCCTGTGCGGTGTTGTCACAGTTTTAAAGTACTGATCTCTGCACAGTTTCATCAACATATTTTCTAACCTTTTGATATAGGCAGACAACTGGGGATGGCTTCGATACAGCAGAAACTCAAAACCATCACGATCCCAGATATGTCAGGGAAAGTGAAGTTGAGACCTGTTGGCAAGGTCAAGTACAGCCTGACAAAGTAAGGCAACCATTTACCCTCTTGTCAGTTCTGTAAGAAATATGGACAGTAGTTTGGTGTCATTTTAAGGACCTTCATGAAGAAGCATGTTTTCTCTTCCAGTATGAGGGTGAAGAGTGTGGGGCTACCACAGTCTCAGTTAAGTCTGGTGCCAGGGACTGGTTTAAAACTGGGCATTGGAAACGCATTTCTCAGTATGAATGGAAACTGGAGGGTTAAGTTCCACCGAATTCTGTGAGTGAAAAGATGACTTACTACTAGCTTACATAGTTGAAGTTTTGTGTGATATGTAGCTTATGCAGCAGTGACTCCTCTCTCTTAAAGGAGGACCCACGGCTCTTTTGATTTGAACGTGAAAGGACTCACAATTGCAACAAGTATTGCTGTCAAGAGTGATGAGACAGGCCGACCTGATGTCAGTACTGTCAGCTGTGCAGCAACGGTCGGCAGTGCACACATCAAATTCCACGGTGGAGGAAGGTAAAATGTTACCCTGCTCTGTCCTATGTTTGTACCCATGAAGGTGGATGAAATATTTTCAGTTTTACTGGATGTGCTTGATACCCTTCATATATTGTAAGTCCTGTGGTTGCTTTTTGTTTCAGCTGGCTGTACAATCTCTTCAGTAAGTTCATTGATAAGGCTCTGCGAAAAGCACTAGAGAAAAAGGTGAGAGCCAACAACCCATAAACTTACTATTCATGATGATCATCCTTTCCTCTCACAGGTTATATTTACCAAAGTACCTTCCTTTAGCATGGGGGTCCATCCTACATACATGTGAAATCTCCAACAAAGATTTCCATATTCTACCATTCTTGTCTCATGTCTGATTTTGTCCAACACAGGGTTCCCGTCTTATTTTATATTTCATAATGCTCTAAAAATGTTCAATGGGGACAAGGCAGGACAGTCAAACTCTTTTACTATGGAGCCATACTGATGTAATATGTTCACAATATGGTTGGCATTGTCTTAAAAATACATTGTCGATTTGTTTCCATTGTCGGCATCATATTATGCCCCAAAACCTGTATATGGTTCAGCATCAATGGTGCCTTCCAAAATGTGCAGGTTAACTATGCCATGTACACTTATGTACCCCTATACCAACATGGATGCTGGTTTTGATTATTATTTGATTTGCCTCAGTCCAGTCCCACCCCAGAGAAGGCCATGATAATTCTGGTTCATTTATGGTTTCCTCTTTGCATCGCAAAGTTTCAGCTAGTCTGTGTTCACAGACAATGGTCTTGCAGTGCTGTCCAATACAGAATCATATCATTTATCATAGCATTTTCTGGTTTTATATGCCTTTTAGTGTGTTTTCCAAGTGTCCTGTGCATGTTTAGGCACATCTATGTGCAAAAATTCAAAGTCCATGGAAATGCGGCCTCTCCTACGTCCTCCTGTTAGCTGTAGCATTAGCCGCATGTAACGCTCGGTTCTAGCCCCCCTCGATAAAAATTGTCAGTCCGACGTCATTGTCAGTGTGAGATCACTGATCTAAGCCCATTGGCTCGTTGTGGCAAGCCCTGCAGCTCATGTTGAAATTTCCGAGACGCGTGCTGAGCAACTGACCAATAACGACAGAGTGAATCGGCAGACCAATCAAAGCAGACTTGGCCCACGTGGGGTTTAACAGTGTGGGCTCAACAGAGTGTAGCTGACAGACTCAGAGCGTAGAGGGAGCAAGGAGGAGCAGTTCATGAAAACAGACACTTTTTTCGGACTTTAGCTATTGTGAACGTACAAAAGTAGGTACATAGATTAAATATACGAACCCCAAGAAGGGAATAATATGGGCTCTTTAATGTAGAGCCATCTAAGGGCCCAAATTTATGGCCACCAAGCATTGTTTTTTTGCCTCGTCCCTTGCAGAAATTTCTCCAGATTATCTGAATCTTTCAATTATATTATCTGATGTAGACATTGTGACACAGAGAATCTTTGCAATTATGTGTCCAAAAAAAACCCTTATACTTAGTGTTGCACTATTTGCCAGCACAGTCACTATAGGTATGTAGAGTTTAAAGTACAGCATTATTAGAAGCTAAGTGTATTGAAAAAAAACAAAAGAGTATGAGAATGTGACTAGAGGCCCCAGCTAGACCAGTTTTTATGAGGGGTCACAACCCAGAGGGTCCGTTGTCACTGGATTCATCCCTAACAATATATTTGTATTTTAGAAGCTCATTGCATGTCTAAATATTTCTTTCATTTGAGTAAATTTGAGTAAATTTGGGCGGATGTTTAATCATGTATCAGAAATGGAATTACTAAATTAAGTACCTCAAAACTGTGCTTAAATACTTAAGTGATTTGTGTTGTCAGGAAAATATTATTAATAAAGAATGAATCATTTTAAAAGAGAGAAAATTTATATTTTTAGTCTCAAGGCCGGGACAGGACGAGCTGTTTTTTTTCTGGTCAGTAATCATTGTGTAACATGAAGTTCCTTTTATCATCTGTTCTTTATTGTTGCAGCTCTGCCCTCTGGTGGCTGGCGCTGTGTCTGATTTGAATCCTGAGCTGAAAACCCTCAATGGTAAAATACTCTATTACATAAAGTTGAATACTTCATTTATCCTGAACATTTGACAGACTTTCTATCTTCCTGCAGTTTTGGCCAAAGTGGACAAGTTTGCTGAGATTGAATATTCCATGGTATCATCGCCCACAGTGTCAGCATCTTCTCTGGACTTGGGCTTGAAGGTAATCAGTGTAAAGCAAACAGAACCGTTTTTTGATTTTTTTATCTTAAGCCTTAGTTTAACAGTGTAAGGTGTAAGGTATTTGAGATTTTAAAAAAAATATGAATTAGACTATACAAATAAAGATTGATTTATTGATAGTTTTACTTTGAAGAAATGGACTGTTGAATTCACAGCTTTTCTCTCTTTGTGTTTCTTTGTAATTTAGGGTGAATTTTACAATATCGGGAAGCACCAGGAGCCTCCATTTCCACCCCCCAGTTTTTCTCTCCCACCCCAGGTCAATGAAATGTTGTACATCGGTGTGTCCACCTTCACTGCCAACTCTGCCACTTTTGTCTACAACAAAGCTGGAGTCCTCAGCATGAACATCACAGATGACATGGTTAGATGCCTCCTCTTTATTGTTTATCTACATTCACGATGCAACACAGATCTATTACTAACTAGCTCTGTAAAAACAGGTCCCACGAATCTCTCCCATCCGTCTTGACACCAACACATTTGGAGCCATCGTCCCGCAGGTAACAACCCATTTCCATGTCAAGAGAAGAATATTCTCACTGGCAGTTTGTCAGCTATATCTTCTTGTATTTTTAGATTGCAGAACGCTTCCCAGGTCTGAAGATGAAACTGCTGCTGAATGCCCCAAAAGATCCGGTCATCAGTTTTAAGCCCAACAACGCCATGGTTCAAGCTACTGCCGCAATGACGGCCTATGCCATCCAACCCAATGCTACGCTTACGCCTCTCTTTGTTCTTAACTTGGTAGGTGACACAGCTGGCACGATGGAAGCTGTGTATGTTTAAAAACCACTAAAATGAAAACTTGCTCACCATATTGTCTCTACAGGACATTAGTGTCAGTGCCCGAGTGTTTGTCAGTGGAATGAAGATTGCTGGGGCCATCACCCTAAACAAGTGAGTTACTAAAATAATCACTGCATGCTCTCAGAAGCAAAAAAATAGGGCCAAGAGGTCCTTGTAAAGATGAGCGTCACTGAATAATTTTCTCCTAATCTGCACAGGATGGGTCTGACCCTGGGGACTAGCAATGTTGGAGATTTTAAGGTGAGAGCTGCATTCTAACATGAGTCACAAAGTGAATCATCAGTACCAACCGTATACACTAACCCCATCCTCTAACCTGCAGGTTGGGTACCTCGACAGCATCCTCAAAATTGTCCTCAAACTGGTAGTGATACCTCAACTGAACAGTGAGTTCTTGGATTTTCAATAACTAAGTCATATGTATGGAGTATGGAGTTTTGCGGTTAAATATATAGATTCTGATGTGACTGTAATTAAACATCTCCACTAGTTTTACTTTAGCATTATTTTTCTTCTTAAGAAACTGTGCCAAATATAATTTAAAGCCTTTCTTATGCAAAGAAAACCAGTTGTTCCCCACCTTTAACAGTAACACTTTTAAATATATATAAATGTCGGGGCGCTAGTAGTGTACTGGTTAGTACGCGCACCCCATGTACGAAGGTTATAGTCCTCTAAGCGGGCTGCCCTGGTTTGAATCCGACCTGTGGCTCCTTTCCTGCATGTTATTCCCAATTCTCTCTCTATATATAAGTATAGAGAGAGAGAGAGAGAGTAGGAAATCAGGGGGAGGTAGAGATTAGGGAAAGACATGCGGGAAAGGAGCCACAGGTCAGACTTGAACCTAGGGTGCCCATTTGAAGAACTATAGCCTCTACACTGTACATGGGGCACATCCTAACCCCAAGGATGTGCTTTCGCTAAATAACACATTTTTCTGAAAACAAGTCTAGATATGATGTTTCCCTGTTGGATTTATGTGACTCAGTAACATAAACATGTCAATTTTTCTTCTTAGTTCGTCTCGCAGAGGGATACCCACTTCCTACTCTTGGAAAGATGAAGCTTGCGAACACTCAGCTTCAGGTCCTTCAGGTCAGACACTGGATGTTTTTCTATTATAATGCATATTTTTTTTATGATATCATAATATGATGTGGATATTTTAAATGTGTATGATCAACTGAATTCAGAAATTTATACTGACTATGGGTGGTGATCTTCATTTTTTCCAGGACTATATGCTGATTGGAACAGATGTCCAGTTCACGCCTTAAAAGTTCCATCTGGAAACTCCTAAGAATCTTGACTGTACTGTGGCATGCCAGTATAAAGACATGGCAAAAGCATCAACAAGTACAAATATTGGTTCTCCAGAGAAATATGTCATAGAAATATCTTCTTTTTTTTTTATTTAGCTTTCATGTTCAATGTGTAGAATGTGTTGATCCATAACATACTGCAGCTTTGAGAGTCCCATTAAAATGACAAGACATCAGTCAACCACCAACACATTAAACAAAACAAATTTTGTATTATGTATTATAGAGGCCGAGCTGTGGCTGAGAGCTCGGCCTCTCAGGCTTTGGGACATGGACGACAATATCTATAATATAGACACACAAAACACAAAACCTCAAAGAATAAACGACTAGCAAGATTAATCATTAAAAGTAGAAAAAAACAGAAAGTTCTTGAATGTGATGATTATTTAAACAATGTCCAGCTTCCACTTAATCTTTACCCTTGTCCTTATCTCATTTCATCTCACTTTATCCATTTTTTTATTTTGGTATGTTACAACTAATCAGGAGATGTTGTGTAACTGAAAAACTGTGTTGAATTTTTCTTACTCGTGAATCCTTTTTTACTTGACTGTATTTGAAGAAATTTGACCTTATATGTATTTTTGCAAATTTTTAATAAACTGGTTTGAAAATTCATTTTGTATTGAGGTTTGTTTTCAGTTTTTTTTTTACATAAGAAAAGTGACAAATGTATGTGTGTAAATGTAGGCAGTACATTATGCTATCATTGAGGGTTTGGGTAGGGATGGGTAGCTTTATATTTTGTATTTTGTACATTAGGCAGCGATTTGTACTTTTCAAGTTGAAAACTAAATTACAGTGGGCTTCTCTGTATGCTGCTCCGCTCAGATCTTAGTGCTGCATTTGACAAACTGACAATCTGACCTATTACAGAGACACGAAAAATGTACTTGTCATTACAGAAATAAGTTTAGGTTGGCTGTAATTGTATTTATCAGATTGATCTAGTTTTTACATGCTAATGTTACGTTTTCTATGCACAGCACGGTTAGCCATTAAGTTCCACAAGGTCCTGCGCTACAAGCGATCTTTTTACCCTATATGCTTCCTCTTGGTAATATCATGACGAAACACTACATAAATGTTCATTATTTTGCAGATGATACTCAGTTATACATATCAATGAAGCAAGATTACACCAATCCGTGGTGTGGTGTAGCCACCAATGTAAACTAGAAGCATGCCTTAAGGACATTATGACCTGGATGAATAGAAATGTATGCTACCTAATTTCAGACAAGACTGAAGTTATTGTGCTTGGCTCTTGAAACCTCAGAGAGAACTTTTCTATTGATGTAACTGCCCTAAAGCCCAATTCACACATACTACGTGCGCGCCGCGGTCCGTCAGCGCCGTACACTACGTTGTACTTAGCTTCCACTCTAGTCAATCATTGTGCTCACACAGGGCGCGCTGCGATCCGTCTCTGGAGCGTACCTCCAATGCCACTACGCTCTGCTCCGTTTCAAATATGCAGCGAGTCTATTTTCGCCGGAGTACGCTGCAGGCAAGTGTCAAGCTGGACAGAATATGACAGCCCGGGCAGAAATTCAGACAAGGAAACGCACAGAGCATCCGGTCAATTTCAAAATAAAACACAATATACAGACTCGCGATCGTATTTTTCATCACTTTATCAACATTACGTCAAAACAGGTACCGAATTAACAACAATGCATCCTCAGAAAGACAAAGCAAAATGTTGTTTGCATGTTTTCTCTCTTTATTCCCTCGGGATCTTGTAGTTCTCCTGTGATGTGTCAACAAAGCAGAAAAACTAGTTCTTGTATTTGTCCGAGGTCCGATTAATGCCATTCTAGTTTATCGGGCTGCTCTAGTAACCCCAAATGTCTGTTTAATACAATCGACTGATTAACCCTCCTCGACAAATCCCTACTGAGCTCCAATCTTTAGAGAAATGTAATGAATTTGCCTCATACTTTAAATCGAAAATTTTATTTATTAGAAATAATATTGTGGCTCCCTCTGCTGGTGGGTGTGACCCCTCTTCCTTAACTCAGTCACATGCTGCCAACACTCTTTCCAACTTCACTCCTATTCAGCTTACTGAATTACAAGATATGGTAAAGCTGTTAAGCTCTGCAACATGTGCGCTTGACCCAATGCCTACTAAACTGTTTAAAGATGTTTCCAACTGCCTGTTAGACGATGTCCTTCATATTGTTAATGTCTCCCTGTCTTCTGGAATCTTCCCCAAAGGCTTAAAATAAGCCATTATTACACCACTGCTGAAAAAGAGTACTCTTGATCCATTTGCTCTTGAAAAGTTTAGACCGATCTCAAACCTTCCATTCCTGGGGAAAATTCTTGAAAAGGTTGTATACCATCAACTAAATATTTATCTATCACACAATAATGTGTTTGACATGTACCAGTCTGGTTTTAGTATTAACCACAGTACAGAAACTGCCCATGTCAAAATTGTTAATGATCTTAGAACTAGCTCAGATAACTACAACATGGCTATCCTGGTACTTCTTGACCTCAGTGCAGCCTTCTGTCAACCATCAAATTCTGCTTCAGCTCCTGGAGCACTGTCTAGGCCTTAGAGACACAGTTCTTAATTGGCTTTCATCATATCTCACTGGCATATCCTTTTCTGTTTCCATTGGTAATTTTGTATCTGATGAAGTCAGCATCTCATATGGAGTTCCTCAAGGATCAATTCTTGGTCCACTGCTGTTTAATCTGTATATGCTCCTACTTGGCTCCATCATTCATCAATACAATTTTTCATATCACTCATATGCTGATGACACACAATTATATATATATATATATATATACAGTATATATATCTGTTTCTGCAAACAATTTTAGCCCAATGAATGATCTCATCCAATGCATTAATGACATCAAACATTGGATGTCCAAACATTCTTTACAGCTTAATGAGAAAAAAACAGAGATTCTGTTAGTGGGCCCAAAGGCTTTGAGGCATCAGATTCACCATCTATTAGCTCACCTGTCAGTTAAACCATGTGAGCATGCAAAGATCTAGCATTAAGTAAGGTGTAAGTTCTAGACCTGCTCTTTTTCTAAAGTGTCTGCAGATAACATTTGTTATGAATCGGCGCTATAAAAATAAAGATTGATTGTTTGAAGAGCAATTCTACATCATTGTTAGTATTCTGTAATTTTCTTTTTTTTAGTGGTTATGCCCCATGTGGTCCTACAGTCACAGGGTCTGTGGGTTTGAGTCCTACCTCTGCCCTTTGCTGCAAGTCATTGTCCACTCTCTTCTGAAATTAAATAAAGAAAAAAAATGGGCAAAACGTCTGCATAGAATTGTACTTATTATTAGTGTTTCAGCACCCTATCACATGTCACATACTTATGTATGGATGCACCCTGTCTGGTTTATAATCCTGTTGATGAAAATGTAATTATTTGTGACCATCCCCTTTTAATCTCCAAACAGTGAAGATGTTTCTGCGCTGCTTGCTGGCACTGCTGGCTTTGACCTCACTGAGTTTTAGCACCAATCCCGGAGTACAGGTCAGACTAACAAAGAAAGGACTAGAATATGGTAAGTTTTCCTGCATGGTGTTGTCACAGTTGAAAAATACTGATCTCTGCACAGTTTTGTCAACATGTTCTCTAACCTTTTGATATAGGCAGACAACAAGGGATGGCTTCGATACAGCAGAAACTCAAAACCATCACAATCCCAAATATTTCAGGGAAAGTGAAGTTGAGACCTGTTGGCAAGGTCAAGTACAGCCTGACAAAGTAAGGCAATCACTTATTTTATTGTCATTTCAGTTAGAAAAATGGACTGTTAACATGATGTTATTTTCATTACCTTCATGAAGAAGCATGTTTTCTCTTCCAGTATGAGGACAAAGAGTGTGGGGCTACCACAGTCTCAGTTAAGTCTGGTGCCAGGGACTGGTTTAAGACTGGGCATTGGAAATGCCTTTCTCAGTATGAAGGGAAACTGGAGGGTTAAGTTCTTCTGATTTGTGTGAGTGAAAAGATGACTTACTACTAGCTTACATAGTTAAAGTTTTGTGTGATATGTAGCTTATGCAGCAGTGACTCCTCTCTCTTAAAGGAAGCTCCAAGGCTCTTTCGAGGTGAACGTGAAAACAGTCACAATTACAACAAGTATTGCTGTCAAGAGTGATAAGACAGGCCGACCTGATGTCAGTACTGTCAGCTGTGCAGCAACGGTCGGCAGTGCACACATCAAATTCCACGGTAGAGCAAGGTAAGAGGAACCCTGCTCTGCCCTATGTTTGAACCCATGAAGGGGAATGAAATATTTCAGTTTTACTGGATGTGCTTGATACACTTCATACATTCTAATTCCTGTGGTTGCTTTTTGTTTCAGCTGGCTGTACAATCTCTTCAGAAAGTTCATTGATAAGGCTCTGCAAAAAACAATAGAGAAAAAGGTGAGAGCCAACAACCCATAAACTTACTATTCATGATGACCATCCTTTCCTCTCACAGGTTATATTTACCAAAGTACCTTCCTTTAGCATGGGGGTCCATCCTACATACATGTGAAATCTCAAAAGATGTCCTCGAAATAATAAAGACTTATTATAAAGAGGAAGATTTATGACCTCAGATCATTAAAAGATGGGATGGTGTGTAAAATGTAGAATGTGATGAATTACAAAACGTTATAACTCCATAATTTGAAATAGCACAAAGCCAACATATCATGTTTAAGCCGAGAAATGTGATTGTTTTGGGAAAATGATATGCACATTTGGAATTTGAACAGGTTCTTGTTTACAACTCTGTTGCATCACCTTTCCTTTCAACAACACTCTTTAACAACATGGCTTCATGTCTGATTTAAGAAGTTTAGAGTTGCACTATTTGCCAGCACAGTCTTTCAGTCTCTCTCCCCCCCCCCCCCCCGACAGAGACTCTGCCTTTTTACACCGTCTCCACCGAATCAGATTACTAACTTGTTGGCTTAACCTTATTAACTGTGAGATGTTCCATCAGTGTTTCTTTTAGTGCATGTCAAATCTTTTTTTGCCACTGTCCCACTGTGCTTAAGTACACTTTATTATTTGTTTATTTAACAGGGACACTTGCAGTGAACATTGCTTTTTATATTAAATACAAAATAGATGCCATGCATACAAAATACATGTGTTTTCAGGAAAATATTATTGATAAAGAATGAATCCTTCTAAAAGAGAGAAAATTTATATTTTTTAGTCTCAAGGCCGGGTCAGGACGAGCTGTTTTTTTTCTGGTCAGTAATCACTGTGTAACATGAAGTTCCTTTTATCATCTGTTCTTTATTGTTGCAGCTCTGCCCTCTGGTGGCTGACACTGTGTCTGATTTGAATCCTGAGCTGAAAACCCTCAATGGTAAAATATTATTTTGCAAATAATTGAATACTTAATTTATCCTGAACATTTGACAGACTTTCTATCTTCCTGCAGTTTTAGCCAAAGTGGACGAGTTTGCTGAGATTGAATATTCCATGGTATCATCACCCACAGTGTCAGCATCTTCTCTGGACTTGGGCTTGAAGGTAATCAGTGTAAAGCAAACAGAACCGTTTTTTTTTTTTTTTTTTTTTTTTTAATCTTAAGCCTTAGTTTAATAAAGAGTAAGGTCTGTTACCTGATCTATTGTAGAAAAAATATGAATTAGACTATACAAATAAAGATTTATTGATTGATAGTTTTACTTTGAAGAAATGGACTGTTGAATTCACAGCTTTTCTCTCTTTGTGTTTCTTTGTAATTTAGGGTGAATTTTACAAAATCGGGAAGCACCAGGAGCCTCCATTTCCACCCCCCAATTTTTCTCTCCCACCCCAGGTCAATGAAATGTTGTACATCGGTGTGTCCACCTTCACTGCCAACTCTGCAGCTTTTGTCTACAACAAAGCTGGAGTCCTTAGCCTGTACATCACAGATGACATGGTTAGATGCCTCCTCTTTATTGTTTATCTACATTCATGATGCCACACAGATCTATTCCTAACTAGCTCTGTAAAAACAGGTCCCACGAATCTCTCCCATCCGTCTTGACACCAACACATTTGGAGCCATCGTCCCGCAGGTAACAACCCATTTCCATGTCAAGAGAAGAATATTCTCACTGGCAGTTTGTCAGCTATATCTTCTTGTATTTTTAGATTGCAGAACGCTTCCCAGGTCTGAAGATGAAACTGCTGCTGAATGCCCCAAAAGATCCGGTCATCAGTTTTAAGCCCAACAACGCCACGGTTCAAGCTACTGCCGCAATGACGGCCTATGCCATCCAACCCAATGCTACGCTTACGCCTCTCTTTGTTCTTAACTTGGTAGGTGACACAGCTGGCACGATGGAAGCTGTGTATGTTTAAAAACCACTAAAACGAAAACTTGCTCACCATATTGTCTCTACAGGACATTAGTGTCAGCGCCCGAGTGTTTGTCAGTGGAATGCAGATTGCTGGGGCCATCACCCTAAACAAGTGAGTTACTAAAATAATCACTGCATGCTCTCAGAAGCAAAAAAATAGGGCCAAGAGGTCCTTGAAAAGATGAACGTCACTGAATAATTTTCTCCTAATCTGCACAGGATGGGTCTGACCCTGGGGACTAGCGATGTTGGAGATTTTCAGGTGAGAGCTGCATTCTAACATGAGTCACAAAGTGAATCATCAGTACCAACCGTATGCACTAACCCCATCCTCTAACCTGCAGGTCAGGTCCCTCGACAGCATCCTCAAAATTGTCCTCAAACTAGTAGTGATACCTCAACTGAACAGTGAGTTCTTGGATTTTCAATAACTACATCATATGTATGCAGTATGGAGTTTTGGGGTTAATTATCAATCAATCACTCAATCTTTATTTGTATAGCGTCAGCTCAGAACAAGTGTTATCTCGAGACACAATTATAGATTCTGATATTATTTTAATTGAACATCTCCTCTAGTTTTACTTAATCACAATTATTTTTCTTCATAAGAAACTGTGCCAAATGCAATTAAAGCCTTTGTTAAGCAAATCAAACCAGTTGTTCCCCACCTTTTTCATCTGACAGACCCCACAGATACAGTAAAACTCTTAAATACATATAAATGTCGGGGGCGCCGGAAGTGTAGTGGTTATAGCACTCAGCTCATGTACGAAGGCAATCGGGGCTCCTTTCCTGCATGTCATTCCCCACTCTTTCTCTCGCCCTGATTTCTGACTCTGTCCACTGTCCTATCTAAAAAGGCCAAAATTATATACATATAGACCGAGAGAGAGAGAGAGAGTAGGAAATCAGGGGGATAGATTGGGGAAAGACATGTGACAGGAGCCACAGGTCAGACTTGAACCCAGGGTGCCCAATTGAAGAACTATAGTCTCTATACTGTACATGGGGAACAGCTTAACCGCAAGGTCATCTGCGCCCCAGAAATGTCAATATTAACATCTCATGACTTTTTACAGCATTTATTGGGTTTTTTGAGCTTAATAATACTTTTTTATTTTATTTAGTCTAGATATGATGTTTCCCTGTTGGATTTATGTGACTCAGTAACATAAACATGTCAATTTTTCTTCTTAGCTCGTCTCGCAGAGGGATACCCACTTCCTACTCTTGGAAAGATGAAGCTTGTTAACACTCAGCTTCAGGTCCTTCAGGTCAGACACGTGTTTTCACAGACATGTTTTCTATTATAATGCATATTTTTTTTATGATATCATAATATGATGTGGATATTTTAAATGTGTATGATCAACTGAATTCAGAAATTTATACTGACTATGGGTGGTGATCTTCATTTTTTCCAGGACTATATGCTGATTGGAACAGATGTCCAGTTCACGCCTTAAAAACTCATCTGGAAACTCCTAAGAATCTTGACTGTACTGTGGCATGCAGCTGCACAAAACACAAAACCTACAAAGAATTAACGACTAGCAAGATTAATCATTAAAAATAGAAAAAAACAGAAAGTTCTTGATTGTGATGATTATTTAAACAATTTCCAGCTTCCACTGACTGGCAGGAAACTGTTTCTTAATCTTTACCTTTGTCTTTATCTCATTTTATCTCACTTTATCAATTTTTTGATTTTGGTGTGTTACAACTAATCAGGAGATGTTTTTAATGTAGTTGTGTAACTGAAAAACTGTGTTGAATACTTCTTACTGTGGAATCATTTATTGCTTGATTGTACTTGAAGAAATCGTGACCTTATATGCATTTTTGGGAAATCTAAATAAACTGGTTTAAAAATGTATTTTGTTCAAATGGTTCATTCAGGAATTCATCACCCAGTGAAGTGAAAGAAAATATTAAGCAGATCGCGTTTCTACAAGAAACCCACTTGTTGGATAAAGAGCACATGAAACTTGAATGGGTAGGCTTATTATTCATAATTTTCCTCTAATAGCCATCTTGATACATCGGGCCACCCCATTTGTACTTAGTTCATGTAAGAAAGACTCTGATGGCAGGTTTGTCCATGGTACACTTTTTAGCACACCTATCACTATGATGAACATTTATGACCTTAATACACCATCCCCGTCATTTTGGACAAGGATAGCTGCAGAATTGGAGGAATATAAGTGCTCTCTTACAGTGCTGGGTGGTGACTTTAACTGTTGCTTAGATGGAAAAATAGAAAGGTCCCCAGCTGCTGCTCACAGAATAACACATGCAGGTGCTCCCCTGGCTAAAATGTTAGATGACATAAACATGATAGATTTAAGGAGAACCCTGAATCCACCAGCAAAGGACTTCACATTCTACTCTAACCCACACAACTCTTACTCTCCAATTTACTATTTTTTTGAGCCACCGCAGATTATAGGTCAAGTGACCATGTGTAATATAGGATCCATCCATATGTGACCATGCAATAGAAATGAGCTAAACTACCTCATATAGACAGAGGTGGCGTTTATCATCCTAATTACTTACTGAAAAGGATTTTGGAAAAAAGATGGAGGAAGAGATCAAATTATTCTTAGATACAAACGATAACTGTGAAACAAATCCAGAATTTCTCTGGGAATCTGCAAAGGCTTATCTATGAAGGTTCCTCATACATGTCACACCATAAAAAAACACTTCTGTTAGAAAAAGATTTAAAACAGACTGAGTCAACTCATAATGCTAATACTACTAAACCAACCCTTATTAAAACACAAACTATTAGAGATGCACTAAACACAATTTTGAATGAGAAAGCTGCTAGGTCATTATTTTTATCAGAAGCAAAGTATGTGTGAATAGGCATACGGGAACATCCCAGCAAGTACCTGGCACGCTTGCTTAACGAGAAACAAAATCACAAAACAATTGCTCAATTACCCTGAGGGGAAATTCATTTTGATAAGAAGAACATTAGTTCTGTTTCTGTATCGTTTTACAAGTCCCTTTACAAATCTGATAATAATAGCACCAAAGAGGAACTTGACGAATGATTTTCTAAAATCCATCTACCATCACTGACAGAAGAGCAGCAAAATTACTTAGGAAAGCCGGGGAAGCTAAGCTATGTATGTAGTAGGTGACTGGCTAACTACTGCTGCATACGATTGCTGTGAAGTAATCTAGCCTCCGAAGCTAGAAATAAACTACATTTTCCAATGTGCATGTGTGTGTAGCATGTTAGCATGCTGTCATACTAGTTAGATCCCGACCCCACCTTTAACTACAATTCATCTCATCATTAGGGGCGGCTGTGACTCAGTGGTAGAGTCGTCATCTCTCAACTGAAAGGTCGGGGTTTGATTCCCAGCTCCTGCAGACACATGTCCGATGTGTCCTCAGGCAAGACGCTTAACCCCTCCTGTTGCATAGCCCGTTGCGTATGAATTGCGTATTCCATTGGATGGAATATGTAAAGGACACCTTACATAGAAACCTCTGTCATCAGTGTGTGAATGGATGTGAAAGAGAAGGTGTGACCTGCGATGTAGAGAAGTCAGGAGACTAGAAAAAGCACTATACAAGCTCAAGGCCGTTGACCATTTACCACCTATTTTCTTAACTGCATTTTTTCTGGAATGGGGCAACTGGGCCTGTGGTGAGTGAACCCTAAGTTTGCAGCTCCTTTATCTTAGAACAAATAAAAATAGACCAGCATCTTAAAGAGTGTGTCTCACTGGAGGCAACGCCTCTGGCTGTAGATATTCTGTCTTATAGATATATTCATATATTTTCCATTATGGTCGATCATGACACATGTGTGCTGTTTTAATTGATGTTTAATGTCTTTTAATGTATCACCGTAACGCATGTATGGCGCTGCTCATCGTGTTAAACTTTACCTGTGCTGCTTTTAATCTCGTACATTTTTCCTTTGGTTAAATAAAGGTTATATGTTAAATTAAAATGTGTTTCCTGAAAAAAGAAGTGGACAAGATGTATACTGAAAAACAAAACTACACAGAGAACATTTAAGCCCTGACTACAAAACCTTTGTATGTAAAAGTATTTTTCCCTGCAAAACAGAAGATTATTTGCAAAAAATTTAAACAAAAACACAATTGGGAATGTGGTTTAAATAAACATTTTCTGGTTTAGGGGAGCTGGAAGGCAGTGTTTCATCTACCAACATTCCTTGCCCTTGTGTGTTGTGATTAAATCTGAAAAGGGGGGGAGGAGCTGTATCAGCCTTTAAATGCTGCTGGAGTTGAATTGAACCAAAATAGACTGAAAGAGCTTTAGTTTTTCTAGTTCTAACTCATCGTGGTACAGATGTGCTGACTGCAACACAGCACAGATTTATTCTCGAAAATGTAGCTCTATACTTTACTAAACTCCTTATGCATCACTCTACTGAAAATGTGTGTAAAGAACTAGTCAGCACAAGTGGTGACAATATGCAATGTCAAAGTTTGTTCAAACCATGCCAAGATTTCACAAGTGTTCTTTTCAGACAGTGTTCTTTATTCAAACAGCAGGCAGGTAAGCTATTTTTGTTCTGTTCTTTTTGAAAAGGTTATATAAGAACAGGGCAGGGCGGAGAAGATATAGCTCATATCAGGTTTTCTCATTGTAGCTTTATCTGGGGTAGTTCCCTTAATTTTCTCACTGAGTAAGTAAATTAGAGACCATGTGCCTCCTTCCTCTTTCACTTTGTCTCATAGGCAGGCTGACTGACACATCAGGAAGAACCAGACTTACTACAGCTTCGGGTAAGAGTGCGTGTAAATTTATCATATGGGGTTATATTTCAAAACAGATTCTGGAGATTTGCTTTGTTCTTCTTACAATTATGATCCAAATATACAACAATGTGTGAAGGAACTTTGTTATGTTGTGTGTGAACATCTTCTAAACAAAGGGTAGATTTCAGAAGGGGAAAACTTTCCGAAAGTGATCCCATGATTCTGATTTGTTTGGTATGAAGTGTATGAATGTGCTTTTCCAACTTGTAACACATGAGTGTTGAAGAGTAATCTGACTCAAAGGTTTTGTTTAAGGTATATTGACGTAGCATATTGGATGTATTCAGTCTTTTGATCATGTGCATTGAAAAGGGGGTTCAGGATAAATATTCCCCATCTTTTGTTGAAAGTCTAACTTTAAAGACGAGTAATGCAGCAATATTTTTAAGAAGAATACTTTTAAACAGCTGCAACATAGATCAATAAAGATGTATGTAATAATAGGTTTGGTGCATTTTGATAAATGACAAAGATATGCAAAGTATCTCAGTGTTGGGTCAGAGGTGATTGTTTTGGGTTTTGAGATATAAATTATTTAGAAAATAGCTCTTTTATAACCAAGAGTCAATATGGTAACTTTTACCTTTACTGCACTTCTGACTCACACAGAGAGCTTTCCACTGGTTGTCACATGACTTGGATTTTGTCAGTTAAGTCTGTTAGTCTCTCTTATCAGGGACAAAAAACATATAGTAGTCTTAAGTACAGGCAACATAACAAGCAATAATATGGATTGACTTGATTTGATTTTTTTTTCATTCCTGAATGATTGATGGAGCGCACAGTTTGGGATAAACAGTCGTGGCTCGTGACAGGCATAACATTTGCTGACACAGAAACTTACAATGACTTAAATGTTCCAAAAGATGCATTTCAACATTTTCATTCAGTGAAATCTTTAAGATTTGTACACTTATTCAAATATCCATATTAAAAATAGAAACACATTCTTCCATTCTTTACAAATGTGCCTTTCATAATTTCCTAATTCAATCATGTTGTCATGTGGTGTCTTCTACAGAACTAACAGTCAGCTCTTTCACAGACCTCCACTCACAGAGAAACCTCATACTTAAGGCTGTGGTGGAGAGTACATCTACTTACAAGTTCTGTGTTTAGTACAATTTTAAGGTACCTAGTGGTCAATGATCCATCCTATTCATAGATAATCAAATATAGCAAAGAATAATTTCTCTAAAGAAGGAGGAACAACTTTCTAAGACACAACATGTTGTACAATTCCTATCTCAGGTTTAGGAACTCAACATTAATAAAAGCAGAACTCAGTCTGCTCCATAATGTCTTGTTAATGAAAATGTAATTTTTTGTGACCATCTCCTTTATAGCTACGAACAATGAAGATGTTTCTGCCCTGCTGGCTGTCCCTGCTGGCTTTGATGCCATTAAGTTTTGGCACCAAAGCTGGAGTAAAAGTCAAACTAACAGAGAAAGGACTTGAATATGGTAAGTTTTCTTGCATGGTGTTGTGATGGTTGAAGTAGTGTTCTCTTTCATCTCGAGACTATCTGTCCACAGGATTACATAACATAAACGGAATATGATTTCCCTGCTCGTCTGGGTCCTAATGTCATGTTAACTTTGCAGATTTTAAGCAACAAATGCACTTTACAGTTTGTCAGCTGTTGTTGAGAGCCTTGCCTGATCACCAGCAGCGCTTCTGCCAGCCTATTGCTCACTGTTTGTGAGCCAACGCCCTCGATAGAGACATTTTACAATAAAGCATGTAAAAGACCTTACTCTTCTGTTATATTATTTACAAAGCTACAACATTAATCCACCATGAGCACAGCACTAAGCAAGTTACAGTGGCAAAGAAAAACTGCCTTTTGACAGGCAGAAACCTCAAACAGAACCAGACTTATGTTCAGGGGGCTCTTGAAGACATCTTCTGCCCAAGGCGAGCAAGACTGTCTTCCATTCTTTCCAGTGGGCTCGGATTAGTAGAGTGCCTGGCTCCAGAGAGCTACAGGCTCGTGGCAATAGGTTTACCAGACCCCGTAGTGAGAACAGTGTATAGGCAGCCTTGGCACCATCTGCTAGGGTTGCTGACTGATATCGTTGCTACTTCACACCTGGCTGCGACATACCAGGTGTGGGGTACCAACCTGGCTCTCCAAGTTGACCCCTACTTGGCCACCGCCCAGGGTTTCCTGTGGTTCTGCAGTCCCAGCTGGAGAGGAGAGCAGAAGTCTGCGGCCCATTCCGGAAATTACCAAAGCGGTTTTGCACTGGTGAATAAGTCCTGCATGAAGCAGGTCCGCCAGACAGGTCAAACAAAGTCCTTTGGCTCAATCCAGCAGTCTTGTCTAAGGTCTTGTCTCAGTCGGAGTCGCTCTGTCCTTGTGAACCAGTTTGTTTTGTACCCGCCTAGGGCCTTGGATTGTGGACTGCACGGTCTCCTTTATAGATCTCCTTTTAATAGATAAGCTGTGAGGTTCGACTGGGCAAGCAAGTGTGTCTTAAAGTAATATCCATGGACCCTGACAAACAGGGGGTCATCTTCTGTAGCCTACATGTTATGTAACAGGGTGGAGAGATAGTCCCTTCATCTGTAACCCAATGTTTCCTTCAGTTTTGTCAACATGTTCTCTAACCTTTTGCTATAGGCAGACAAATGGGGATGGCTTCGATACAGCAAAAACTCAAAACCATCACGGTCCCAGATATTTCAGGGACAGAGAAGGTGCCTCCTGTTGGCAAGGTCCACTACAGCCTGACAAAGTAAGGCAACCACTTATTTTATTGTCATTTCAGTTAGACAAATGGACAGTTAACATGGTGTTATTTTTCATTACCTTCACAAAGAAGCATGTTATCTCTTACAGTATGAAAATAATGGATGTGGGATTACCACAGTCTGAGGTAGATCTGGTGCCTGGAACTGGTTTCAGACTGGCCATTGGTAACGCCTTTCTCAGTATGAATGGAAACTGGAGGGTCAAGTACCTAAGACTAATGTGAGTGAAAAAACGATTTCCTTTTACTGTTCCAAGTTTTTTGTGATATATCTGCTGCATCAGTGACTCCTCTCTTTTCAAGGAAGGACCACGGCTCTTTTGATTTGAACGTGAAAGGACTCACAATTACAACAAGTATTGCTGTCAAGAGTGATGAGACAGGCCGACCTGCCGTCAGTACTGTCAGCTGTGCTGCAACGGTCGGCAGTGCAAGCATCAAATTCCACGGTGGAGCAAGGTAAGAGGAACCCTGCTCTGCCCTATGTTTGAACCCATGTGGGGGAATGAAATATTTTCTGGATGTGCTTGATACACTTCATACGTTCTAATTCCTGTGGTTGCTTTTCGTTTCAGCTGGCTGTACAATCTCTTTAAAAACTTCGTTGATAAGGGTTTGCGAAAAGCACTAGAGAAACAGGTGAGAGCCAACAAGCCTTAAACCCACTGTTTGTGATTACCATCCTTTGCTCTCAGAGGATTTCAAAACAGAAAGTCAGATTTTGACTTGTCAGACCTTTGAACAATGTTCTACTTTAACTCAATTCATATTTATTTTCCAGTTTGTCAGCTTTATTTTGTTGTTCTTTTAGATAAGAAAAAGTCGAAAAAACACACGCACATCACTTGATTAGGTGCTGAGGCAAAAAATACTAGTTAAGATGCAGACAAAGACTCGCAACACTATGGTTCCCAAATACTTATTTATTTGGTATGTGCATTTAACGAACACAACATTTCGAGCCCGACTGGACTCTTCCTCAGGTGCAGTACACAAAACAGGTTCAGGTCTTATATGCCAACAAGCCTTAAACCCACTTGTCAGACATTTGAACAGTTTTCTACTTTTACTCAGTCCATATGTGATGATGTAATTTCCAAATCAAACATTTCTCAGTTTAATATATGATATGTTGTCTTTGTGCTGTTTTTTATTGTATATATGGGGATAAGGGGTTTCAATGTTTTGCAAATCCTCACCTTCATTGTTTAATTTGTGTTCATGAAAAGTGACTAAAACATATATATGTAAGGTAAATGTAGTGGAGTTATAGATACATTTTCCTCTGAATGTATTTGAAGCAGATGTTTAAACCTACCTCAAAACTGTGCTTAAGTACAAGAGATCAAATGCATTTTTCTAGTCTCAAGGACGAATAGGCTGTTTTTCAAACAGTTTTTTCTCTGGTCAGTAATCACTGTGTAACATCAAGCTCCTTAAAGTTTAGAGTCTGTTCTCTATTGTTGCAGATCTGCCCTCTGGTGGCTGACGCTGTGTCTGACATGAATCCTAAGCTGAAAACCCTCAATGGTAAAATATTCTGTCGCAAATAGTTGAATACTTAATTTTATCCTGAACATTTGACAGACTTTCTATCTTCCTGCAGTTTTGGCCAAAGTGGACGAGTTTGCTGAGATTGAATATTCCATGGTATCATCGCCCACAGTGTCAGCATCTTCTCTGGACTTGGGCTTGAAGGTAATCAGTGTAAAGCAAACAGAACCGTTTTTTGATTTTTTTATCTTAAGCCTTAGTTACCACAGTTAATTTTACCTTTGTTTTTTCTTTGTAATTTAGGGTGAATTTTACAATATCGGGAAGCACCAGGAGCCTCCTTTCTCCCCCTCCAATTTTTCTCTCCCACCCCAGGTCAATGAAATGTTGTACATCGGTGTGTCCACCTTCACTGCCAACTCTGCAGCTTTTGTCTACAACAAAGCTGGAGTCCTTAGCCTGTACATCACAGACGACATGGTTAGATGCCTCCTCTTTATTGTTTATCTACATTCACGATGCCACACAGATCTATTACTAACTAGCTCTGTAAAAACAGATCCCACGAAGCTCTCCCATCCGTCTTGACACCAGAACGTTTGGAGCCTTCGTCCCGCAGGTAACAACCCATTTCCATGTAAAGAGAATATTTATCTTCACTGGCTTCTCAACTTCATTTTGTTGTTCTTTTAGATTGCCAAACGCTTCCCAGGTCTGAAGATGAAACTGCTGGTTAAGACCGTGAAAAATCCGGTCATCAGTTTTGAACCCAACAACGCCACGGTTCAGGCCACTGCCACAGTGACGGCCTATGCTATCCAACCCAACGCTACGCTTACTCCTCTCTTTGTTCTTAACTTGGTAGGTGACACAGCTGGCACGATCAATCAACCAATCCGTCAATCTTCAATTCTACAAAACAGCAGGTTGAAGACCTTACTCATTGCTACATTAAAGAGACCCAACGTTAATCCATCATGAGCAGAGCGCTAAGCATCATTTAGCAAAGTTACAGTGGTAATAGAAAACGTCCTTTTTAAGAGGCAGAAATCTTGGGTATTACCAGATACATGATGAACAGCCATCTGCTGACACTGCGCTGGCCTTGAAAAGTGTGATAGAGGGAGATACAGGAAGAAGGATTGCGACAACAAACAAAGAGGAGGGCGTCCATAACTGATAAAAGCTGTCTATGTGTGAAAAACGAAAACTTGCTCACCATATTGTCTCTACAGGACATTAGTGTCAGCGCCCGAGTGTTTGTCAGTGGAATGCAGATTGCTGGGGCCATCACCCTAAACAAGTGAGTTACTAAAATAATCACTGCATGCTCTCAGAAGCAAAAAAAATAGGGCCAAGAGGTCCTTGTAAAGATGAGCGTCACTGAATAATTTTCTCCTAATCTGCACAGGATGGGTCTGACCCTGGGGACTAGTTATGTTGGAGATTTTCAGGTGAGAGCTGCATTCTAACATGAGTCACAAAGTGAATTATCAGTACCAACCGTATGCACTAACCCCATCCTCTAACCTGCAGGTCAGGTCCCTCGACAACATCTTTCAAATGGTCCTCAAACTAGTCGTGATACCTAAACTGAACGGTGAGTTCTGGGATAAAAACAAGTACATCACATCTATGTAGTATTGAGTTTTGAGGTTAAATTTAGATTCTGATATTATTTTTAATTTAACACCTCCTCTAGTTTTACTTAATCAGCATTATTTTTCTTCATAAGAAACAATGCCAAATGCAATTTAAAGCCTTAAGTAAATCAGTTGTATTTCCTTCACATAAACCATGCCTATCCAGAAATGTCAGTGTTAAGGTCTCATGAGTTTAAATAGCATGTATAGCATATTTCATGCTAAACAATACATTTTTTATGAAAAAAAAGGTGTCTGTATGATGTCTTCTGGTTGGATTTTTGTGACTGAACAACATATTTGTGAATTTTAATTCTAGCTCGTCTCGCAAAGGGATACCCACTTCCTACTCTTGGAAAGATGAAGCTTGTGAACACTCAGCTTCAGGTCCTGAAGGTCAGACACTGGATGTTTTTCTATTATAATGCATATTTTTGATTTAGCTGCATTCATAATATGATAGGGACAGTGAAGGCAAACAAACTCAATTAAATAATGTGTGATGTATGATCAACAGCATTCAGAAATTTTGAATTTTTTCCAGGACTATATGCTGATTGGAACAGATGTCCAGTTCATGGGTTGAAAAGGCACTTCTGGAAACTCATCTCAATCTTGACTGTACTGTGGCATGCCAGTATGAAGACATCAACACGTACAAATGTTGGCTCTCCAGAGAAATGTGTCAAAGGAATACCTATTTTTCTATTTAGTTTCATTGTTAACTCTGGCCAGGTTTTTCATATATAATAGATGAAGGCAGCAATCTTTACCTACTGCAGTCGGGTCATGAAAGGACAAAGGGCAGGACAAAGACTGCAGGACACGGTTTGCTATTTATTTTAATAATCTTTTTTGCAATTACATGCTTCTTCCAAAGCAGATCACAGCCATTTCTTTGCTGCTGACATTGTCACAAATTCTTCCTCAAAGTTAATGACTTTGTTGCCAAGGGAGCAAGCCCTTGTTGATCCATAACATTTTAACTGCAGCTTTGAGAGTCCCTTTAAAATGACAGGACATCAGTCGACCACCAACACCTCAGACAACACAAAGTTTGTTTCAAATGAACATTGTACTTTATATTATTCATATAGTTTTCTGCATCTCAAGCTTTATTATATGTACAAACATAGTGACTTTATAAATAAGAATAACACTCATCAAGAGTCCAGCCTGACTGTAGTACAACTGAAATTACAGTATGAATAGCCTCCATGTATCGTCAAGTCATTGAAGAGAAGAAGACAGTGTGATAGTTTTGTTTGCATGGTGTCATCTGTGTCAGTCAAGGGCTGTTTTCAATCATTGTAGCGTCTGAGGCCAAATGTTCATCGAGCTCTTGCCGGGGCAACGTCTCCTGTTTCAGTGTGCTGAGGCTGACAGCTCGGCCTCTCAGGCTTTGGGACGTGGACGACAATATCTATAATATAGACACACAAAACACAAAACCTCCAAGAATAAATGACTGAGAAGATGAATCTTTAAAAGTAAAAAAGTTGATTATTTGATCAATGTCCAGCTTTGTGTTGGTTTGTCTTACTAGAGAAACATTTTATACTTTACCATGTTTGAAGGAAACCTGAGCATTATTGTATAATTTGAGAATTTTGAATAAACTAGAGTTTGAAAATTCATTTAATATTCAGGTTTTTTTTAACATAATCATTTCTTTTGATGTATGTGAGTGAGGAAGTACGTTTCTAGGTTCTTTAAATTTGGGTATGAAAGAAATAGAACAGACCTTTGCACATTTCAAAAGACAGGAGAACCAGGCCATAAAATATGCACGTTTTGTGTACGTGTACAAATCATTTCACAAACTGAAAAGTTACGCTTTCTAGCTTTTTGTTTTATTTAATTGGATTGATTTGATTATTATACATTTCTGTATATTTGTTGCTTTATTTGCTGGGTCGGTACCAAACCTTTATCAGCTCAACAGGTTTGTGGGAGATCACCTTAAAAGGTATGAAAGATACCTTTCACCCACAGCTGCAGCCTGTTTAATAACATATGTGCATTGTCTTGTATCACAAACCTGATGAAGCCATGTTTTTTTGAATATGCAATTAAATAAATAGAAGTTATTCAGCCCTCTAGTGTGCGGTGAATCTTCTCATTTGAATGTACAAATATGTATCAACCGTAAACCTACCAAGACTGCTGGACATATCAGGTGTGGTATACTTAGAAGACCTTTTAGTAAGTAATGATGTGTCTGTATGAATCTAAACTTACCTTTACCAACACGTAGTCTCCAACATTGACTGGAGCAGTGTTGCATTCTGCAGTATGAACAGCAACATCCTCTTTGGGGAATATCACTTTCATATTTCCATCAGTTCTCCCACACAGGTCCTTGGCAGATCTTTTACTTTCCTTCATTAAGAATGCAAAGAACAGATGAGCAATGTTGCCAGGTAAAAGATTTAACGCAGGGTTGGTCATTATCTCCAGATACACTTTTTAAGATTTTGGTTGAAACTGTCTTAAGGTCCTGACAGACATTAATAACTCATGTGCTCTGAAATGACCAACCCTGCCTTTAAAGTAACAAAACACAGAGGTACAGGCTACTACTTTAATGAATATCCAGATGTGTGAATTCAGTGTTCAAATTCAGTCTTTCCGTGTACACAGAAACTTAGATTCTGCAGTCATGCTAAGCACTGTGAGGTGCCACTTTACACCATTAACAAGCAACATTATGACGCCGAGTAGGTGTGATGTTTATGCTATTTAGATCTTTACCCCGCCACAAGTACAACTCATGTATTTTCTAACCTTTATTACTTTTGTAAGATGTGCTAAGCATGTGTGCAATACTCACTCCTTCCACCAGGACAAGCTGTGTGCTTCCGACGAGAGCAGAGTTGACCCTTGCTGCTTCCTCTCTGAACACACTGATGCACTCCTCCAGCCTCCGCCGCTTCACCTCTGCTGGTACATCGTCTTGTAGCCGATAGAAGGCGTGCGTTTTCTGAGTAAGGGCAGTTAGAAAGAAATCTTTTTTAACGCGACGATTCAAAGAAGAGAATACTTTTGAGTAATACTTCAATATATTGAAGATTGTTGTGGTGTTACACTCACCTTTCTCATACTGTAGGCGAACAGAAATCCCACATTGTAACCCACCTCTCTGATCAGAGACAGGGTCTGCTGGTGATCGTCTTCTGTTTCTTCACAGAAGCCTGAGATGAAGTCACTGCTGAGACTCACCTCTGACACACACACACACACACACACACACACACGTCATTACTGTTAGAAACCACACAAAACATCATTATGATTATACCAGAGACACCACCTTGGTGTGATATCATCAGGTTGGCCGCTGGATAAGATTTAGTCCCAAGTGAGGTCACACATGGGTATAATGCAAGTGTGATGTCATCGTGGGTATCAAGTATTATAGCTGTAAGATTGTATTAACCTTAATTAATCACTCAATTCAAATTCTAAGAGTAGATTCTTCAGGAGAAATGACTTCTTCCACAAAGGAATGCTAGTTGAGAGGCGTTGTTTTTAAACTATCTTCCACAGTTGTGACTGCAGAGGTCTCCTTCAGTTTTATACGTTTTAAAATAAGTTTTAGGAGTGTAGAGGGACAGAGAGGCCGGGTGGACCTGGCTCCAGTAATACCCGAGTAAGCAGAAAAGTGCATTCAATCTTTTTGTTTTTTTTAAATCATCTTGTAACAATCGCCTCCCTTGGTTAATTCATTTTACACTATAGTGAGTAAGGATTTTATAAAGTTTGTAAAACAAAATGAATAAAATATAAACACATCAAAACTATGACAAACATATTCTTATACCAAAGACAGAAACAGAAGCAGGAATCTTATTTACTTCAGATCCACACTAACTGGCACATCAATAGTCTGACCCAAAGGAGCAATTTGGGTTCAGGATCTTTGCCAAAGGACATTTCAACATACAGACTACAGTGGAAGGGAATCAAACAGGCAATGTTTCAATAAGTAGACATACACTACATCTCCAAAGTCAAAAAGCCATCACTGTCTCTCTATCTGTGCTTATTATTGGATCAAATCAGTGATTGCATACCTGGGATAATTCTCCTGATGTTCTCCACAAGCTCAAGGTACGCCTCTCTGCTGTACCTGTAATCATTACAAGAAAAAGACGTTTTATTTTTCAATACAATACCTATACAATACTTTGTCATCAAATGTATTTATGTTTCACTTTTTTTTTTTTTAGACTTTCTAACGTCAGCATTTAATTAAAATGAACACTGATTTTGTAACAATAAAAACATTCAATAAGAAAAGTCTAGTTAGTCCCTTACCCACGGCGCATTGCTTTAAGGATCTCGGTGCTCCCACTCTGAGCTGGAAGGTGGATCTGCTGACAAATGTTCCCCCGTTCAGCAATCAGATGCAAAACCTGTAAAAAAAATAAAAAAATAAAATAAAATAGAATATTCACCAGGTAAGAAAGGCTCTATCAAGTGAACTCTAAACAGAAACCAGTAGGGTGACAAAAATTATTTGTCACCTGTTCAAAATCATCACTAGGTTAGGATGACACGTTTAGCTTTGAGGATGAATTCAGCTCTCTTAGTCGAAACCAAGAGGGGATGAATTGCGTCATGTACCTCGTCAGGAAAATCCTTCGGATGCGGGGAAGTGAATCTGACCCTCATGTCAGGATCAATTTGTGACACTCGATCCCAGCAGGTCAGAGAAGCGCAGGCCTCCCCGTTTTGTCCTGTAGATGGTCTTGAATCCCCGGCTGAGTTGGGTCGGATCTGGGCCACAGAACTGTTCCTCTGATGTGTCTCTGTAGCTGTTCACATTCTGACCCAGGAGAGTCACCTCCTTCACACCCTGGACAAAACCAACCACCATATATCAGTCAAGGACAGCTGGAAAAAGACCGAGCATGGACAGGCACAAGTTTTCCTCTGACAGTGTTTAATGTACTAGTCTCCCTTCCTAACTGTAATCAGTGCATTTCTACTTGTTGATAACAAGTGTAATGAAAACAACATCACTTAAATGACTTAATGTTGTGTTGAAGTTCAAACTTGCCTGGTCAGAGAGTATACGAACTTCCTCAAGTATGGAGCTGATGGGTCTACTCCTCTCTCTGCCTCTGGTGAAGGGGACAATGCAGTAGCTACACATGTTGTCACAGCCCCGCATGATGGAGCTGGAAGTACAACAGAATAATCACAAAGTCAACTGAAGTTTCAACATATAGAGACACACACAGGGGACAGCCTGCAGTGTAGTGTAGTGTAGTGCAGCACTTACACAAAGGCGCTGTATCCATGAGGAGCATGGTGGACAGGCATGATGTCCGCGTAGGTCTCCTCCAACGACAGCAGCACATTGCTCGCCTGATGGCCTCCGTCAGCCACGGCCAAGAGGCGGGGAAGGTCCCTGTAGGCATCTGGTCCAGCAATGACATCGACAAGCTTCTCCCTCTCCAACAGCTCGGTCTTTAGCCGCTCTGCCATGCACCCTGGGTGAAAAAAACAAACAAAAAAACAAACATCTGTTAGCATATCTTTATACCCACTGTAAGAAATCCAAGCGTGTGCATAAGTAAACAAACTTACCTAAAATTCCAATTTTCATTGGCGCATGCGTCTTTAACCGTCTCTTCTTCATCGCTGTAAGTTGTTGTAGTCTGTTCCAAATTGTCTGTTCTGCTTTTTCTCTGTTAAAGGAGGTTTCAGACACAGTTGCTGCTCGCTTACAAAACAGCGACAAAAAAACGTCTCCTCCTTACTTTAACTCTCTCATCCAGGTCTACACTCCCTCCCGCCCACTACGCTCTGCCAATGAAAGGCGTCTGATCCAGCCTTCACAACGGGGGTCCTAAGACGCTGACTAGACTCTTCTCCTCTGTCGCCCCCCGGTGGTGGAACGAGCTTCCAAACTCCATGTGATCTGCAGTGTCCCTCTGCACCTTTAAGAAAAAGCTAAAGACCCAGCTCTTTCATGAATACCTACTAACTTAATGATGATGGTCTCCATATTATTGATGATGATGACGATGGTTTTTGTTTGATAACGACGACTTATAAGATGGTTTCTATACTGCTTAGAGCTCTCAAGAACTGCCCTTGATGTTGTGCTTTGCCTCTGGTCACTTCCTGTCAGCACCTGTGTGTCCAATCAGACTCAAAGCTGATCGTTTGCTCTTACTGACATTGTTCCCTTTTTTCTAGATCCTTGCTTGTGTTGTTCTTACTCTCTGATGTACGTCGCTTTGGATAGAAAGCGTCTGCTAAGTGAATTGTAGAATTGTAGTTTGTTGATGGTATAGTTTATTTAGTCTTATTGTGGCAATTTTAGTGAGTTAGTGATATTCTTACCTGATGGAGCATGTTACAAGAAGAACAACGTCAGCCTGTAAGCACAAGAACCTTCTCAATGTAGGCTTTAAGATTGACACGAGTAATATATATTTTTTTTAAATGCATAACAACATCTCTCCTGTACCTCACTTAAGGTCCCGGTCCGTTGGTATCCTTTGCTCTGCAGGATGGAGCTGGCTATCTCTGTGTCGCTTACATTCATCTGACAGCCATAGGTTTCAAAGAACACTGAAAACATGAGGAAGAAAAAATATATATTAGATTTCAAACAATACAGTTTCCAAACATATAGCTTTTCACTGATGCAAAACTAACCTTTTCTTGAGTTGCCCAATTCCTCAGAAAAATAACTTTGTTCATGGGAGTGCTGCCCATCAGAGGCAGAAGTCTTCCTCACTGGAAGTCCATGAATGAAATCCTGCAAAGTTGGACCAGAAGACAGCTGGGACTTGAACTCCTGCACAGTGTTCCTCTTCTCTCCTGAAGTCTCTTTGGTGTTGGATAAGTTGCAACAGTGTCTCGGCTGGATACATCTGATATATGGTGTCCAGTGTTTGGGAATGGTGCATTTAAAAAAAGGTTTTAAAGTCATAAGGAACTCCATTTTTATTTAGACCATACGCCAGAAAATATACTCTAATTGCTGCTTAATTAAAACTGAATTAGAAGCTGTGCGGGTACGTGCTGTGTTGTTTAAAAGCATGGGTGTGTAATTCAGACACACACGTCTTTTGGTTCCAAAGATGTCTTAAAGTCAAGATGAGTATCTCCACCGTATCGTTATTTAAAAACATGAAGCGCGTTTCGCTATCAAATCATTGAAAATTGGGAAGTGATGAACGTTTTAGTGCCGGCAGAAATTCAACCCCAAAGGGATTTATATTAACTATAGAGTATCTATTTTAATAACTGAGATATCTATCTTGAGCGGTGCCTGTTTGATATGCGCCAGCAGCAAAGATGGAAGTAAGCGTCAGTGAACTATCTTGGACCACGACGGTCCTTCCGGGTAAATGTCCTTCGGTACGTCCAACTTTGCTGTCCGGGTGAAACTACGTCAAGGAAGACGTCGGCTGAAACGTCTGGACCTGAAGCTGCGTTCAAATGTTGTTGTTGTTGTTTTTTTTGAGTGTGAAATAAAAAAGCAAACAAAACAAAAAGAGAATGAAACACAACACAATGCAGGGTTAGCGTGGTATTTTCCTAAATCTGGTATAGAATAGAATAGAATAGAATAGAATAGAATAGAATAGAATTACTTTATTGATCCCAAACTGGGAAATTGTGGCGTTACAGCAGCAGGTTATCCAAACACACAATATGAGTAAAAAAACACAATGTTAGAAAATCTAAACACAATATATTTAATATATTTAATAATATAATATTAAATACAAAGTAAATAAGATTAAAAATATCAAAACTAAGAATGTTAATATATACAACCAGGATTTAACTAAACATTACTAGTCTTAAATATGAAGATTAAATATGGAAGATTAAATATAAATGTGCAAGAACAGAGTCGTAAATGGTTGTAAATTAAATATATATGGTATTGCAAAAACCTAGCCATACTTTTCAAAATACAAATCATGTACCTTACTTGGTAAGGTTAAGGCTAAGTTGGTTAGGTTTAAAAACATTGTGCCAATTCTTTTTATTGCCTACAGACCAATAAAAGCCATCAGCTGTATGACCAGGGTAGAGTAAATGAAGTTATCCTACACTTAGCCAATAAAAAGGCAAATCAAACACAGCAGGATAATCTTGGGACATTTTCACATTATATGTTATATTTGAAAAATTAACTTTTTTATTTATTATTTATATTGTACAATAATGGGTAATGATTCTACATTTTTTTGGAAGTCATCTCGCCATCCCCTCTCAGGGGCAAGCAACCTCCACTTTCGGAACCACTGGGTTACATAACAGTCCAAGTGGATCCAGGGGTAGGTCTATAAAAATACTCTACTTCTCATTTGTTTATATTACCCATAAAACATTTTGCTCTTGAGAATGTGGTCTCGAGGCTTCTTGACTAAAGACCTGAGATAAAGGTGTATAGATTGGGTTCTTCTTAGCATGTTATTTTAATTTTAGGAACAATCTGCTTAACAGACGTGTCAGACAAATAACATTCTCTGATATAAACTTAAAACCATTTGTCATGATATTGTTTGATTTCTTAAATTTGATTGATTTTTTTTGTTGAAACAATACGTTTTACTCTGTGTTACTTAGTTCAGTGGCACCATAGGTTGTCTTTCTTACATTCTGATTCATTTTTATGATCTCATACTGTAAACCTTGTTTCGAGAATGCTTTGGCATTAATATATGCATTCATGGTCGTGCCAATAACACATGTGAATGTGTATTTGGGAAAAGAAGTAACTCTATAAGAAGAAGAAAGCTCAGCTAAAGGAGAGAGAGAGGGTGGGGGGGGGGGGATTCTGTGTGATGTGGGAGTGACTTTGAGCCAGGGGTTCAGTATAAACTGACCATGGATACAGAGATTACAGACAGTACTGTTCCACTGTTTCTATTGTCCAGCCTTTCCAGGCGGTGAGAGATGATGAGAGTGGACGGCACAATATAAAGAAGAACTGCAGGGACGCTGACAATTCACACACACATTTCTAGGTACACTTCTGGAAATGTAACTATTACACTGTACATTCTGTGTCTGTATCTCTAGCATATTCTAAACAGTTTAAGATGTATGACTTCCTGCTGAAACTTCGATGCCTTTTGCAGAACAATGGAGCTGCTTGAAGGGAACTCTAGTTTCAGCTTCTTCTTTTTTTTTCCAGATGTAATATCTACTCCTGTCCTGTATTCTTACTGCCCATTTTTCTCCAGGAGTCACTGAGAGGATGGAGAAAGCTGCACTGCTGTTGTTTTGTTGCCTGGTCATGTCTGTATCAGGCTCACCGCTTTACCCATCTATTAGGTAAGTCCTGACAGATTACTGATTTAAAGTGTCTGTGGTTTTATGTGTAGAAGAGGTTTTCAAGTGATTTAAATACTTTAACAAATGTGCAGATTCACATCAGTGGCAGCTGAAATACTAAAAGTGGTGAAAGATTATTTATTTTCAGTAATATGTTTTTTAATAGTTCTGACAGCACTAAAAAATACTATCCATAATCATTAAATGTTGTTACATTACAATTGAGAGCTAAAGGGTTGACTAAATATTCAATTTAAAATGAGAAATTAAAATAAAAGCAGTAAACATGTGTAACAAATGCAGAACATCTTTATTTGATCTGTGGCAAATCTAGATACGCGTAATGAATGATGTTTTTGAACCTGTGAAACCTGCTTGCTTTGCATGACACAACTTTGACCTTTACCCGTGTTATGCTAAAAAGGGTTAAGAGGTCTGCAGAAATCAGTGCGTTACATTCACCACACAATCACAGTGTTCGGAGCCAAAGCAGAGAAGAACACACAGTTTTCAAAGAGCTGGAGCAGTAAGGTTAAGATGAAGGATATTGTTTTTGTCTAACATCCGTCTGCCAATCCAAACTCTCCAGAGACATTTAAACTCAGTTACCTCGTCATTGTAAGCATTTGTACAACATGAGTAAACAATGACATACGATGTTCTACAGTTATTCATCTCGGGTGATATCTCTCAGGTTTGGCCAGACTGATACTTCCATCCTGATGACATCGGCGATAAAGAGTCCAGTAGAGCAGCTGGAGGAGGACGCCAGCTCTCCCATTGAGGGAGCAGAGATACGGTCAGTGTGTTCATATGGACTCAGAATACTGCTCCAAAATACAGCTTACTGCAGAATATTCTCCAGTGTATCTAAAGAGGCAGATAGGTTCAGTTTTGGATACCTGCATACAATATGACAGCTGTTACCAAAAAATAGAGGTGTTTTTTTGTTTTTTGTTTGACTCTTTTGTTTGACTCCTCTCAGAAAACAATGCACCTGTTACCCTGAATGCTTTGCAGACCTGTGGACTGTTTGTTTGGGGAGAATTTCAGTGTCAAGAATATTCATATTAAGTGACTTTCTTTGCTGTTTTCACAGTTTACCTACCCCATTTTTTATTTAAAAGATATTTATTACCCCCCCTCTTCTTTATACCTGTTCAATCACTCGCCACCCTCATCAGCTCCACAACCAGAAGAGGAAAAGAGAACCATTACAGAAGGTGGACCTCTACAATGATTAAAGAAATACACATAATTCAACTAAGCCTACATGTATACAAAAAACATAAATCATCGGAAATAAAGAAATGAACAAATACAAGATGATAACTCAGATTACTGGAGAATAATAGTTTTATAAAAAGCATAAAGGATTTGCTCCCCCTGTTTGATTGTTGGAATATCACATCTATCTAATAGTCTCTACGACATCAGTTTAAAATTAAAGTAAGTTTTGTTAAGCTGAGATGTAAAATCTTCACACCTTGTGGTGTAGCATTTGGTCCCTTCTTCTTTACAGCTCTCCAATTTTGTCTCAACTGGGTGTTTCATTCTTAGACTTTCTCGTATCGGTGAGTCTGCTCTGTTTTTTAATGTGTTCCTTTAGGGTCCTTGATTTCTCTACAACAGGGCTTCGTCTTGGAGGCAGTATTTTTTTGTTAAGTTTATGGATCATCATACTTTTCCTTGTACTTCAGTTCTGACTTTCACCTTTGGAACATTTCTTTAAAGAATAAGGATCAATTTAAAGATGTGTTTTTAAACTTTATTCATTTCTGTTCAATATGTTCCGAGCACATTTTCACAACGGGAAAGAAAACAGAGACGTAACCGATTGTTGAACCAAAGCTGTTTGAGAAGTGTCACACAGGATCTTATCCATGCATATTCACAGCAGAACTCAGATGTAGTTGTGTTTTCCCAGTTCATTTGATGTTGATGAAGTTCTTTTGACTTTTATTTTTTTATTTTTTTTGGTTTGTTGAAGTTGTGTTGACCAATTTGTGCTGAGATTCGATGCTTGACTCTTTCAAACGCAGTTTTATTTCTTTACCGTGAGTGTGTCAAAGTGTTTTCTATAATATAGTCACTGACTTGTGTACAAATCTAAAAATGACAAGAGTGAAGGAGAGCCAGACGCCCACTTACTGCGAGGATTTCATTATGACCCTTGGTGTATTGTGATTCTACAGACATCAGTATCATGAGATTATTAAACATGAAGAGGAAGATAAGCCTTCTAATAGTTTATGTCCTATCAAACAAGAATCAGGGGACTAAACTTCATTTATTCAAATATTTTGTAATTCTAATTCAGTTTATCATTGTTAGTTTTATACATTTAATTAACATTGTGACCTTTTCCCCATCCCTCTCTCATTAATATCTATAATATTATTATTGCCCTGTAGAGATAATGTCGCCTCGGTTAATAGAGGTCAAAAAAACTCCAGCTCCACTTGAAGAATGAAGATCAACTTTATTAACAAGTTAGATCAACAAGTCTCGGCTTGTGGCCTTCATCAGCGTCATCAACAAACACATTGCAAACGTCATTTAAATAGGGAAGGTACAAAATATAAAGAAAGGTAAAAAAAAAAAAAAAAAAAAAGGTAACAAAATACATAAAGAAAAGATAACCAATCGTATACATCCACATATATATATATATCAGCCAATGAGGCACCTGTAAAGGTTGGCTGGTTAGGTGTGTTGGTTTGACCAATCAGTACTGACAGGGAGGTGAGGGGCGTGGCCACCAAAGGCGGGTTTGACACCATATTTGGTCAATAGGTTGGATCATTGGTTTAGGGTTGCACAAGGATCTTTAGGAATGCTCCAAACAGGAAGAGTAAGCCTCGGGCGAATAGTTTCACATTCTCCACGTCAAACTTATAACCTGCGGTGATGTCCGTCATTAGTGTTGTAAGAGAGGAAGATGTTGTCTATATATGTTAGTTAACGCTTTTAATCCAGCCATCACTACACCTAAATGTCCTCACATCATCTGATAATCCTCACCAATAATTCAATAAATAAAACAAACTACAATCTATTAATCTCAGACGTCCTTAGAATGGGGGTTGGCAGCAGCATTCTGATTTGTATCTACAATTTACTATCAAGCTTGTGAGGCAATACATGTCATACAGGGGAGACATTATTTTATCAAGATATATAATCCCCCCTGAAACTATCTTCAGTCTTTAAAACAATGGGATCTAACTCTTTAGACACATTAATTACCTGCGACGTCTCCCTTTGAACTAAACTGATGTACATTTTTCACCTTCTGATTTCAGCTCTGGACGCCACGCTGATGCCATATTTACTAACAGTTACAGGAAAGTCCTGGGCCAAATCTCTGCGAGGAAGTTCCTTCAGACGATCATGGGAAAACGGCTCGGGTGGGTGACACAAGAGGAGTAATGTACATTTCAGGGGAGCAATGTTGACAGTGTGTGTTGAAACGTAAAGTGTTGATGTTGACTTTCCACAGAGAGGAGAGCTACGTGAAACGTCAGGCCGATATCTACGAGGGAACGTATAAAGAAGATCTAACATCCATCCGGAGTAAGCACAGATACAGAGGAGTCCACGGGAACGTCATGAGGTGAGGAGGACACCTGGGAGTTCAGAGAGCTCGATTAAAAACACAACAGAAACACAAGTTGGACTTGAACTGAGTCTCTCCGTTTTGCAGATTGCTGAGCTGAGATTGGTGTATGGGACAGATTGGAGACTCCGCTCTGCTGCATTTTCATAACCATCACCGCTTGTTTTCTTATACTCATGGAAATTATATTGGCATTTTTTTATTGGCATTAAAGCTGTGAAGAAAACCAACGAGTTTTTGAAAATGTTGACTTGGGTTCATTTCAATTGTACAATCTTACTTCGACAGTGATACGAGCCCTCTCAAAACGCTTTAATTGATTTAATTATCACTTGGGTTTACAGTCACGCTCATTCCTTTAAAGAGGAACTGTATGACATTAAAATAAGAGTAGTAAATGGACTTGAGCTTGTAGAGCACTTTTCTAGTCTTCTGACTACTCAAAGCTCATTTTACACCGCATGTCACACCAACCCATTCACACACTGATGGCAGAGGTTTCTGTAAAGTGAGACCATCAGAAGTAACTAATCACATTCATACGGATTCATACGCCACCGACGAAGCAGCGGGAGAAATTTGGGCTTAAGTGTCTTGCCCAAGGACACATCGGACATGGAGCTGCAGGAGCTGCAGGAGCCTCGACCTTCCGGTTGAGAGTCGACGACCCTACCAACTGAGCCTAATTAGAAGGCCTATTTGGGTTTGTAAGGGTATTCATGTTGGCCCGAACCTGATTCCACATGTGGTCATACAAGACTACACGTGGTGCTAAGTGGGGCCTAACTCAGTGCCATATGCATAACTCGTCTAAAAGCTTTATGTCAGTGCTACACAGGAACTGTTAGGGCTGTAATATGGGTTGCAGAGCGACTTGTCCAAGGATTCCTCTAAATGTCCCTGAACTATTGCCAATTCAGTATTTATTTGATGCAGAATAACTCAGGGTGTTAGGACCAGCCCAGCTTCAAAAGAAGCATTGACCCATAGAGGCCACATTTGAATGGTCTTAAACAGAGAACATTGTGATGTATCGTTTGCAAACATGTTTGTCCAAAAGTATTGGACTTTTGAAAAACAAGACATGATCTCTTTTCCTGATTTTTGCCATCATTGCATGATTTTAGACTCCTAAATATTCACATCAGAAATATTCACCTCTATCCCATTTCTCTTTCTAGACACTAAGGTTATCTGATAATGAACATGAACCTGAAACCGGCGAAACTAAATTGAAATTCTTAACCTCTCTATATTCAAATGTATGGACCTTATCTCTTGGATATAAAACTCTAGAGTCCATGGAACATGGTGTGTGTGCCCCATGTACATAGACCAGGGTCCTCCCAGCAGGCAGCCCGGGTTTGACCTGTGGCTCCTTTCCTGTGTGTTGTTCTCCACTTCCTCTCTCCCCCCGGTTTCTGACTCCATCCACAGTCCTATCTCTAAAATAAAAAGCCCAAAAATAAAACTTTGAAAAAAATAGATTATACTCTGCAAATGCACAATAATAAAAAAAACTTAAAAAAAAAAGAACAATGCACATGACAATTTGTTTCTGAATAAATGAGACTAGATGCTTGGATTCACCTCAGATTCTTTATTTCCTCTCTCATTACAAAAACATCATATTCTCAAATGGCCCGTATTACTTCATTAACCATTTTTTTTCTGGGTAATGATCAAAGTGTCAGTGCCCCTGCCTGTGGTTTATTTATCAGCTGAAACATGTGAGGTGAAACGGGCACTGAGTGAAGACCAAGAGGAATGTACAAAATATGACCACAAATCAAACAAAAAAAAAAAAAGACCCAGCAAGAAACCAAATAAAAATCCCAGCTCAGTTAGAAAACACTGGCATGTTGGACAACAAAAGGACACAAATCTCACAGGAGGATGAAGTGCAATGATCAGTAGCTGTATAGTCCTCAGTAGGAGGATCTGTCAGTGAGCGTTTTTTTCCCCCCTCAGAGCCGCTGTGATGTCTAGATTCCTTCCATTTGGCAACACTGACAAACTGCATGTTTAAGCTGTTGATTGGATTCTTGAACTGCCACGCCGTGTTTAAAGTCCGATTTGATGCACTGTTGAATGAATCCGTTGAAACAATAAATGGGCTCCATCAGTGTCCTCCTTAAATTTTCATGCCCTTATTTTTTCTCAATTCTGTGGAAGAGAGAAAAACAGTTATCAAAAAAAATTATCACAAATATCAAATTAACTACAGTCATTTACACAAAAAGCCATGTAAAGGGTTGATCATGCATTTTGATGTGCACACCCTCCACAACAAACACAACAAACACAACATGATGGCATTTTCCTGAGATCTGGACGATAAATTGTTTTTGGCACACTAACACATGACATGGCACTGGATGTATCGGCACAACCAGAACCATGGTGGTCAGACAACAACGGCGGGATTACCATGACTATGGTTGTAATGACCACAGTGGGATGAGTGAGAAGCAAACCAGGGGGGAGGGGAGGGAGGGCGGCAAGTACATGTGAACACTCTGAGTTAGAATGAGTGAGCACCACACAGCCATGCACGTTGCCAGCCATTATGGAAATGCACTGTGGATGCAGTCTATGAGGATGCCCTTACTTCAGCCTGGAAGAACGACCAAGCCATTTCTTTACAAATGGGGGCTTTATCGTAGGCTCCTATACTTTGCCAACCTACTACTTTGCTCTGCCGCAATCCTGAAAGAGTAATAAAGAGACAGCAAGGTGTTGAAAGAAGGGTTAAAAAAAAAAAAAACAGGCACCAGCTGACAGAGATCACAAGGAAATAGGGGGAAAAGAAGGTCCTCACTGGAAAACTATATTTGTGACATTATTAATGGAATATATTACCTGCTCTAAAAAGTGTTACACGGGCTGTCATAACAGTAAGAAGTAAAAGTGAACAATTACATGATGTCTGGATTCTGAAACACAGGCTACAAATTGCTCACTCTAAAGAAATTGCCACTTAAATCATCACTCTTGCAGATTTCTGCTGCCTCGTTTCTCTCCTGGTCCAAGTAGGCATGAGATTTCCTCCTGGGAGAGAGCCTGTTACTGAAATCAGCCTCTGGAGACCCACTCAGACGCTACTGAAATGGATTAGGCACTTTTTCCTCAGGTTTTCAGGCCAAGAACTGCTAAGAGGTCTCAAAGCACCCGAGTCCTCGTCATCTGAAAAGGAGCACGGCTCTCTCTCTGGGACTAAGGACCCTTCAAGAACTATTTGTTCCAGGATCCATCGGGGACGTACCTCTTCACTGCTTTCTGGGCCAGCATGCGGTTCCCGGCGAGGAAAGTTACACCACCGATAATCGCCAGGTACTTCAGGGTCTGGAACATGTTCAGGTGGGTCCAGTAGACGTACATCAAGCCCAGCAAGGCTGAAAGGAAACATCCAAGCAGGATTTGAACATTGACATATCCAAGCAAATCTGCTGTCATGGTTAATACAATTATAAATATACCATCAAGAGCAACAATCTAGATAATAACATAACTACAGAGTGTGACTGAAGGTTGTTCCACGATGTGTTATTGTATACATTTTTGAATCATGCAGCATTGGTGCAATGTCAGCCTCTCGCTCGTCCTCTCTCTGACCTTTCCTGTCTCATCTAAAAATAATAATTTAACATTAATAAAAGTAGCTGTTTATTCAAGGAGTAATTTATTGCATAACTAAGGTAACTTGGTGTAAAAAAAGAAAAAGGAAAAACTCAGATTTTTTTGCATTTGTTATAAGCTTCTTTTTCCTGAATACTTAAATTGACATGTCTTTTCATTTGCAGATTTTTTGGGACATTTGAAAAAAAACTAATCTTTGAGATATTCCAGTATAGACCGAGCCTCGGCACACACACAACATGTTTAACATTCTACAGATATTTCAGATGGGTCTGGTGGGTATTTCGTATCGTGAGCTTGCCTGTGAGATTTTCATGAATAATGCATTGTTGAAACTAATTATGATGACGCCCGCTGCCACACAGTCGTTACTGCAATTCACTTCTCTTGAACAACAGCGGATGAACAGCCGATGACGAGGATGCGAAACAATCATATTTGTGATAAACATTTGATTTTCGTCTGGACTGACCTGCGTGTCCCACGTGGAACAGAATGGTGCTGGGGGAGAAGCTGAAGTTGGAAATGTTGGCTCCAAGCTTTAGCCACTACAGAGGAGAGAGGGAATAAAGGACAATGTGAGCTCATCCCCTGCGAGAGCTGTAAACAAAAGGTCTGAAAAATTGTTTACCACCTAACGCACAATGCACTGATTCACCGCAACAAAAACAGTTAGTCACCACTACAAATGCCTGGCAGGATAAAAAAAAAAAAAAGACACCTTTCCTTTTGTGATTTTTAAATTAAAATAAGCATCATATTAACGCGGTACTGGAGCCTCATTCACAGTGCATGGAGGCTTCTTCTGAAGAGCTGTTCTGTGTTTATAACAATCATAACAGAGATGAAAGCTTATTTGAAAAAGGTTTTGTCTAATAGTGGAAGTAGCTTAGTTTGTAGGTGTCTCTTTTTAATTAACAAGCTTTTTTTTAAAATGATATCCAGGTAAATGTTGCCCTACAGTTTAGCTTCACACTATAATATAAAAACAGACGAACATTTGGTACAATGTTTTACAATATTACCAGGATGAGCAGAAGCAGGAAGGGAGACAGGATGAGTGCAGTGAAGGCATTAGAGACCACCGTGGGAGGCTTCTTCTCTGGTTCCCTGAATAAGTGCTGCACAGAGGAGAGAACATATCAAAACCACCGGACTGACAGTAAAGTAAATCTGACACCGACAAGGAGTCCACAAGAATTACCTGGATTTCTGGTTTGGGTACATAAAGAGTCTTGGGCTGAATGGTAGCTGGAGCCTCCTCATCCATAAACTTCAGCACAACATCAGCCTTTGGAAAGATTTCAAACTTGACTTCAGTGCATGATGAATAAACATCTGACCACTTGCAACATCAGCGTGAAAAAAAAAACACTATTACCACCACTGATTCTGAACACACACTCACCACATTCCACAAAATGGGATTCTCCAAAGTAGCATCTCCGACGATAAGGTGAAGGGAATAGGTACCAGAGATGGAGGCAAACTCTGATTTCCGCTCTGTTGTGTCCAACTCAAACTTGTACAGGTTCTTGCTGTCGGGCTCGGCCACAAACACAACTTCCTGGCCTGTCTTCTGATTGTGCAGCCGGACAAATGTCTGTGACGAGAAAATAAACAGGTCCTTGAATCAAAACAAGACAGAGCTCACTCCTTTCTGTTTTGTGAAAGGATGCAGTCTTCATGATTGCTCTTGTCAGACAGATTTCGAACAAAGCAGTTACATACCTGGTGGGGGGTAAGCTCACTCCAGTGTTGACGTCAACCAGCTGGAAGGACATCGCAAAGTTCTGGTGACCGTCAGCTGTGAAGGAAGCCTTGGCTTTGGAAGGATAGTCCACCCTGCAGAATTAAAAATAATAATAATAATCTTTGGTCATTCTACTATGGGTCAGAAATAAGGTAGCACCTTATCAAACTTTCTTTCCTAACCTGCTAGTCTTTGTGCCAATGCTCTGGTCTTTATCCACCACAGACAGGTCCATGTTACTGACAGCCACCTCAGTGGACACCTTCACTTTGAGCTGTGGACACAGGAATAAAATCAATTAACATCAAGTCAGGGCATAACAATGGAATGTGAATCCCTCAACAAAGAGTAAAGAAGTGTGAAAGCCTTTTCGGACTCAATGAAAGCACATCTTTATTCGACTCTCTTCCTCCACCACTACGATGGAAGCAAGAAAAAAAACTGCAAAAGGTGTAACAACAAATTTAAGATGAATATGTAAGCAGTAAACGTTTGACGAATCCATTCCATCCCTGCCATCTCACCTCTACATGATTGGCAACCAGGCGACTATCTCCGGTCACTGCAACAGTAAACTGGTAATATCCACTGGTGGGCTGGTTCGACATGAAATTTAATTCAAAGACGCCACTGAAAAACAGAAGGCGTATATTTAAATACCAAAACAAGGAAGTAGTGATGAAGACAAATAACCTCTCGACAATTGATTGACAGAAAAATAAATCAAGTAAAAAACACAACAGATTTTTCACACTCTACAGTCAATAAAAGTTGTATTAAAACATTTGAGTTATGTTATTCTTACTTACAATCCTAAAATAATCCTGTAAACGGTACAAACATGTTGTGGGATGAGCAATAAGGTAATAAAAGGTTTTTTTTTTTATTATTCAAATTTTGGACGTCATCTCCAAGTAGTAAAAAACCGATGTACAATTCAAGCAAAGACATTTCTCTCTAATAATACATACTCATTAAGTGTGAATGGTGCTTGGCTGAGAATCACGCTCTTGGAGGCCACAGCATACGCAGATTCTACCAGCACATTGGCTGAGGCCAGAGGCTGAGACATGACATCAGTCACAAGGAGCTGTGAAACCAGAGAGAGAGAGAAAAATAGTTTTACTGGTTGCGATTAAAACCATGCAGAAGAATGCAGCTTTGTAAACATCTGTCGTCTGTACCTGCAAGGTAGGCTGGCTGTGGGACACTGTGGCAGGGCCTTGAGCACTGACAATGACGGGCACGTGGAAGCGATTGTTGGACAGAGCGGCGGCGGCACTTGCTACACTGAACGCCTCGGCCAGAGAGTCCCAGGATTTCTTGCTGAAGATGGAGTTGACCAGCTGGATGACCTGGTCCTGTGAGGATAACACATAATTCATCCGTTTCAAAGACAACAAGGCAAACTGAGAAAAGGCTGAAACAAATCCTGATGCATAGAAAGTATACCTCCTTCAGAGGGGGCTCCATATCCACATGATCTGACAGTGAATAAGCAGCCGTCACAAACATGGCTGTTGCCTCAAGTCCCTCCTCAAACTGGAGGTAGATACCGCCAAGATCATCCAAACGAGCTGTGAGATCCTGAGTGGAGAAACGTTTGGTCAAATATGAGCTAAACAAAAATCTCAGAGCATGATGAAGACTTACGTGTCTCTTGCTCCGAGTTTAAAAGCAACACAGCACCACCTAGTGGAAGTTATAGAACTTACCTCAATTTCCTCAAGTATTCCTCCAAATTCTGCCTGCTGGGACAGGCGGGTTGCTGTTTGCAGAGCTAAAGTGATCCTGTCCAAAGAGACGTAAAGATACATTTTTGTATTACTAACTACAGAGTAAAATCATAACCCCCATGAGCCCTTTAGGATCCTTTCATATAGAAGGCTTCTGAACTCCCTGACTACTACTTACGCCATGACATTGTCCTCCTTGTTGATGCGAGCTGTCAAGGCACCTACAACTTCCTGAGAAGCCAGTGGGAGCCCCAGAGAGCTGAGAGCACTCACAGCCCGATGAATCTGAGCCATGGTTGAATCTTCACTGACCGCTGCCAGGAGGATGTCACGGGTTTCATTGGACACAGGTATCTATGAAGGGAACAGAAATCTCATTAAACTAAAATGCTTATAAGTTTGCAATAAAATACAGCATTATTAACCCTTTTTTCAGGAAACATTAATGTCAAACTAATGATCTTATAGAGTTGAATTTTTAAATTAAGGTATGATACAGGATAACACCAAACAACTGCAATAACCCTTTCAATACTGCAACAAAAATATAAGTCCAAGGCACCCAAAAATGGCAGGTAATTTATTGTTTTTAATTTCCCAACACATGCAGGCAAACTCCTGCATACTGTCTAAATTGCGCAGGTAACATTTCGTTGTAGAACATTTTTGATTTTTAATACTATCGATCATTAAAACGACTGAGATTGTATGGTTTCAAAACAAGTGTAATTGGTATAATGATCTAAAACTTTGACAACCTTAATATCTTGTGTATTTATTTTTTTTACTAGAATTGTCTTGATCACTCGGCTATAATGTCGATTTCCAAAATCTAAACATATATTGTGATTAATGTGTTATTTTCTCAATATTTTGACAACTTTTCTTTGCTGTGCTTTATAGCTTAACTAAAATGTTCTAGTACACACATCACACCTGTTTTAAAATCTTTACACTGGCTGCCTGTTCGTTTTCGCGTTGATTTTTAAATTATTTTATTAGTTTATAAAGCATTACATGGCCTTGCACCAGACTACCTATCAGATATGATTTTAGTTTATGAACCAGGACGGCCCCCTCAGATCCTCCAGTTCCTCTCTCTTAGTTGTTCCACAGAGCAGGACAAAAACCTTTGGCGATGCTGCTTTCAGCTGTTACGCTCCGAGACTGTGGAACGACCTTCCTGAGGGTCTGAGAGGAGCCCAGAATATCGAGATTTATAAACGCAGTCTTAAAACTCATTTATTCAGTCTGGCTTTTATTTAGTGTTTTATATCAATTCAAATCTTAACATTACTGTATTGTCTTTTTTATCCTACTACAATTTTAAATATTTTCCTCTTATGAATTTATTTTAATATCTTGTTGCTTTTATATGTCGTATTTAATTGTATTTTATTTTTATAAATATTTTTTTAATTCTTATTGGTGTGCATTAGTCTCTCAATGATTTTATCAATGATTTGTAATTTTTGTAGTTTATTTCAAGGACAGCCCCTTGAGATGCATCATCTCATTTTCAAGGGGGTCCTCACAAAACATAAATGAATCATCACAATACAAAATCAAAATCAAAAAGGTAAATCCAAAACATAATACCAAACATTTAAACACAGAGACACCCACACCACAAACACACACACACACACTTAATGCTCCCCCAAGCCTAGCCACCCACCAACCAGCCAGTACTACACAATCTGAAGAGAAAAATATATAAATAATAATAATAACAATAATAATAATAATAAAAAAAAAGAAAAAAAAGTACTTTATTGTCAATAACTTTTCTGCACTCTTGTTAAGCACTTTGAACTGCAATTTAATTTGTCTGAAAGGTGCTGTATAAATAAAGTTTAATTGATTGATTGATTGTTTGATACATAGATGCATTGATTTTTAATCGTGTAATAACAGTGTACAGGTTGTTTAAGAAGGTCCAGGTAAGATTTCCTTACCTCACATCCTGAGATTGCTTGGCTGGTCTCAGCAGCAAAGAAGAGGGAGTCAACACTGGTGGGGTCAAGCTGAGATTTGAGGTACTGGCACACTTCCTACAGACACAAACACATGTGTGTGTGTTTTAAACATTGGGAACCACCGTGTAATGTGCATTATTCAAGTTATTAAAAAAAAAAAAAAACGCATAATGGAGAGTCTTTGTACCGTAGGATCGGGAACAGACGCTCCCAGTTTGGTCAGACCAACAACAGAGTAGTATGCGGACTCCAGGTCGGTGAAATGTTGGCTGAGGAGGTTCTGCAGTCTGGACACATCAGACAGAGAAAGGTAGTGCGCCGGGGTGAGCGCCTGAGACCAGGCAAGAGCCAGGCTGATGAGGAACCATCCGAACAACCCTGAGCACACACACACACAGGTGTTAACACTTAGCACAACCGAGATAAGAAACGACACATTTCGTGAAGATGTATATTCATTCATTGAGATACAGCTTGGTCTCTCGTTGCAGGTTTGAGGCCTGAGTAGGAAGCTACGAATTCAATGCACGGTGCAGGTTTTTTTTTTAACATTAAATACTAGCGATTGTATAAAAGTAAACAAACTGAAATAACCAAAAAGAACAAACCTATTAGTTACTTTACATTCAAAATTTACGAAAAACCACTTACGAGACCGGTCCATGTCTTGCAGTCTAATGCAGCGTCACCAAAACCGACGAGTGCTTCCGGTGTCTCGGATCGCCAACTGTCACTCGAGGGATAATATCCGGTTGTAGTTTGAGATTTCAAAATAAAAATTTTGGTTATATCAATATCACTATATATATATATATATATATATATATATATATATATATATATATATATATATATATAAAATAATAATAATAAATAAAAAACAACAACATTATTTTAGGAAATTAAGTCCATTACAATTTTTTCAGCAATCTACCAGCAGGATAATAACTGCCCCGGAAGTTCGTAAAAAGTAAATGGACAAAAAAAAAAAAAAAACGTATTTTGTGCACAAAAACAATAAACTTGTTTACTGAAGAAGATATCTGTTTTGGCAAAAATAAATAAAAACAACGCACAACGTTTTGCACTGCTTGCAAAGCTTGACAAATTAGGTGAGAGGACGTCCAGCCAGGTAAACATAAAGCTGGAAAGACGAGGCTTCACCTGGAGAACTATGGGTAATGAAGAAGAGCCACACTCCTTCCTTATGCATTATTCTACCTGTGAGAAAGGCTTTTCTGCAGTGACCCCGATCAACACAAATAAAAACCCAAATAAATCTGGACATTGAAAAGTACGAGTGGCAGTCAGTAACTATCCCAATGATTTCAGCATTCGTAAAATGTATTCTCCAATTTGATTGCTCACTTTTAACTAACTGTTGTATAATGTTCTTTACTAAGTAAAGGCACATTTTAGTTGATTGGCATTTAAACCCCCCCCAGATGAAATTGAGCCAATTTTTAGTGAAAATCAAAATAGACTACAGGACAAGAAATAAAAAATCACATCCTTTAACTTTAGGAGTTTTTAAACAGCAAGAGAATGCAAATTCAAAAGCTGCATCGTTGATCTTTCACTAAGGATCAATGTGAAACGCCCACTCTAAAATCCAGATAGCTTTAAATAATCTTGAAATGCATGTTTTAGCTAGATTCAAAACATCCTCTCGACTAAATTAAACTAGTGTGTATGTTAAATAAGGCACATATATGCAACTGTAATGATGCAGTTGCACAAGGAAAATTCTAATAGCTTTACTTTATTTTTTAAACAAATTTCTTTCATTACAAAAAAACAGTCAACACTAAATATTTACAAACAATACCTCTTCCATGAATGCTGGCACAGCTTCAATGTGTCCATGACATATTACTTACCCAGTTATTGCATAAAACACTGTCGAGCATGTTCATCACTTTGTTGTAACCAAGTAGTAGCACCACCTTGAAGGATGAATGTGTGCTGCAGAGACTATAACATTTCCAGGAAATATCATTTTCTCAATGTGAGGTTCTAACTTTTAATATGCATATTGAGGTGCATATTTAGTATTAAGAGCATTTTTTTTTTCAATAATGTTCACTTACATTTTTAACATGTATCCCTCATTTTCAAAAGTATGTAATACTGTCCAATTTTACTCCATATTCTAGTTATACAACAGAACTTGAAATATGGAGGTGCAACCTGAGTTATGTTCTTTACAACTTTAAAAACTGCTAAATTACAGACACATAGGGCAATGTAAAACCATGTCTTTCAGTGATAGCAAACATTTAGTCTTAATTTTCATTTTTACAATCATTGTTCTTTTCAAACATGTTCAAGTGACATGCATACAGAAAAATGTGATTAACGCGTTATTCAAGTCATGCACATGGCATGAGAGTAGGACCAACACTAAAAAAAACAACTCTCTCGCCAATATTTGCTAGGGATGTAAAAATATCAGCTATGATTGCTATGAACTTCTTTCAAAAACTGCACTAAGCCTACTAATGCCACGTTTTCACCACCGAGAATTGCAAACCGCAGAAAGCAGGAGGATAACAAAAACATGAGGTTCAGAAAGTGTAACATGTTGATGTACAGATGTGAGATCTCTCAGGACAGAATCAGAGCTCGGCTGGTGGCGTGGGATTTAAGTGAGCGGAGGTAGTGTCTTGCTTTTTCTGTCATGATGAGCTGATCTTTAGTTTGTCCACAAACAACCATCTCCCATTCTTTTGACATCTGAAGACAGAAAACAAAACACAATCACAGAAGGGTTAGGTTCAGGTAGAAACGTCACGGTAAAATACTTTACAACGGTTGAGGATATCAATTCCTTTGAAGATTTTTTTTTTTAAAACTTGCCGGACGGGGGGGCATTGTGCTGGGAAATATGGCACTGTCACTCGGTCCCAGAAGGAAGCCCTGATCCAATATATTATCATGTCGCTTACTGCAGATTGAGGAAGAGTTGAAAGAAACTATCATGGGGTCGTCCTGTGGCAAAAAAAAAATTAATTCATCAAATGTGAATTCATCAAATCTACTGGTTGGCAAAAAAACAAATAGGTGTTGATGTTCAATCATTTACCTTGACGCTGTGTTTGTGAGACTTGCGTTTGGATGTAGGCCTCACCTGGCAGTCCATGTCATCAAGGGCCAAAGATTTCCGTACTTTCTTCATAGGAGGCCGATGCTACGAGATGAAGAAAAGTGTATTTAAGTTTCTGTTTCACTGTCAATGTCGTAGCAAGGCGCTTCAACAGGAGTTCAGAGCATTGTTGAACAGCGTTAGAAGCAAAAAGCCTAGAAATGTCTGGCGTGGGAAGTGGAAGAACAAGGTATTTCACACACAGTTGCTCCTGTGCAGCCGCGTGCAGAACAACAGTGAATGACAGTCACTGTAAGTCACCATCCCACGGCTTCAGTTTGTGCCGGTAATGCAGTTTGAAACAGGAAAAAAGCAAAAAACTTCATGCTCCCAAGTAGCCAACCTTTCAAAGTTTAAACCGTCGACAAACGGCTGTAATAGTTCAACAGGAGTTCACTCAAGTTAAAACTTGTACTTAAAAGCCCTTAAAAGTATGAGCTATAAAAACATTAAGAACAGATCAAACTCCCTGCTTTTCATTATTTTGGACCTCAAGGCGATCTTACATCATGAATAATGTACAACTAAATACAACGTACTAAAGCATTAACATGTGCCATTGTTAAAGTAATTCAATACAAAGGTTTATTTCAGGGAGATCTCTTACATTGTGCTCCTATCATTCACTGTTAACCTATAAAAGTTCAAGAGGAATACTTTTGAATATTAGCTTTTGGGATAAAATCCTTCACAATTCAGTTAAGTACATATATCCATTCTTTATCTTTAATCACTGCAACAATGGTGTCTTGTACACATTTTCTAGATAGGGCAGGATATCTAACTATCAGTTGAAATAAATTGCATAGACTTGAGTTTTTGATTATATCTACAAAGGGGTTTGGTGGCATATACCTCAAACTGCGGTTTCAAGTTGAAAACAGGCGCACAGCATGAGAGCTGATTCATAATTACCGTTGTTTTGCGTCTTTGCTTGGGTGGAGTGGACCGTAAATGAATCACGTTGATCCCTGCATCTCTTAGGATGACTTCGTTGATGTCATCTTCAAGGTTTGGAGTCTGAGGCTGAGATTACACAGAATAAACGGTTGTTTTTAATTCAGTGTTGATAAATCCCAAACCTGGTACTCATTCCCTTTAGCTGGCACATTAGATACCTACCAAAGGCATCAGAGCATACTTCTCCATGGCATTTTTGAAAGGCGTTGGAGTTCGTGGGGTCGTGCAGAGCTCAGACTTGTGGTTGGGTGTCACAAATCTAAGAAGAAACAAAATGAACGAGAAACGTGAAAACTCAGAAGCAAATACAAAATCGAACGAACAGAACCGAAGCATTTTTGAAATACTTACAGATATCATGGCGTTATCACAACTGCAAATAAGTTGACCCGCTTTAAAAACATCATATTTTAACATTCAAGAGCTGACAAGGCAGAAACACTGCAGCCTCATTATTATCATTTTTTTTTGCAGCCTGTAGACACTTGACCTGAAATTGCTACTAGAGTCTGGGCCATACATTAATATGCACAGTCTAAGGGCCACACTTGTGTTTAAGAAGATGATGTCAGGTCCTACCAAGGCCTGAAAGTAAAAATGTTGTGGTGGGAAGGAAGGAAGGGGGGGAAGTGGGTTGAGACTCTGCACAGGTCGCTGCTTTGCACCATGTGTTTCAAATAAATATGCAAACTGAGTGACACAGCTTTAAAATGCAAAGCAACTTTGAAAAACCCAAGACAGGAAGGTGCAGCAGCAACTGTCGCCCCTGTATCGTAGTTGAGTGAGTGAAGAGCAACTTTGTGTCCGGGCTCCATGTACAGATAACTTTTCTTACCCCTGGGGGTTTACAGCAGCTGCTTCCTCGAGCACACCGTGCAGGAAAAAGCACCCGCCTTCCTCAGTCTGTGGCACCAGCTGCCAGAGTCCATTATCTACTAACAATGCATCATCAGGATTCTTTAATCCGTTTTCCATTTTGCACCGAGGACAACATGCTAACACGAGAAATCGCTAAAACTTTCAGTATTTACAAGTTCCGCCCTCCTCTGCTTCTGATTGGCTGGTATCGTTGGTTAGGTTGAGAGCGAGCGCTGCGTTGTTCGCATGCCATTAGTAGGTACACTCAAGTGACACACACACACACACACACACACACACACACACACACACACACACACACACACACACACACACACACACACACACACACACACACACACACACACACACACACACACACACACACACACACACACACACACACACACACACACGTCGGAAATCAGTCACAGGGGCTTTTCTTTATTTGATTTGTGGAAAACTTTTTCCATTCACACATTCTACTACTGAATGTTTCATTTAACACTATTATATCTCTTTATATCTGAATCATCATTTCACCAATGGTCTCGTAATCATTCCATTATGAATATCTGTACTGTTTTCTCTTTCTTTGGTTTGTACATTGCTTTGTGTTAAATCAAAATAAAATCAAAAAAGATCTGACACAGGGGTCCCAATGACTCTCAGCCATCCAAGTATCAAAGCTACTCCATGTACATTTTCTCATCTGCTACATCATTTATTGTCATTGTTTGTACAGCATCTTTGGCACTACTCACTACTGTACAATTATCTCATGCAAGCGAGTACAGTTTTTATTTTATTTTATTTATTGTTTATATTTAATGTAATACTTTTGTGCATTGAGTGCACACTTTGTTGACGTCAAATTCCTCGCATGTATGAGCTTAACTGGACAATAAAGCTGATTCTGACAATCAAGTAAAAATAATAAATAAAAGCAGACTAAATAAGGAACTTAGCGTGGTCCAAAGAATATAACAGAGCTCTTAAGTGCGGTCTATTCACTAGTTTGAAATCACTTACGCTGAGTTTTCTTTCTGAGTGTGGGGGGTCTTGTCACGTTGTAGCGGTGTAGTAACAATGGCTTTCTGGCTGCAGACTGGCGTGGATGTGAGAGACGGGTTCTCCAGGTCATGAGTGTCCTGCTTGGTCCACATGTTGAGGAACTGAAACCGCACAAGTTATCATATGGACATTCTGATATGACCGTATTACTATAATCATACAAAGTGCTACAGGATTGAATGACTTACTTGAGATGGAGAAAAGGGCAAGATTTTGACCGGAGTGCTCTTGGGGGTCATGGAGTTATTAGCATCCGGAGAAAAGGCATTGTATCTCCTGCTCCTACGGATCTGTGTGGAGGGTGGCGTCACGCCTCCAGGAGAGATGGGGATGAGTTCCCCCTTGCTGCCTTTGCTTAACTCCTGCAGGGCACTGCCCTCCAGACGAAACTGGTGGCGCTCTGGGCTTGGACTGTCCACAGGCAGGTCAAAGGCTGCGAGGTTGCACCAGCCATCGAGGTCCTGATGGACGCAGAGACATTTTGATAGTTAAACATTTATGACAATTAAATACTGCCAGTTGAAGGCAGAATATTTACATCTGTTACACCTCGTCCGCAATTTGTAAAGCTTGGGGTTGGAATGGTGGGGTGAAGTTGTTCTGCCCCTGATCCACCACCGGAGGTAGCAACAGAGGCGTAACAGGAAGGAGACGGTGTTAATGTTTAATGTCAGAGCCAGCAGGGCGAGGAGCGCCCTGTGTGTGTTTTACATGCCGAGCCTCTTGTTCTGAAATGTCAACTCACACTCTGGGACACCAATATTACACCACTGCCAATGCAATGTGGAAGCACAAAGGTGTAATGACAGCAAAACCTTGTTATGGTGCTGTAGCGGAATCACAACCTGTTGAAGGACTCAGTATGGGTACATTGAGCCCCTCTCTCTCTTTCTGTATGGATTCAAATCATATTACGGCATGCCACTATCTGTAAATCTTCATGTACGCTTTAATCACTAACCAATTCTCTCCCTAGGAGTTCTTGAGTTCCTTTGTCTCATAGCTTTCTCTGGATCGTTGGTTTGGACAACCTTCTGATGTTGGCTAATATTTGGTCGGGTATTTGTGAAAAACAAATGTTCCAAAGGGTACGGTCTAGACCTGCACCTTTTTGTATAGTGTCTTGAGATAACATTTGTTATGAATTGGCACAGTTTAATCTCTCTTTTACAATATTCAACGTAGCTAGGCTTTCTTTTTGATGCCAAGTTAAGCATGAAGATGTAAAAGGGGAAAACAGTCATAAAAGTTCCTCTGTGAAAAATAGAGCAACAATAAAGTTGTAACAGACTTATGTCTTTTGTAAAATTGCAATAACAACAATGTCTTTTAATTAAGTAAAGTAATCATTTTTATGTAAAAACTGTAGTTATTAGATGAAGCTCCAGTCTAAACCTGTGTTGGACCGCAGAAGTCCTCGTGTCATTTTATGATTTGAACTGTTTCAGCAATTATTTGAACAATAATGTTTTATTAAATATTCAGTTCTTGTCTTTTACAAAGGTTAGGGGGGGTAAGAGTTAACAACCCTAACCCCCTGAACAAAATCACATTTACTTCTTTCAAAAAGAGAACGCTGTGGGTTATTTGGGATACATACCCCATCAACCAATTCCAGCACTTCTTTCAGCGCCGGGCCAGAAGGAGAGAGAAAGCCAGAACTGTCCACCACCCAGCTGGAGTCTGCTTCAGTCTTGGGGCTTAAACCGTCCTTAGGGGAGGACACAGCACTTGACGGTCCTGCTTCACCGCGGCCAGTTTCAACAGAAACTGAGCCTGGAGCTTCCTGCATCTGGTGAAAAAAACGTAGAAAACACTGAGATTATAAACATAGTTACACCTCTTTAATGTACGATGTGTACCTGTGTTGTATAGTGACTTTTTCAAACGAATGTTATTTTGTGTGCGTACTGAATTATGTGTTTTCTGCTCTGCATCTTTGTCTGGATCATCTTGGGAACCACCGGGAATCTGTGTGAACAAGAAACAGTATTTTTCAGCAATGCTCTCAAAGCTTGACATTGCGTCCATATTGGAGTTATACACGATGGAAAGACAGCCAACCTGCATATCTTTATTCACACGGGCCAACAGCTCTTCAAGTTCATTGGGCCTGAAGACCTCCCCGGCATAGAAACCCATCTCTAACTTGCGTTTGATGGTGGAATTCCAGTGATTCTTCACGGCATTATCCGTCCTGTGTGTAAATATAACAACAAGAAATAAGAGAAGGACGGGCATTGCTCCCAATTACAAAGCAGCTTCGCGGTGTTTTTCTGCGAGCACCGCTGGAGTATTTACCTTCCAGGGAGCAACTTGGCAATCTCAGCCCAGCGGTTTCCGAGCAGACAGTGAGCCTTGTAGATGATGAGGTCCTCCTCGGCTGTCCATGATGATTTCTTCACATTGGGGTTGAGGTGATTGTGCCAGCGCTCCCTACATTGCTTCCCCAGTCTGCCCTTCAGATGCTTGGCGACCATTGCCCACTGTTTGTTGCCATATTGATTTACAAGCTCTATAACCTGCAGAAAATGAAGGGAAGGGGGGGGGCGGGGGGCAACATTACATCTCTTTCTGACAAAACACACCAGATATACTGTTCTTAGAGAGTCAAATAATTGACCTCCATATAACTTTTTTTAATGAATCAACTACCTTCTCGTCCTCCTCCTTTGTCCAGGGACCTTTAACCAATTCTGGGTCCAAGATCTTAAACCAACGGTGCTGACACTGGTGTTCACTGTGATTCTATACAAACAAACACATTCGAAACTTAAAAGTACTGAAAGCGAGATCTGATTTAACAACTCAGTTTACACGTCTCACAAATAAAATAATCGAACTTACTGGAATATAGCTGGCAATGTATTTCCAATCAGTGGGTCCTAGCTTTTGAACCAGAGCCTTGAGCTGGTCATCCTGTAAACACACACACACACACACACGCTCGCATGTTAATGTCCCCTGTCCTACAAGCGCCATTGTTTACACTGAGACAACATGCAAATTACTGGGACAAGTCCTGGGCAATCACCTCCTCTGGTGTCCATTTCACCTTCACTTTCCCACCGTCTCTCTGATCTGCCACATCAGAATCGGTGTCTTGATGCATGGCCTCCTCTCCGTCATCACTGAGGAAGAAACAGCTGTGATGAGCATGTGCAAAGCTGACAAGGAGAGCAGAAAGTAGCTCCTGTGACCCACCACCACCACCACCACCCCCCCTTTAAGGATGCAGAGAGTGGAACTTGATAATCAGGTTTATCAGTCCGGTTTCCTGTGACTAGACGGAAACTCTGTCTATATGCATGAACTAACCAGTGGATGGAAAACTTAGATACAATGTAAGACGTGAATTGACTGCAATGGGTTAAGAAGGAATTCCCTTGCATTAAAAGAAGAGACTCTATTCTCATAATCCGGAAAAGGGCGGCACAGACGAGAGTCGGCTCTGTACTCAAATGTTGCAGGATTGTGGACAAAATACACAAATCAGCCTCCTGAATGCTATACTACTGTAACTTTAACTATAATTCATTATGTTTAATATTGACACTGAATAGGCTATTCAAAACTAGCAGCATCTTACCAGCGCGCCCACCAAGAAGACATTTCCCTCGGTTTCTGTTGTTTACGGTCACACGGTGATTTGTCCTGCGGTCGTTTCACGTCATGTGCATGAATATTAGACCCTGTTGAGTTGTATTCCGCTTCTTCTTCTTTTTTTTGTTGTTGTCTTTAGAAAGTGGCCGCTGGGTTGAGATGGAGGCCTCGGTGCTGTTGTGTTGAATGTAGCGAGCAGCTTGTGACCAGCTGGAGCAGAGCGCCCGGGGTTGTCCGCGCTCCTGGATTTCTATCTCGCGCCCTTCTCCACGGCAGGGGCCGGATGGTGACGTAGATGCGCAAAAAACATGTGCGCATAGGTGCAAGAAGCCAGATGGAGACACTTCCGACGGTGCTTCAAAATAAAATAGTTTTGTCCCCGTTTGTCCCATAAACTGTTTTTTTTTTTTTATATTTACAGCCCATCTGTTGTATGTTTGTCCCAGAGCATTTTCTTATAAGTTCTTAACATTGATAAGTTTACAGCAAATCTGTTGGAAAAGAAAAAAATCAATGGATTAAACAGTTAATATATTATATATTATTATTGAAAACACTCACTTAATTCTAACTGTTCTTTGGACATGTGCTGCTGACCTCTTGGCCAGGTCACCCTTGTGAAAGAGATCCTGATCTCAATGGGTTCTTTATCTGGTTAAATAAAAGTTAATAATAATAAATTTTTTCTGCCCAAATGAATTACACATAGAATAAAAACATATTTATAAAACACGTTTTATTGTTTAAAAGCAGTAGGAAACAAACATATAACTTAAAATGACATGTCAATAAACATTGCATTTCATTTGAATTCTCTGACTAAAATTGCCAGGACTTGTACTGGATTCCCCCACACCCACCTCCTCTTTAACTGATGACCAGCTCAGCCACCAGCTGCATCAATTAGCAAAGATCTTGTGCAGTGAAATTCCACCTGGAGCTCAGTTCAGACTCACTGGCCTATGAAGACAATGGAGAAGGCTTTTTTTGGTAAAGGTAGGAACAATGTTTTTTATTTGAAAGCATTTTCTCTAACAAGATGATGTGGTTTTAAGTGCCATTTTTACATTTTACTTCCTAGATATGAAAAGCTTTGAGTGTTCATCTCCATCGGAGCTTGACAGGAGGTTTTTGGAGGAACAGAGTTGGGTGTCTGCTTTGTCGCTGGAACAATTGTCTATGTCAAGAGTATCGAATGAGACGATGGCTGATGTCTTTGACCCCCGGCTGTCTATCTTGGCTTCTGTCTGCCTGTACACGGAGCCTATTTCTCCATCCCAGGCCTTTTCAGTTAACAGCACTCAAGAAACTGACAACTGTCACCTGGGCATACCTTTACAGGCGAAGTCCTCCACTCCCCACGTGCTCCTTCAAAAGAAAAAAAAGGCTGCTTGTTCTGACCAGTCGTACAGTGAATTCACTTCCTCTCAAATGTCATGGGATGTGTCTTTGATTAAACCAGAGAATAACAGCCCCAAGCCACCCATGGAGTCCAGTGCTCTGGAGCAAACCAGGAGTCCAAAACTCCAGTCGACACAACATTCACAAGCTGAAGTTTCTCCCTGACCTGGCAAAGAACATCTCTCAGATTTGTCTGCTTCTGCATCAAGGACAAATCCAAGTAAAATTTGAAACACATGTGAAGTAAAAGCTCAATTTTGTATCTTTTTAATAATCATTCTGCAAATTCATGTTAACATCCTTCTTGTTTTTTTTTTAATTTACAGGATCCATGTGTAAGGTTTCATGCAAGATGTGTGTGTGTGTGCGCAATTTTAAAACATGTTTAAGCTTTAAATATATAAATAAAGTATCTGCCTATATTTCCTGTAGTGTGTTTAACGTTTTGTGAGTGAAGTACAAAAGAAAGGTATGAAAATATTTGTCATAAACTGTTGTTAGTCACCACAGTACAATGTTTCTACTTAGAGTCTGATGAAAGTTCCTTTTACTTCAGAAAGACTTCTGTCTGCTGTGTCACAGTACATTTCAGATGAACAGGAAGAGTTGAGCCTTAAACAAGTTGGATGAATCCAATCACAATGGAGTGAAGGGTTCCTCTGTTTCCAGGTCATGCTCCTGAAAAGTAAAAATGAGTTACAAGGCTATGCAGAAAACTAATAATACATTGCCTCGTACAGAATTTTCAAGATTGTCTTACCTGATTTAGTTTCTTGAACTCGACAACCTGGAAGAAAATGTGTTCCAAGATATGTTTGGCATCCCTCTGATCTTTATCCAACTTCGGAGTCACCCCAAGAATTTCACCGCATTTCCGCACATAGAATTCAAGATCATCATCTGTACCTGTGAGTGAGAACAGTTTATTCAAAATAAGATTACAAATAGTCAGTCACAATCAAATCTTTGAACTAGCTTGATAATGTCGCTCAGTAAGAACTTGCATTTATTGGTGAGCTGTGCCAGGCGCACTTTCTCAGAAGAGAATGTTTCATCTAGATCGAACAGGTCCAGCATGGGTGGAGGCAAATCACTTAAGCAGGTGGAAACACCTAGAAAACACAAACTCCTGCCTTTAAAATGTCTCTCTAAAGCAAACCGTTTGTTCTATAAAATGTCTGTTAAATACTACTCCTGAAATGAATGATTTTCAGGGATGGAAGCACATCAGCTGGTACAAGAATGTGGTAATTAAACTTACAGAAGGTTGAAGCTGTGGCAGAGGGGTCTCAAACTGTGGTGTGATAAGCTGAAGTGGTTCGTCTTTGACGTTAAGCTGCTTGTAAGCGCTGCAAAAAAAATGTATTCGGTAAGCCAGATAAAAAAAACTATCCAAAAGGGTAACATTCAAATGAGTATTTTGCATTCTCACCTGATGACTTGGGGTAAAGTGTCAGTGGACAGATTAAACAAAGTCATATCAAAGAGAGAGGTGAAGTCCCTGGGGTTTTCATCACCCTCCTGCAAGCAAACTCTGAGCTGTTCGGACAAGCACCCTGTGTCTGGCAACATGGTGTAATCTGTGATCTAGGGGACAAAGGACAGGATGGATGTCAGCTACTATAAAAGACAATATGGCAATACACTAAAAGTCAAGTATTTGTCCTCACCTCTGGGTCTTCAGCATCGATCTGATTCAGCTGAATATTATCAGTCATGAGCCACTGGAGCACAACATCCTGGGATAAAAAAATACAACAGCCTTTATTTGTGCATATAAATTGATGCTTAAACTCCATCTCTCTGACTTGTAAGTTGCCTAAAAACAATTCAAGTGGACTCACGAGGATTTTGCTGTTCTCCTCTTTGTCTATGTATTGGTCACTGAACATGTGGCAGGAACCAGACACCACCAGTTGTCCGGCCTCCTTTATACATCACAAGAAAACTTTTCAGATGAAGTTCAAACACTGTATTGTGTGGTTTGTGAATGAGTTTGAAACCTACCTTTCCTTGATGGAATGCCATGACGGGCCTATTAAGGGGGAAGCAGACTGAGCCAGTTGAAAGCACAGCCACAGCAGGCTTTATCACACTCAGGGTGGCACCATACGGGTACACAAATGTAAGAGCCCTGTACAATAAAAGACAGAACAGACCTCATTAAACTCTTGAAGCACTATGTACACACTGGACTTTATTTTGTAGGAAGGAATGCAAATCTTTTACTGTGCATTGTTTCCAACATTCTCATCTTCAATGATCCCAGTGACCACTTTACCAGCAGCCCGACTAATCTCTCTAAACAAGAGAAAAGGCAGAATATTGTTTAAGAGTTAAATTGTGCATTTATTAGAACATTATTTGAAGACATTTAAAAGAGCATCAAACATTGTTATGCTGTAAAAAAAACAGACCTGTTCAATACGCCATTGGATACAAGTGCCTCCTTAGGATGGAAGTATTTGTAGTACACATTCCTCACAACAGCGTCTAAAGTAGGGACAGAGAGGAAAAAAAAAAACAGCACATAATTTAAAACGTTTAAATGAAAAACCAAGTGAACTGATTATATCAAATGCATTTCAACCCCTTGTAATATTTACCATTGTTGACCATTATCCCAAATTCCTCCAGGAGAAAGTTGATATTGGTGTCATATTTCATTTCTCCTCCTTCACCGAGCATGACCAGGACGTTTCCTCCTCCATCCAGAAAATGCTTCAGAACTTCCAGCTGAAATCAAATGATGAGACCCGAGTTAAGAATCGAGAAACAGCAGGCTAAAGGTACATTTTGATGTGGCTGATGTATAGATAGATAGATAGATAGATAGATAGATAGATAGATACTTTATTGATCCCGAGGGAAATTCAAAGCATCCAGTAGCAGGTTACAAAGACGTACATGGCATGAAACATTTGTTACAAATTAAACCACAAAACCAACGCCCCCCCCTCCCATACATATATATTAACCTGAAAAAAGATTTAAAGAATACCCCTAGATGAATCAAACTTAAACTGTGCAATTAAAAATAGATTTAATTCCTTCCAGTTTCCCCACACCTGGTGTTGGTAAATGGATTTCAACAACTCATATTTCATTATTTTTTTCCATCACCTTCAAAATGCAAAGATTTTGACAAATCACCTCTGATGCTGTGAACTTCTCTCTAGGACCAGCAGATATCCACAACTTGACACCTTTCAGCCTCTCCAAAGACAGCTCCTCCTTCATGCTAGGGCAGACAGCATTTATTTTGCAAATTAGGTTTTTCTCAAAAAATATTTCTGATATGTGTGGGGGGGAAAAAAAGTCAAGGCAAAGGAACTACACATAGACGTCACATTTATTATTAACACATAATAGAATAGAATTACTTTATTGATCCCAAACTGGGAAATTGTGGCGTTACAGCAGCAGGTTATCCAAACACACAATATGAGTAAAAAACACAATGTTAGCAAATCTAAACATAATATAATATTAAATACAAAGTAAATAAGTACTAAAAGATATCAAAAATAAGAATGTGAATATATACAACCAGGATTTAACTAAGCATTATTAGTCTTAAATAGGAAGATTAAATATGGAAGATTAAATGTAAATGTGCAAAAACAGAGTCGTAAATGGTTGTAAATTAAATATGAAAGATTAAATGTAAATGTGCAAAAACAGAGTCGTAAATAGTTGTGAATTAAATATGAAAGATTAAATGTAAATGTGCAAAAACAGAGTCGTAAATGGACAGTATTGACACAAGTTAAAGTGCATGAGTGTAGACATATTATCAGCAGAAACTAAACAATATAACGGGGAGCAGACAGACACATGAAGTGAACATGAGTGCACAGGTAAACATCACTTTACCTTTGTATTTTCCACTGAGCTCTGAGTCTTTTCTGCACGGATTTATATCCATTGTTCGCAGTGAACAGCTCTCTTTTGGAACAATTGAAGACCACAGTGTTGTGCTGTTCCTTCTCCATCCTTAATTTGATGTAAGCTCAACAAAGAAAACTCTTACTTGATTCCCTGGTTCACATTACACCATCGAGCTGTGTTAGCTTAAGTTAGCTACACGCAGATGTTACCCACCTCAGCGTCCCATACTCGACAGTGTTGTTTTTAGCTAAACTACTTTTTTTTGTTGATTAAAGATAAAGGGTTAGACTGTTAAACTAACAACAAAACATTCACTTCCGACTGTCACGCTGTGCTTTCTGTATATCAAAAAGTTACAAATTGGCTTGACGTTGCCTTAGTTACTTCACTAGCGCCCCTAGAAATGATGCATGCTGGGTAAAGAACGAACTGTAACCAAGGGCGCTAAACCGCATAGCAACCAAGCGGTGCAACGCTAAGTAGGAAACATGATACGAATTCATGGAAACGCGGAGTTACGCGATTCCTTTCACCCATTATTAAAAAAAATAATAGATTATTAAGATAAGAAAACCAGACAACGCAGTTGATAACACTATAAAGTGGAACGAAAAGAAAGCGGAACTCATCCACAAGGTGCAAGGGAATCGCCCGGACGGTAAACCCAAGCCCACACAACATAACAGAGCCGCGGGTGTGGTTGAAATGTCAGAAAGTGTCCATGCAAATATGCAATTTTACTCACACTTTTTCCTTTACCTCAAATGTGATGTGGTGAAGTGTGAATCAGAGTTCATGAGGAAGGATTAGGACAGAACCACCACGGCCCTCAGATAGTCCTCTTTCTGCACCTTTGTTAGGTGGATGTTACTGTGGCGTGGGGGTCTTGTCTTGGTAACTGTGCAGGACCCTTGATGAGGCAAGAAGGGACTGAAGCTTTTAACCAGTGGGAAGGAAAGTAGACAACTTTAAGATTTGTTGCACTTTTGTTACATTCACCTTTTGTTGCAGGCTGTTTTAATCCACACACAGACATGCACCTGCACTGATGTTCACCTTGAAGGACAGACATGATAGTCTGAATGCTTGATTCTTAGTTTAAACTAATAATAGGGAAGTGTCACTGAGGCCCATTTCAGTTAATCCTGACTTGAGGGGAAACTCTGGGTTTTCCGTTACAGAAAGGGAGGTAAGTCAAACCCGAGGAAGAGGAGGGGTAACTCAAGCCTGGTCCAGGGTCCAGAGAGAGAGCTTACTTCAGCTCTGAGTCTTTGAATGTTTCTTCAATGAACCCCTAGTTATCCTGTCTTCTCCCGTTTACACAGCCAGAACACGGTTTCATCTCCTCGTTCTTTAGTCCAGCTGCCTTTGAGGCAAAAATAGCCTCCACAAAAACGTTTCTTCGACCATGGCGTGTCCTTTTCTGGACGACCCCATCGACGAAGGAGCTGCGTTGCTCCGCAGGGAGTTACGTTTACGCCGGGAGAGGATTTTGAGGCCCCGACTGGATGTTTTATCGTTTCCAGATAACGACCTGTTTGAGCGTTACCGTTTTTCATCGAACTCTATTTCGTATCTCCATAATCTTCTCAAGCCTCGCATCGCCAACGTCACCCGCCGTGGACGTGCGCTGACATCCGAGCAGATTCTCTGTGTCGCCCTGCGTTTCTTTGCAAACGGGAGTTTTCTCTACAACATCGGCGACGCTGAGCACATCAGTAAAGCCACGGTAAGCAGATCCGTGAGGAAGGTTTGCCTCGCTCTGAAAAGCCTTTTGAACAGTTTTGTAGCGTTTCCTGGGCACAAACCCGTGAAAGCTATCAAAGAGGAGTTCCTCAGTATTGCAGGTGAATGAAGAAATCAATTTGCATTAATGATTAATATTCTGTTGACGACGTGGAGCTGTGACCTCTGACTAGGATAAGTAATTGGATTTTTTTCTTTTTTCTTTAAAGGATTTCCCAACGTGATTGGCTGCATCGATGCCACGCACATTCCCATCACTGCTCCTTCAGAAAATGAAGCGGATTATCTGAACGGGAAGTCCAGCCACAGCATTAATGTGCAGGTAGATTAACTACTGTGTCAAAAATGTCAAAGATGGCATCACAATACCGCAAACTAACATCTCTAATTCTCTGCACTGCCAAGATCATAAGTGACGCTGCCCACATCATCACTAACTTGGAGGCCAAGTGGCCTGGAGCTGTGCATGCCTCTCGGATATTTCAAGAGTCTGCCTTGAGCAAAAGGATGGAAAATGGCAAGTAGCCTTTTAAATATTGAACTTTGAAAGCTTTATATAATTCATTTGTATCCCTCCACACTCATGGTATCCACTCTACATTCCAGGTGAGTTTGACGGCCTTCTGCTGGGTGACGGGGGTTACCCATGCCTGCCAACTCTGCTGACCCCTTACCCTGACCCCGAGCCAGGCCCCCAGCAGAACTTTAATGAGGCCCACTGCAGGACGAGAGCCCAGGTGGACAAGACCATAGGCCTGCTGAAAGCCCGTTTCAAGTGCCTACGCCACCTCAGGGTAACCAATCCTACGAGGGCCTGTGACATTATTGCAGCATGTGTGGTTCTCCATAATATTGCCACGATTAGAGGAGAGCAACACCCGGCCGTACAAATTGAAGACCCTACTGAAGACCACGTCCACCCTGAAGATACACAGGATGGAAGAGCAGTCAGAGACATAATAGGCCAGAAGCTTTTCTCTGATTTAAGCAACCCGAACAACCAGCCAGATCAGTCAAATAAAGACGAATGAGTCACATTTTATTTGGTCTTCTTTATTTCCTACAAATAAAACAACATTTTATGTTCCAATACTTCCTGTGACAATGCACGCACCTCTAACTAATTATTCTTTATTTCAATGTCGAGATCAGCCTTCTGAATTCGGTGGTTCAAGTACGCCATTTCTTTATTTTATCTTTTTGGTGAGATGCATTCTGTACAATTCCTTTAGGGGTAACTGAGAAAATAAAGGGATGACATTAAATATATGGTTTGACATGCAGAATTACCCTCTGGCATTTATTGTAAATCTTACTGTTTTCTTCTGTGCTGTGGAATTTGATGGCCCCTCCGCCTGCTGTTAAAAAGGATATGGATGTCTGTTCATATTGTACTTTCATGCAGGCTTCATGTCTCACTCCACACAAGGATGTAAAGAATTAAGTCAGTAACCTCGTATTAAGAATCTGTAGTTGTAGGTATACAGGTGAAAGGACATTTATGCATGTGAAACGTCCAGCATTATGTCGGGGATGAAGCGTATGTAACCTACATTAAAATAGTCACTGAATGATGTACTTTGTTTAATAGGCCTTAAACAAATGTGTAAAGTATTGAAGGCTATCACCATGGGTCTATAAAGCCTAAACCCTACATCTACATGTTGGAACCATATTCTTATATTTCAGTTTGAGCAGCATCCAAGTCCACTTCTCTCCGCTCAGATTGCGTCGAAATGAAAATACATTTGAGGTTCAATACCCTTCCCCCAGATTAAACCTCTTATATTTGAATGAAATATTAAATGAATAGACGGCGATTCAAGTTTATGACACATTGAAACTGGGTACCCTTTTATGAAGGAGGTTGAACAAACACTGGGTCTGTCTAACCTTTGAACTTTGTCTTGATTTACCCTCAGATAGGAAAATCAGAGAAAAAAAGCAACGCAGCAACATAGAAGAGATTGCAGTGTTGCCTTTTTTTTTCTTCTAAATTCTGCTCATTATCTGTCTGCAATCAGGATTTTCAGCTAGAGCAGGGGTAGTTAGACAACCTCTATTTGTGACCTGTTGCCATGGTGAATCGTAGTTTTGGGGCTTCATTAATGTTGGCTCTTTATAGAGGTTTATAGGTCTATAGAGGTTATAGAGCTCTGTACACTCAATTTACTGCACATTGCACATACTGCACAAGTTCACTTTTTCTTTAAATTCTATTGTATTTTATTTACTACCTTTTGCACAATTTAGAATTTATTACTGTAAATATTATTTATCTTATTTTTACCTCATTTTATTTGATCTATTTTTACCTTATCTTATTTTACCTTATTTTGGTTGTATTGCACCGCGGGACGGAGACAAACGAAATTTCGATTCCACTGTATGTCTGGCATATTTTGAAATTGACAATGAAGTTGACTTTGACTTTGAGGTCTAGTGCTGAACTCTGAGTGAAGCTACATACACCTGATAAACTCAAATCAGTTTCCTATTTGAGGGTAAATCAGGTCAAAGTTCAGGGTTAGACCCAGTGTTTGTTCAACCCCCTTCAGGAAATAGGCCCCAGATGCCCCAGATGATAAAAATGTTTTGTATCTTGTACTCAGGTGGACTTAATATTTCATACATGGCATTGCTTCTGTTTTATTATTGACTTTGTACCAGTTTTGTGTTTGTGTATCTCTGTATCTGATTTTATAGTAGTTCACCATAGTAGGACTCTACGGACTAGATTTAACGTCTGTTTTTAGATATAGTCTATGGAAGAGATGCACTTAATGAACACCTTTCTAAGCCATTTGTTTACATGTCTGCTTATTGGACAGAGACTAAGAGGAAGTTAGGAAGAGAGGGGCTGAATGTGGAAAGGTCATACATGTAATTAGACACTTGTGGCCAGATAAGTGATCTTGTCATTATAGTGTATAATGAAGCCTATGTTAATGGAGTTTCATCCAAAACAAGTGAGATCAAAGCATCAATTTTAATCCATTTGGTGTGGCTTGAATATTAGCTCTTTATTAAAAGGGTTAATGATGCATTAAATATTTTTTCTCATAATGTTCAAAAACATGCAATCATTCATCCTAACATTCACAATTGATTAAGTCCATACATGTCTTAATAAAACTAGCATTGATCTATTGTTAAATTATGAATTGCATGACTTAATCAAAAATAAAATCTAAGTTTTACAAATAAATTATAAAAATATACATTTTTGGAATGTGTTTATAGTTTGCTAGGCTCCATGACTGGTTTCACTCTCAGGACTCCCTCCTGAGAACATGAGGCAGCCAGCACCCCATCTCTTCGCCACAGTCGGCCTTGAACCAGCCCTCTGCTGCCCCCTATTGGATAAAAAAAACACAGACACCATTAGGCTTAAAGCAAGAATCCAAAAGGCCCTAACCCTAACCCATGTTAGTTGTGTCAAAGCTTGAATAAAATGGAATCTGTATTCCTACAGATTCAGTTGATGGGAAGTTCACAATTTATGTCTTAAATTCCTAAAGTGGACAAATTCTTGAAGTGGTGCTAAGACAGACAGAACAAATGAAGCAAAGCAGATGGGAGGCGTACAACACACTGACCTGCCCATGGGCTCTCACACTCGTATAGCATCCATTCGTCTGTGCGGAAAGTGCTGTGAAACCACATGGCGTGGTCCAGGGAAGCGGAGAACTTGGCTCTGTAGTTTGGATAAGGCAGCAGCGCTGTGCCCAGGAAAGCATAGTCTGACACATACGCAGCAACGCAGCAATGCAGCTTCATGTTGCCTTCACCTGCATGAACACACAAGTAAACAATGTTATACTGCTTACAATTACACATCTACATACATACACTTTATACTGAATTTATTTTATACATGTTTTAATATGAGCCTGGTATTAAAGTTGTTCTCTACTAAATGTTAAATTTATTTCAGTATCATGACAGTATGTATTCATGATGTATTCAGTACACTGTGATACACCATGTACAAAAGTCCAAGCTTAATGTTTTAATGTGTGCAAACATAAGAAATGCTTTGATTCGGAAAATAACTGCGAGGCATGGCAGCCACAGTTTGCACTTGCTGTGTGCAGGTTATGGTAATGTTGTGTTTAGGCATGCTGCTGGTGCAGTCACAAGGAAGCACAAGGCTTACTGTATCATGCAGCATCATACATCATAAATGCCAACTGCCTTGTTGCATGGGGAAATATTACTCTCAGAGCTGAGGATCCATCAAGAGGTAGAAGGGAAACTTGTAATGCAGGCCGTTTGATACTTCAGGGGTCAAGTTTGATCAATCTGATCATACGGTAGGTGTGTCAAAGCTGTAACGGTAACGGTGAGGAAAGTCAGGGCAAAAAGAAGCCTCTAGATTCTCATGTTTTTTGAACTTGTGGGGTGAAGATATTTTGTATGGTGGAAGGTGTCAGTGTCATTATGTAATGTAATATTTCTGCGTTGTGGTATGAAGGGAGTGTGGAGTGAAATGGGGAAGTGAAGGGATTCATGTTTTAAGGATACTCTACAATATGTGCTGTTCATTTCTTGCAGTGTGTACATATGTGCAAATTAATGCATTTTACCAATATGTCCTCGTGCTCGCACCCAGAACAGCTGCTTTGGCTCAGCTGCAGAGAGTCTGTAAAAGTGCGGTGGGTTGACCGGCTTGACCTCAATCGGGACCTCATTAGCCAGCAGTTTGTTGAGGCCTTGTTTTGCATTTTCTGCAATGTCCGGTTTGCTGCAAGACAATAGAAGGAAATCATAATTAGGATAAGATTAGATAACAGAATTGAGTTGCTTAATAAAAATGTATTGTTTGGTACAATCTGTGTGTCAATGTAGTCTGTAGAACTATTTTGATTACATGACTGAATTGTAACTTGGGCCAATTCATCAAGTGTTATTTGGCCAAATGTATTGACAGAAATTGAATATATTTGAAGAATGATGCTTCCCAAGATCCAGTCAAAATTCGAATGAATCACGATTCAATTCTCCAATGGAACTAAACACAAGCAGTATTCACGAGGCTGGATAAAGACGGCGATCTGCGTCATAGTCACAGGATGGCAGAGATGATCCCCTGTGCAGAGATTTACCTGAGATAAAGATGAATGAGCTCCTCTACAGTGAGGAGGTCTTCAGGCTGAGGGACCCCGGGCATGGTGAACTGGTGCTGCAGGGGGCTCGGCTGCAGCGTGTGGAATGAGGCTTGGCAGATGAGGATAGGCTGTCCATGCTGGATGGCCTTCACGGAGCGCACCGTGAAACTGCGACCGTCTCTTGTGCGTTCCACTTGGTACAGCACCGGCACCTTCGGGTCCCCTGGAAAACACCCAAAAGACAGCTGCAGGGGGAAAAGCTTCGTTCACTTACTATGAGAATGTAGGGTGAGGGCTTTATTAAATATCTGAAGGGTATTTGCGATTCACTCTTTATATTTCACAGATGTGATACAGCTTGTTGTAAAGCACAGGTTTACTGTAACTGTGAATAATGTTCGAGCCTTCACTGTGTCAAAGACGAGCCGGCCTTTCAGTGCCACCACCTTTATAATGATGCTGCAGCTTACCCGCTCGGACAAAGTAGCAGTGGAGAGAGTGGGCAAAGAGGTTATCGTTGACAGATTTGGCAGCAGCGACGAGGGCCTGGCCAACTATCTGACCCCCAAACAAACGCTGACCGCGAGGCACCCAGTGGTGTGTCCCTCTGTGGGAAACACAGAGAAGAACTCAGGTTCATGCAATGTAGATTTTCTATGTCAGCTTATGTAGCTTTATAAGTCAGGTTGTAAGTAGAGATGCACCGATCCCCTTTTATTCAGTTCTGATTCAGACATTTTTTTAATCATACTATATTAGTGTTCTTATTGTTGTTGGTATCATGTGTTGGGTTACACAAAGCTGTAGTTAACCTGGCGTTGCATTTCTTATTCAAAAATAAATATTGAAATGCATAAAAATTCAAATTATTCAAAACTTTGTGATGGCAGCAACGACTTTCAAGTTTTTAAATGAAATATTTTAAAGTGAACTGTGAGAATAACACTTTTGATCAGTTCAGTCTTGAGTTTCTGCAAAGCGAGACAGTGCGAGCTGAGTTTAAATTACCCAAACATCTTTCTTGATCTGTGACGTTGATAGGCGCCATCGGTACGATATTAGATATGTACCTCAATATCGGACCCGATAACGATATTATATCCGATCGGTCCCATCACTAGTTGATCGATGCGTTCAAGAAGCTATTTGTAATTTTTCAGCTATACAACAGAACCTTTGAGAAGTCTTTAATCCAACAGAGTACACTTGAAGGACAAGTTCATCGTTTTACTTCACTTTTCCATCTTTGCGTAACACTTTCACTGTAAACATAGAAGAACACAGGTGAGACTCAGGATAATGTTGCGCCATGCATGTATTCAATAAGTGTATTCTGCAGAACCCTGATGTGTGTTCAGAGATATTAAATCAGTTTAAAATGCCAAGTAGCTCTAGCAGCTGCAGTAATATAGGAACATTCACTGCACACCAAGACAAATTCAGACAAATGTACTTGGCAATAGATTCAGATTCTTTGCTTTATTGTTGTTATCACTAAATACCAACAAGGCCACATTCATCTACTTCTACTAGTTACGTTTCTGCCATTAGCTTCCTGATATAGCTTCCTCAAAAGGACACACTGTAGAAGAACAACACCGGAATGAATGAATTATCTGACGTCCTCCAAAAGGTCAAAGGTTTGCGAACCATGGCGATGACGTCATAACGACGTCTCGGGGGTTGTCATTTCAGGATGACACAATATTTAGACAATAAAGAACATATTGATTCAATTTTGGATTAAAAACACTGCAGGACAAATTAACATTGAACGTAGAAATAAGGAAGTCGCGTTTCATACATTTAAGTCAAACATATGGAGGCTTTTTTAAGACAATGACCCGGCTTTATAATGGCTTTGAATTTGACGTAAACGTAATTTAGAGATAGGCAACTCACAATTCAAGCACTCGGATCGGACAGCCAGTCATGTGCCAGCCACAGACTGTAAACAATAAGGTGCCAAACCAATGGCAGGGGTAAAGTGACAGATTAGAGCCAGTTACCTGTAGAGGTCTACGTCGAGCATTTCAAGGTTCAACACGCTGGTAACCAAGACACTTTTAAGGTCCTGTGTGAATTGAGATGAGGAGTTTTCAGAGGTTTCATCTTTAGAAGATTCTTGTAATTCAGAACTACCTTCTTTATTTTCTGCCATGTTTGGTTTCCCCTAACTTCTTCTTCTGCAATACATTTCAGACTGACTGCAGCCTACACCCAAGAGTGCAATGCTGACCTCTACAGACAAGTTATTATTGTTTTTGTTTTTTTATAGGCCTGTTTGAAATGATCTTTGGAGCAACATTTTTACAATGAAACTCAAAAGACCCCCTTATGACAATTTGTTGTGCACTTTTATCATCTTTCCTACCAAAAAAATATAAAGGCATAAAGATTAAAAGTTTAAAAATACTGAAATTAGTAGGCTACTTCAGGAATTATGTTTTATACCAGAGGACATTAAGAGCAAATTCCCTGCAAAAACCCAAAGTGTTAAAATGAGTTAAAATGGACTTCAATCTGAAATATTAGGACATAGAAGTACATAGTCAAAAACAAACATACCAGAAACAAGAAGCAAGTGAGGAAACTATAGAAAGTCAAAACAAATGAATAAAAGGAAAATGTCTAAAACTATGTAGAGGCCAGAGACACTAACACGAACCACTGTGTCCTGTGTCCTCTCATTATCCAGAAATCTTCAACTCTTTGCCATCATGAATGAAAATAGAAAAAATGAATAAATGTTGCAGAACTTTATCTCAACCTCCATTGAAGAAAGACTAAATGGTTATTTCACTGATCGCATCATAACTTAGATCATTTCTTTAAAAGGATTGTTCCCCCATCATGACAAGGTGGACAGCAATTTCATGCACATTTGCAAAATGTTTAATATTATTTAGAAAATAGAATAAAAATGATTTAAGACCCTAACCACGTTGTTTTAACAAAGAACCTGTTGAGGAGAATACAAACATATAAAAAACATTGAGATAGTGTTATTTAACCACTCTGTTATGAGCAAACTTGACATTGTTTTGTTTTCTTTGAGGCACTATCTGACTGCCATACATTCCTCAACTTCTGACTACAAAATCCTGAGTCAAGCTCCCCTCCGCCCCCCCCCTCAATCTGCAGCCAGGACCAGAAGATGGCCTCAGCCACTATTTTTTGTCCCTCTGACTTTCTGTTTATCCTTGTTATAGAAATAAAGATTATTTCTGCTGATAATGTGTTTTTTGACTCTTTAATGTTGCTTCCCCTGAGCCAGGGTCGTAACCACTCACTGAAGGAAGCAAAGCAGCGTTTGGGTATATAAAACAAATAGGAATAGTATATGAGAAGAAACATTTCCAGAGACTTGTCATTGTTATGATGTGTAAAGGTTTTGCCAATTATACCAACAGCTAACATTGTCATTATTTTGCAAGATGTCTATTATGAGTGAGTGATTGCACACCAAAGGCACTTCATAGTGATTTTGACCCATATACTTCTTTATTTCCAGCAATTTTACAAAGTCCTGCAGGGAGAAGTCCTCACAGGTGAAGGGCTTTTACAAGAATCTCCACAGAGAACACAAAGAACTCCGCTCCAGTAAGACATGATATTACATTTCTTTCCAAGAGGCAGCAGAGCTGAGTTGGACAGGTGGAATTTAGAGTTCAGACTCAGGCTCGGTGTTGATGTAGAGAGACTGGTTGGCTGATGGTCAGTGTGGGTCTCTGAGTTTACAGAGTTTGAAGCACTGAAGTTAAGAAAGCAGAAGGCGTGAGGGTTCTTAAAGGCTGTTTTTACAGTGGGAAAGGACAGGAATCATTTTTGTCATGTTGCAGTTTTTTTCAGGTTTACTAGTAGTATTATTATTGGATAAGACCTTACATAAGGGGGCGGGGAGGGGGGTTCAGCCTCTAAGACCTCATGTTTGCAGATTCTTGTGACCACAGGCTAAAAACAGACATCAGACCTTCTCCCCACTCCTGCATCATATAAATTCTATTACTTACACATTACAATCAATTTACTGTACATCTTATATCATATTAATCAAAGCTACTTAAAGAGTTGCTACTCTGTGGGGAAACATTACTCCTGATTGGTTACTCTGAGGTGAGCTTGGCTCTGACAGGTTAAGGCCTTTCGATGTTTTACAAGTATACTATCCATGTGTGAGACGTGTGTGTGTGCGTGCGTGTGTGTATCTAAAGACTGGCATTAGGCACTGTACTATTAGCCCAAATTTCTATGGCAGCAGGCGCCAAAGAACGAGAAAAAAAAAAAAAAAAACGGAGATGAGAAAAACACCATCAACATGGAGGCAAAGAAACAGAGCAAAAATGAAATGACAAAATAAACAACCTTATTTAAAGAATAAATATAGTATTTACAATTTGCTTTGTGTGCTTATAAAAATAAATAGACAAAGCATTATGTGCCCCCTTATAGAAGTATTCACAACTATCCATTGACACGGAGGCAGAACGCTGGCGCAGGAGGACACGGACAGAGTGAAACGATGGAGGGATGTGTCGTTTAGAGGAAGACAAAATAAATGTCCCCCTGTGTGGGTGGCTGTGTGTTTGAATCCAGAGGACAAAGAGATGCTCGAAGAGAAAGGAGAATCCCTGCAGTGCCCTCTGGTGTCTGTTTTGCAGATTACAGTACTTTGTGTGTTGTTCAGCATTAAAAAGTCCTTCATCTTTTCGGTTGGTTTGTTTGTTTGCTGCATTTCATGACACAAAAATGGTGAAGATTTCAAAAGATTATGGAAAGGAATAGCAAAGGAAAAGAAAATCTTTTTTTTTTTTTTACATAATAAACACATTTAAAAAAATCAGTCAGATCAAAAAGAAAGATTTTTAACAGGTAAAATAATCAAGTTTTGCACATTCACATTATGTGCCCTGCACATGCATTCTGCTGGCCCCTTAAACAGCATCACATGCAGGTTTTCTTCTAAGTCTCTGCTCAGGGCCAACACCTGTACTTCATAAGTGTAAAGCCTGTCAAAATGGCACACAACCTCCTTTTCCAATATTCTCTTTAACTCAAAGAAAAGGTCAGCTCTGGTCAGTCTCAAAGACAGAGCATGGTGTGTGGGTGGAGGAGGCATGATCTAATGTTTAACCCATGTGTCTCAGATTTATTCCCCTTTGATTTAACATTTACCAGTCAAACATTCATTACAAAAAGCTCAGGTTTCTATCTGAACAGAGGTTAGTACGAGTTAAAATGTCGCGTTTGACGATGACAAGACAGGAACAAAGGATGAGATGTGTAAAATTAGATGCAGAAGTCCACATATTCTATGATTTAAGCCCCCATGTGGTCAGCACTTTTGAGATTTTTTTTTGCAACTGGTCCGCAGTGTGAATTTGTTAGCAACTTGGAAACTCGCAAGCTAGCAGGTAGCGGCTAGCGATAGCGAGTCTCTGACAAAAACGGGCATGGTGGGACACAAAAAAATTAACTCTGATAGCTACATCTGTTTTAGGATGTTGGACTCTGCTACAGGGTCCGCACAGTCGAGACTTTATGCTACTGATCAAGGTTAATTTTAAGAATCACAAAAGAGACAGAGGTGTTGGACTGAATAACAGCGCTGCTTTGATTCGGTTGTAAGCACAAGGCCGAAGAGAATCACAGACGTGCTGATGTGCAGTACAATATCTCAACCTCAAGTGTGATATTGCCTTTATTCAAGAGTTGTACAACCAGAACATAGAAAAAAAACTATTAAACAACTACAGAAAATATATTTTTGCTCTACCAATTCATCTAGTTCTGCGTCTTAACGGACACTGACCTGTTGCCAAGCAACCCAAACATTGTTCTGTACTCTTACTACTTTGTTTGTGTTTAGCACAGAGCGGCTACCTAGTTTGAATAACATGTATTTGTATGTTTGAATGAATCATGCAGTAAGAGTCTGTTTTGTGAGTAAGAGGGAGCAGCTAGATTAAGCAGGACAAACTCTGCTGTAATGTTAGTTTACAGTATGCAGAAGACCTGGCTAAGGTGGAGTGATACACATTGTGAAAAGTCCCAGTGATGCTCTTCTTTATATCAGCACTCATGGAATACCTTGTGTCCAGCGGACTACTTGGTCTAACTACTGTAAAATGGATTTAATGAAAACTGGTTAAAACTGGTTCCAACTTGAACCTATCAGAAAGGTCTCCCAGAAATTCCAGTAGCCACCGTGATCCAGCTGTTAGCTAACCTCAAACAACTTTGTTGGCCTGTCTTTTTGTTTCCCTGCTCCAGCTTCATCTTAATACTTTGTTGAACTTTAAATCCTCAAAGAAATCAATTATCCAACAAAAAAATGTCATCAATCATTAGCTCTCATCTGGCATCAGACTCTACCAGCTGAACCTGAGCGAGCATATCCTGCCTAGAGCAACTGCACTCTTTCAATCTGTAACAATACGCTCAGTTGGCTGAGCTCTGCAGGTTGTTTTCCAGTTTTCTGCAACGTGTTGAGAATCTCTTGTCACTTACTGTACGCCTGGCTTGGGCAACATAACAAATACAACCAGTAGCCTGTAAAGAGTAGGCAGATGGTTTCAGACATGCGGATTGGTGCTAATATCTCGTAAAAGCAGCTCAAGCAAAATGAGACTTGCTAACCTTTTGAGCATCCTGACACAATGTGAGCTGTAACAAATAGTGAGGTTTGTGTCTTTATGTGCGGGGTGTACTGACACATACGGGCTATTTTATTCACAAACACTCAGAATAATTGTCTCTGTGTGTGTTCCCTTAAACTAAGAAGAATCTTACTTAAGAGTCAAGACATGGCATCATGTTGGTCCTCGAGGACTTTCAGGAAACTTGAGGAATTACATACAGGTGTTTGTATGAATTTACACACAAACCAAAAAAAATAAAAAATAAAGTAACAGGCAGTGATTTGACGATACAAGTCTTCAGGTTAAACCGTTTTTGCAGCGCCTGTGCTAAGAGTTTGTTGTATTCTGTTTTGGTCTGATTAACAAGCCCTTAATTGAGAGGAAGTGAGTTCACAAATTGTAAATCATAAATCCTTAACTTTTTTGATGTTGTGGTCAAATCCCCTCTGATAAAACTTTCAGAAGGTAGAACAGAGAAAAGCAAGATGAATTCTACTCAATCAAAAGTTAGACACATTAGTTCTGCATTCATTCTGAATACATGACAAAGCACTTGGTGATTAAGTAATTCAAGGCTTGTTTGGATATATTTTTTGCTGACTTTTGTCTTTGTTTCAAGTGTTAAAACGTCTTTCTTTAAAAACCAAAGAGCTAACATCCCCATTGAAAATAATGAAGACAGGCCCTGCACATACAACATTTATCAGTTTTTACTTATAGTAACAATCATTGTCAGAAGTATTAGGACTCAGTTGTTAGGAAACATAGAGGAGGAGAAGTAATGAGTCCTGTTGGACTGGATCCGTTGGGGTTTTGTTCAGTGTTTGAGGCGGAGATATTTGCGTCTCCGATGTTAAGACTCACACACTGTCTGAACTCTGGGCTGCTGCTCCAGTGAACAGTGTCCAGATATCCTGAAGTAGGATGCTACTGCGCTATAAAATCACCATACCTTCAATCGGAGCCCTACAGGAGATTAGCCCTTTGTTGTAGAGGTTGTCTACTTTCAGATAGCATTCAGGCATACAGGTGATGTTTGCCATCGTCCGTGTGTGCGCAACAGTAGAGTGTGTTATCCTCTTCTTTGTCGTGCGTGTAGGTGCATTGCATTCAGTTGCCTAGGTTAGAGTCTCTGTCCCCGATGAACCAGCGCATGTGGAAGCAGAGGGCGAGGAAGCCAGTCCCCAGCAGGTCACCCAGAGCGGTCAGGTAGGGGATGGAGAAGTTGTCGGGGTCCATGCCTCTGCCCCACATCCAGTGGACCATCCAGTCTGCCAGGTAGAGAAGGATTATCACCTGGTGAAGGGGAAGCGAGAGCACAGTGTTTAACACAAACCACAGAGGCATGGACTTCAAACAGGCTCTGCTGGAGAATCCCCTTTGGCAGAGTCTCAGAGAGTCTTTTAAATGAGGTGTTTGTGCATCTTACAAAGTAGAAAAGAGGTAAAGCTTGAAAAGTTGAAGAACTGAGTAGAAATGAACCAATCAGCTGCCTTGAAATCATTAAAATAAAAAAAGTGATTTTTTTTGGGGCATTTTTGCCATTATTGGATTGGACAGCTGAAGAGAGACAGGAAATGTTGGGAGGAGAGAGTCGGGGGATGACATGAGGCAAATGGCAGAGGTCGGATTTGCACGGTTGGTTGACATAATTGTTTTCTATCACTTTTACACTCTTCCCTGAATTTAATGCATGATGCTTTTCATTTGCATGCCATTATGACATTTAAATATCCATGTAATTGCCCCATGAGATGAATAAAGACTGTGTACCTGAAGCAGTGCAGCACCCATGTAGAAGGTAATAAAGACGGGTGTCAGGGTGGTGTGCCCCCCCCTCAGGGAGTTGATGGTGTACAGGAAGACAAGGTGACCCGGGGCGACCAGGAGGAACAGCACACGCGATGAACGAGAGTTCACAGCTGGAATAGACAGAGCACTTTCTTTGAAACATTTGAAAATATGGTTGTTAACATGGTTGTTAAAGGACAGACTCTGGCAACTCAAAATGATATGATAATAACAAGTGATCCTCCAAAATCTTTCTTTTGTCTGTGGAGAGATAAGAGAGATAAAACGACAACTTACAGGAGCCGAAGAAGGAGGTGCAAGGTGTGGGGCATTTCCTGGGGGTGTGGTTTGGATCCCCCATGGGTAGACCGTTCATGTGCAGGTAGGTGGAGATTCTGCTGGCCTGTACTGCGACCAGGTTACCTCCCACACCTGAATGACACACACAAAAAACAACAACAATCGATGTGACAACATGTAAAAAAACATCAATCCTTTATGTATTCAATGAAAGATATTTTGACTGCTCATGTTTGAAATACTAGCAAAAAGCAAATCTGTTTGCCATCCAGTCAAAGCAATATGCATTCTCCATCTGCCAGCCTGCACATATTTTTACTCACGTGTGACACCTCCGTCTGTTATTTAACCAGGACAGGCGGTGCATCTTTAAATACACATTTCAATGAGATTTTCTGTGTTTTTTTTCCTCTCCTCAAGTGATTAGGTATCACTTCCTCATTTACAGGCTTGTTGGCTGATATTTTTACATCTCGCTTATCTTCTGTCAGCGTCTGCTGTAGTCGAGGGGTTAAATTGGGCCATGTCTGCTCCAGGACTCATCGGGCCTGAGCACGGTTATCTCTTGTACATGAGGTCGTAATACAACACATGATGATGCCTTTATGTTATCATGAAGCACGCTCAGTGTACAGGCGGACTAAAAAATAAAAAATAAGAGGGCGAAGCGGTCGAGTCTGTGTCACACCGATAATGTGCATATTAAGCATAAATTCACTCCCTTTTATTGAACATTTCCACAGGCACACAAAAGTGTAAAAGAAAGGAGAACACTTCCAGACTTCTTCAAAAGTGACGTCGCTGTGATGAACCTTTTTACTTTTCTAATGTGGAATCAGGCCGATATTGAAGTCTACTGCATGTCTTCCAAACTCACAGATTATCCCAACAAAACCCCTGACCCAAAAAAGAATTGTTAAAGTTTCCTCCTGTGAGGTGTAATGACTCCTCACCGTTGATGACGGGGGTGAAGACAGCCATGCCAGCAAAGTTTGGGTTGGTGACTGTCTTGTCGAGGATCAAACCACCAACACTAAAAGACAGAGAAGCAGGTATAACATACAAAGGTATATCATGTATGTCAGATATGTATAACATTGTACTAAAGTGCAGCGTACGCACAACAAAAGTCTTCTAGTTTTATTCTTGAGGGAAAACATTTTTTCCTTTTGCATCACTTTTTTTTTTTTCTAACAAATTCAATAAATGCTCCAATTCCAATGGATTAGAGAAGTATTAAAAATGTTTTTTTCTGAAAACGGTGTATCTCCAAATTGGGATTGGAATTTTTTCCACATAAACTGAAGGATTAAGTGTTCATTTATGGGTAAAGACCATAATCCCCTCCTGCATACGCTAAATTAACTATTTTAAACCTCATTGGATTAACTAGGAAAGGCAACTAATCCAAGAGGGATTACAGGGATGTTTTTCTGGGTGTGTTAAAATTCAGCATCTATGGTTCTCCCAGGACAGCAACACTATCTACATTCTGTAAAGAATCAGAATCCTGCTGCTGATCGGGAGGATTTGTTAACTTTCAGAAAACAAGTGGATTTCTTTTTGACATTGATGCAAAGTTAACGAATCTCGAAAAGTGCAATCGTTTATGCTCTATCTTCAGGAAATTCATTCTGTGGTTCAGAAGAACATGAGTTGATCCCTGTGTGATCTACCTGCTGATCGCCATGGCGATGATGACTGGCTCCCAGCCGGAGTAGAGGAGCTCTCTAGTGGATGGGATCCTCCTGGCTATGAGCACCCATAGGGGGCACATCGCCACAAACACGGCACACACCAGCGGGTTGGCGTAGTCGTTCTCTGTGTGGGAAAATAAGAAAGTGTAAACACAGTCAACACATGATGATGGACAATGCAACGATTTTGTCATGCTCAGATTTGACAAATCCAAAACGCCATGTTTTATTTGTCGTATGTGACTATTTCATTTGTCTTTGTTTTTAAAGAGTTTGAATTATGCTTGAAGACTTTTCCCCGTTTCATCCTTTCATACTGACCGGTGTGTTTGAATGTTTGTGTGACATGTTGTAAGCTTTTTTTAAATAAAAAAATACAATCATGATAAACTGGTGTTTGCTATTAATGATCAGAATGCACTTATTAAAAAAACTCATGGCATCTGCTGCAGGTAAAAAAGGAGGTGGAAGGATTACAGGGACGAGAAATGACGTTTGCTGGAGCTGCAGTGATTTAGGAATGAAAAGCATCAGTGGACATCTGAGGTTAGCATCGCCAACATTAAAAGAACATATTCCATTATTTCTGCTAAAATCTATTGCTCGACAAAGAGCTGATGTCTTGGGGGCGCTGGTGGCGCAGTGGTTAGTGTGCGCGCCCCATGTGTGGGGGCTCTGGTCCTCCAAGCGGGCGGCCCAGGTTCGAATTAGACCTGTGGCTCCTTTCCCTCTCCATGTCATTCCCCACTCTCTCTCTCTCTCTCTCTCTCTCCATTATTTCCAACTCTACCCACTGTCCTATCTCTCCAGTAAAGGCACACAAAGCCCAAAAATAAATCTTTAAAAAAGAGCTGATGTCTTGCAAAACAAATTAAATCAAAAGTTATGTAAAATGATATTAACAAAAATCTTTGGCAATGGGGGTGAAGTGGTTAGTGCTGTCGCCTCACAGCGAGCAGGTTCCTGGTTTCATTGGACAGGAGCCTCTCTGTGTGGAGTTTGCATGTTCAACCCTGTGCATGTGTGGGTTCTCTCCAGGTACTCTGGCTTCCTCCCACAGTCCAAAGACATGCATGTTAGGTTAAAAGGTGACTCTAAATCACCCGTAGGTGTAAGTTATCCAATGACAGCTGGATGGGCTCCAGCCCCCCACCACCCCACTCAGGAAAAAGCCGTACATTTAATGGATTGATGGATGGATCTTGGCAATGGAATAATAATAGTCAGGATGGTTTCTTTGGTTAGTATTATCGTTAAATGTCTACTTTTGGTCTCTGTGTATTAATAATGGTGTCTTGAAAGCTTGTTTTGGGCTTGGCATATTGTTTATGCGTGACACAATAATGAAATAAATTAAATGTAATCAGTACTCCATTCCTAGAATTCAGAGTGTATTTAAAATAGTTGTGTGTATTGTAATTATAAGCACAGAAGCCTATGAATCTGAAATCAAAACCACTGTGTGGTGTTAAAAACCTCAATGTTTAATTTAAACAAAACATACTTGGAGTTTGAGCACCGAGCAGGACTGAACTGTTATTAGGAGTGACAGTGAGTACCCGGTAATGTCTCTAGGAGGCAGTGTTACAACTGAATTGAAACTACGACCACAAACAACATTTAAAAAAAGCAGGCCACATTTTTACACCCAGACAGCAGCTTTGTTTTCGTTCATTAGAACAAAAATGACCCGTAAAAACTTGACATAATTCCTGTGGTATTTACGGTGAGTAAGACTGAAAAATGTCCAGATCTCAGGCGTAAGCAGGGTGACTCAACAATCTGGTCAGGACGGTTACATAGCTCCTGTGTGTGTCAGTGTTTGTCATACTGTGGTGTTGAAAAGATTTGTTTGTCTGTGGTTAAAACACTATTGCAGAGCTAACAATAGAAGCCAAATTGGGGTGGAGTTCTGTGCTTTAAAGCACAGCGAGGTTAGGTGTGGGCGTCTTTAATTGTTTTCACTGCACCCAGCCAGACACACGGTCACCACAATTCAAACAATTGCACAAATGCGGCTCCCTTTTTAAAAAAAGCATCTTTAAAGATATTAAAGGCTTTGAAGTTGCATCACAAATGTAGCAACTTTAGTGACACTTCTAAACTTCACATGTGTGTGTGTGTGTTTGTGTGTGTTTTCTACCTAGTTCCTTGTACAGTCCTGTCGAGATGCCTGCCAGCAGGGACAGGGTGATCAGGTCACCAAGGCTAGCAGCGATGGGCGTGGCCACGTTGTCCGGATTAATGCCCACTTTCCTGGCCGCAATGATCACGCCGATCATGATGAGCCCTGCGGGGTGAGAGTCATTAGATATCACATAATGGGATTCATCTGAGGGCATGGTCACATATGTGATTCTCTATGCAATATGCGAGGTTCAGTGTGTCCATGTATCACCAGGGCTGTCAGGTCTTATTGACTTCTAACTTCAAACACGGCTCAAGAGCAAGAAGATAGAACAGAACATGTTAACAGGTGTGCAATAAATGTGTTTTTCCAGGAAAATGGATTTGGAGTCATTTTACTGTCATCAGGGATCTTAAAAATGTCATTAAAATAGCCTTAAGGTTTGGTGATATGCTAACATTAATAAAGACAAGGCAATAAAAAGCTGCTGGCCAGATAGACTCAAAGTTTTAAGATATATTTGAACTCAGAGCAGTCGAAAGTGATTTCATGTTCTTCACAAAACTGGACACTAAAGGTTCCATGTCTGAAGTCATGGTCACTACATAGTTAAGAGTTTCCTCTCATGGCAAGGACAGGAAAGGATGCCTTAATAATTAAAAAGCAATAATGGCTCAGCTATACAGTGCTTACATTGAAAATGATCATTCTCATATCAGATATTCACCAGATGTTTACAGCATGAGTTTGTCTCCTAGCTAAAATGTTTATGACAGAAAGAATGATCTCAGAATTCATGGGACAGATTGAACTGACAAACTTAACAAATCGACTGATTTTTCTAATCTTACATCAAAAGCTAGTTTACATCACTAGTCAAGAAAATACTAAATAACTGGGGTCACAGGTTACTGAGTTTTTCATGTTACCAGATGGATGTCTCGAGGTTTTTTTGTGATCCACTGTCTTTAGCTCCAACCACCTGAGCGTCCCATTTTTGGTTCAGGTTGAATTTTCTCAATGACCTGTAGCTTAACATTTTGTAGGTATGCATATGCCTCACCATTACCATTATGAGAATGTTAGCATGCTGACATTATCATTTAGTTTAAATAAATGCCAAAGTGACAGAGCAGCCAGCATGGCTTTACAATCTGTGCTCTGTGAAGTTTCCATTTTAACTCTTTTTATGTTTACAATTTAAAATAGATGTCCTTATTCAAAGGTCTAATTATAAAGAGCCATGAACTTTGACCGATTAACTAACTAGTTAATGACCCTTAATATAAACTAGCCCATTTCATGACATTTACTTGAAACGAGATCTTCAACAAAACTTCAGCCCTGTAGTGAAATGTGACCAAGACATGCTTGTTAACAAACTGGTTTCAACATGAACAAGCTGAAGACACAGCTACCCACTCTTTTGACATTTCATGATATTGAGGGGGTTGTTCTGACAGCTTGCCAGAACAACCCCCTCCCCACCGGATTGTTGATGGATGGCTTGCCTCCCCCCACCCCCTTGCTCCCTATCCCTCTTCCTGCATCTTATCCCATCTCTCCCCTAATCCCTTTCCAAGCCCAGCGCAGTCTAGGCCTGTGAAGGCTGTTTCGTCATGAGCATCAGAAGATTTCTGCCTTTTAATAAGGCAGTTTTTTCTTACCACTGTAACTTTTGCTGCTTTGCTAAAGTGCTCATGATGGATAGGCCGGATCTTTGTAATATAGCAATAAGTAAGGTCTTTTACTTGCTTTTTGTAACATAACAATGAGTAAGGTCTTTTTACCTGCTCTTTTGTAATGTTAACAGACAAAGAGTAAGGTCTTTTACCTGCTTTTTGTAAAGTGTCTCAAGATAACACTTGTTATGAGTTGACGTTATACAAATAAAAATTGATTGAATGATTGATTTGATGATGAGGATGCCCATCATCTCAAGAACAGCTGTCGATGTTGTTGATGATGACTAAACATTAACTTTAGTTCTAAAAATAAAAAGTGCTCTTCCTCTGTGCACTTCCTTTTGCACCTGTGGCACTTACTGACATTGTTTCCTCCTCTCTAGAACTTGCTTTTGTTTTACTGACTCTCTCATCTTCGTCACTTCTGATAAAAGCGTCTGATATAAGCGTCTGCTAAATGAGTCGTAGAGATGCAGAATGAATAGCTGTCACATCCTCTGTGGTAGCCGTACCTAGCAGCAGAGAGGCGATGAAGGCCGTGGCCACACTGGAGGCACAGAGCAGGACTGCGTGACCCATCCGGAAGTTTCCTTCTGGGATCCAGCCGAAGATCACAGCAGCTATGGAGGCAAGGAACCCCACCACTGTAGCCTGGACCTGAACCCCCACAAACACATCATCATTAGTCACTCCATTACAGTATAGACATGCTAAGACAAAGACACAGTACCTTGTTATATGTGTGCAACTTTCAGGATCTACTAAATATTGGCATGTAAATTACATTTACAGTGTTACAGTACAACAATCTACCCAACTCCAAAAATAGCTTTGAAATGTAAGAGGTCTGATCTCCAAAATAAGTCTCTTAATAGAGCACCATTGTGACCCAGTGTCAGCGCACAATGACCCTTTAAGAGGTCAGGTCAGCACCCAGCCAGCGCTGGTTTGAAGTGTTCCAAGAACTATGGACTCAACAAACATTACATAATGACAAGCCCCCTTCAGATGGCAGCAGAGTGACTGACTGAGTGATCGAATAAAGCGCTCATTTGAAGGAAATACTGTTTCAATGATCCTCGTAAAAGATGCATATATTTTATTATATTAATGCGTGTTCAGATGGTTTAACTGAGAGGTTGGAAATGACATTTCATTCAGGTTTTTGATTATTGTTTATATCCTTATTTATCTTACACACTGGTCTTTCACACATTGTGAAATGTGTCCCTGCAGTCTCCTTCACACACTGTTTTCCTGTCCCAAGTTATTTTCAGAGTGTGCTTGACATCTCCATGACTCACCAGTTTCTTTGCACCTGTTTTGACGTTGATACCAAAAATGTGATGTCATCATAGACTGTAAATATTAATGGACATATTAATGGACGAAGCCTGAGTGATGTCAGCCATCTGTTAAGGCAGGGGGCTCCGGGGGCTCATCGTCCAGCAGCCGCCATGCTTGAAATGCTGTAACAGCCTAACGACAGGCTGAGAGCTGAGGCGGGTTTTAAGTCTCCTGACGAACCACTACACTGGGCCCAGCTGTCAATCATGTCAGCTATACGCCTAACTATAAATAACATGTATTGTTCATAAAATCAAAAGAGAGCCGTTTAAAAAAAAATTCAGTGAGGACAAAAACTATTTACACCTTTTTTTTTTTTTTGGTTCGCCTGTTGTGTGTACGTGACTTCCGGGGCTCCTGGAGCCAGCCTCAAGCGGACACTTGAAGAACTGCAGGATTTCTGATTGGAGTTCTTCAGATCATAACAAGACAGCAGGTGTAACATTGGTGTTTAAGGGTTTACTTCATCAAATTATGAACTAAAATTATATCAGGATATTTTTTAAATTTGAAAGTAATTTGGAAAATGAGCTATCATTTTGCATAATGTGTAATAATAATATTTTAAGTCAAGTATAATCCTTTGCTAATGCCTGCCTAATACTGTAGTGTGAAATGTAATAAAAGTGTATAACTCTGATTGATGACATTTTGCATGCTTTTGCTTAAACAACAATTGAAAATGATTACTACTTTAAAAAGCTACTTATTTTGGAGGGCAGATGTTGTGGTGCATTGTTGTGCATCCTCCACCATACCCAATACTACAGGCAGTATCAGAAAATGATCCTGATGCTGTTATTGCACATCCTCTGTTATGCTGCATACTCCAAAACAGGAGCTTTGAGCTCATGATGGAGTTTTAATTTTTTTGAAGGGTGAGTAAAAAAAAAAAAAAAAAAAAAAATCCAAACATAGGGAATTCAAAGGTACTCTCTTTCCAAACAACTAAAATGCATTTATTTCCTGACATGGTTTTTCAGACCTTAAATCAAATTTGACACTTTTTTCAGATCAAGCCTTCATCAGGAAGTCAAAATCCTTTTCATTCTCACGTTTTTCTTGTTGGGAGTAAGTCTCATTGCCAACTCTTAGCACCTCTGAGTACAATCTGAGGATTGGGTCAAATATAGTCATTATCCGATTACTCGCCATAACCGTGTTACTGCCAGTAACCTTGTTTACTGGCTGGATGAGAGTGGTGTCAGAGATGTTCCATGACACACAAGTTCACCTGATAGTCCTCTATAGATGAGTTTCATTTACCTGGATGAGGGCCAAGTTCCCCATGATCATCTTCCACATGTCCTTGGCTGTGTCCATCTGACCAATATTAGCCTGAAAGACAGACAAGAACACACGAGGTCAGCATATTATCGTCTGTGGGTATCTCTTGGGTGTATGTGTGTGTGTGTGTGTGTGTGTGTGTGTGTGTGTGTGTGTGTGTGTGTGTGTGTGTGTGTGTGTGCCGGTGCACAATGTGTGTTCATGTCGTTGCCTCTTGGTCCCGTCAGAACAATCAGATGTCAGTTCTCTGGACAAAGACCCTCTGATGTGTTCCCCCACCCTGCGGCAGACTCCACTTAGCTCATCTCCACTCTTTCACACACACACACAGACACACACACACACACACAGACACACACACACACACACACACACACACACACACACACACACACACTCACCAACACAAACACCGATGGTCTCAAGTGGCGAGTGGCTATGGCTACAGTGGGCTACTGTGTGTCCAGAGCAATGATCCTGATGCTCATCCACAGTGAGAGGACACAAACAGAGGATCTCCTCTTCCTCTGTCTCCTCCAACATTTACATAAGCAGAGGGAAGAGAAACATCTGGACTCATCCAAACACATTCAAGTCTGTGTGTGAGAATATCTGCTTCATGCTTCATCCCAATACAGCACATTAAGAAGTGATAAAAGAGACTTTCTTTTGGGAGGAATGGGGCAGGGTTTCATGTTTTATGGATACTCCAGATTGATTTTGTTAGCTCTGACATTCTTTTTTTTTTTTTTTTTCAGTCATGATTTCACGGTCCTCGCTAATGTGGAGCATCTTGGAGCAGTCCCGTTTGCCAGTAAGCACTTTATCAGACACGCTATGCACAAGCTTCTGGTTCAGGTCGGTCATGTGCAAATTATTATTACAAGTCGGGTTGTTTGAAATGTCACACAGTTGTTCTGCAACCTGCGGTGGATTGTGGGTAAAACGTTTTCGTGTTCAGATCTTTATTACAACTTTGGCCAAGTAAAGTGATGTTTTTTAGTGATTCCCACTTCTGGTTCTTGTCCATTTGATTTATTCACTTTTTTTTCAGAGTTAGCTCTCACTCACTGTTATTTAACTCTCATTGTATCTAAATATTAATAATTATGTTTGATCTCTTATTTGTTTCTGCTGTGTTTTTGTCCATCATTGTTTATCATGGTTTTTATTCTTCATTTTCAACCTTTTTTTTTTAAATACACTGTTTGTTCCTTCTGAATGGACTTGGGGCGTTGTCTGTGTGTTTGAAATGTGCTAAATAAATGAAGCTGCTGAGCCTTGCTTCATCATATCCACTGTTGGCAGAGATTTTGCAACAAAAGGCTTTAATAAAACCACTAAACCAGAGAGAACAGGTTAGCCAATAGTTGATGAACAATCAGAAATCTGTCTCATGAGTTTTAGAGAATGTGTTAGGACTGAAAACATTTTTCAAGTTTTGAAGAAAAAAAAAATTCAAAGAATAGCAAATGTTGCTCTGTGTCTCCAATTTCCCCCTCGTGTTATGGTTGTGCGTTTGTTAGCTTGACCTAGCTTTAAAGTTGACTGATACAAGTAATCTTGTATTTTTTAATTATAATTATTTTGTTTTACCAGAATAACAAATTCATGGAAAGCAGAAAGAATAAAAAGAGAGAGCAAAACATTGAACATTAGCTTGTTTTTAGAATCATTTTGTTAAAGTAATAAGCATTAATAATGAGCAGTAATAATTAGCATTAAAATTAACACTAGCGAAGCTGGAACAATGAAAATAGGAATAAAAGACATGACTACATAAATATAAACGGATATTTATAGTGGGGCAGCTGTGGCTAAGTGGTAGAGTCGTTCGCCTCTCAAACCAGAAGGTCAGAGGGTTCAATCCCCAGCTCCTGCAGCCACATGTCTAATGTGACCTTGGGCATATTCACACGCCGCTCAGTCCGCGGCGTGTGAATATGTATGACTGGATTAGTTAATACTGATGGACTCTTTACAGCAGCTTCTGCCGTCAGTGTGTGAATTGGTATAGGTGTGACCTGCGGTGCAAAAAGTGCTTTCAGTAGCCAGACTGCAAAAGCGCTATACAAGCTAAAGTCCATTCACTTATTAAATGGATTAAAAAGCTCCAAATGGCAAAAAACAACTTATAAAAACATGATGGGATTGTCTTGATGTATTGATGTTCATATTTGCTCATTCCATGTATGTGTGGCTTTCCTCTCCCTCTCAAATTTCTCTCACACAGGCCCGACCTGGCAGCATGACAGGGGAAACTCACAAGCCCCGATGACAAGATGATCATGTGTTTAGGAGGAAAAGTCATCAGAACTTGTGTATCTGCCAGTTACAACCACGCAGGCATTCGCTCAGCCCATCAGCAGGATGCATGAACATGTGTGCATGGTTGCCTCCTGCTATGTTTGACGTGCAGAGGGGGCAGAACGCCACAAACACTGATAAGACGGTTGAAGGCAGAAAGATAAGAACAAGCCAAACATCAGTGCAGAGCATCAGGGGCGTCATAGACTCATTATGAACCCCACAGACACGCAGCGTTGGTTCTCAGACAGAACGTATGTCTGCAAAGTGTTTAAGGTCCTTGGATAAGGACATTTCAGGGGTTTTTTTGTTATATTTTTATTGAACAGGACAGCTGAAGAGACACAGGGAGTGTTTGGAGGAGAGAGTCTGGGATGACATGCAGCAAAGGGTAGAGTTGGATTTGAACCCACGACTGCTGCAATGGGGACTATAGCCTGGGACGCATGACATCCCTGCTAGGCTATAGGGTGCCGTAGGACAATTAGTTTTCATGCAATAATAATTTTACCCACTCATTGCAAAATATCCTTTATGACCGACAAAGACATGCGCAAAGGCAAAACCTGATGTTATATGAGCAAGGATCATGCCAAGTCCTCAGCTTAGGATGTGTGTATTTGTGAGTGGGTGGGTGGATTATCAGTGTTTGGATCATGGAAGAGATGCAGCACTTATGAACGTTGTGAACATGATTCATGGATGACATAAGAGGCATTAAAGGCTTTTCAACCCTACGCTTTAGAAGCTTCTCCGTCTTTCAGTTGAATGATGATACCATTCATTTTCAACTCATATTAACATGACTCTTGTATACCATACTGAGGATACCATAGGCGTTTGTAGGTGTTGTAATCTCTCATTAAAGTGTGGTCAAAGTTGCATGATTTGGCAATTTGGAAACAGTTGCACACACAATGCAGGCGCTGCCAAATTCAAGTAATCCGCCAAATATGGTCATCCAAGAACAAACAATTAGGTTTAACTCCATGAGAAGGGATGAAACAAAACAGAGAACACATCTGCATTTCCTAAAGTTAGATAAACATGTATGAAAAACAGGGAAAAGGGCTCACTTCAGTCAAAATCCAAAGAAAAAGGTTAAAAACCAAAGAAATTCTAAAAGGAAACACAGTCATGTGAGTTGAGAACTCACACTGCCAGCCAGTTTGAGGGATTACATGATTTTTTTTTTCAGTAATAAGCGCATTAGGAAATTTACAGTGGTCTTAATCTGCTCATAATTAGTGATGACGTGGAAAGAAATGTGGTCCCGCTGGGGCTGGCCAGTAGAGAGCTAACAGTAATGTCTCAAGACAAGCCCCAGACTTCTGGCTTCTTTAACGGGCTATGATGGATTGGACAACTGGGACCAAGTAAAACCCGATTATGTATTCTGACAGATTATATATCTACAAAACCTCACTTCTTCAAACTGGCCTGTGCAAACTGGACCACTATCAACATGTTTGTGTTGACAGTAATGGTGAAACATGTGAGTCCAGATGTGTCTGAGCCAAATACCAACTACCATTGAACACACGTTCTAGAAAGATTCAAAGAGCAATTATTAACACTCTTTAGCCCTGAGGTTTTTAATTTAACTCTTTAATAAATCAATTGAAGTTCACTGCTTCACTCTGTTCATTTGTTCAGGAGTCAGGGAGAATTCAACTGATCACCTTCAGACTCCAACATGGCCTCTTTTTCTACCTGCCTTGGTGATTTATTGTGTTTGCAAAGAGTTTTCATCATGTTTATATCCTTTAATTAGTAATATTAATCTTTAATAACTCCTGTAAAGAGATGCTTCTCACATCAGGACAAACATGTTAATAAAGCACTCATACACTGAGGTTTTTATCATTTAAGTGTACCACCATAAAATATTTAATTAATTTTCCCGTAATATAATTTGTTATATTACGGGAAAATCAGAAAAGGGAGATAGAGAGCGGTAGGGACAGTAAGAGCAAACACGTACATTCAGGCAGCGCAGACACGTGGATCAGCCATGGGCAGAGAGGTGAGGAGGGAGCAAGTGCGGGGTAACGTTTTGCATTTATCCTCCTGTTTGTAGAACATTTTTCTCTTCTTCTGACGAGCACCTCACATCTACACTGCCGACATGTTAGCTTGTTGGGTGTGTGTGGCCGTCCGTTAGTGTTTTTGTGAAAACGGCTTGCGTGTATGAGTCTCAGATGGGCTCAAAATCGCCTAAACCTGTGATGACCGGCCGGCCACCGGTCAGGGCTGCTCTGGCTTGTAAACTTTAGTCATCTGTTTTGGTTTTCGCTGTAGCTGCTGATGCAAGAATAAAATACATTCGATATGTTGAATAAGTATAACTGTGGATAATGTAAATTTAATGTAACAAAATTATCTTCACCAATTAAAACACAATTACTACGCTACTCAACTCAGCTTATATCATTTGAAAAGATTTGAATACTCAGTTTCTGGACCATGTTCACATATTTTCCAATAGTTCTGTTCAAATAGATAATGTGTGTCATATGACTGAGTTGAGCTTCCCTAGCTGGGTTGGACACTGTTAGCTATGCTAATCAGCTTCGTCACATTTCCCACAGTCCAGTGGAAAGAATGTGAGGATTGGTGCGCTTAAGGTCAACGTGCTAATTCTCTTATTCCTTCAAGGTGTGCTGCTAACCTCCGATCCGGCTCATAGCCTGGAAAATCAAGTAGCCTAGCGAGTAAATCAGCAAAGCAACCAAAAAACGGACAAGTTTTCGGTAACAGGCTATTTTGTTGAAAAGGATTTCCTGCGACTTGACATCTTAGAGTCTTCTCATCTTTACACAGAAAATAAACATTAGCTCAAGTGAAGAGCTATAGAAGGTCAGTAACAATGATAAAAAAAGAAGAACTGGGCAGGAATGTTGCTATCAGTGTATCTGAAACCTAGGTCATGTTTGGCAATGTGACCTCTGACTCCAAGAACAATCCGCTTTAATGGGTGTGACAGGGGTTGTCAGGGCAATGGGATAGATCAGTAAACCTTTAAAGGGGAAACACCTTAAACAACCACAAACAATGGACACGATCCTCTGACCTGAAATGAGATAATTTTGCATCAATGTAAAAAAAAAAAAAAAGCACAGCCTGACAGCTGGATTGCAAAGACAAAGGAATCCCAGCGGTAATTCAAAGACTCACTCTTGACAGTGCGATGTATGCGATATAAAACCCTTTTAAACACATAAACAAACACACATACGGTCATTGTTCTGAACCGTCAAACGGAATATTTTGTTCTGGAAATAAACCGGATGTTGTTTTGGTTGTCTGAGCCAGTGGAAGCACACACATTGAATAACGTTAAAAAAAAAACCTATCAGCTCCGACTGTGACGGAGCGCCGACGGACCGAACGCGCTTCTGGTGGAATTTAGGCTTCACACTCTCACACGCATTCATTTCTTACCGCTGTGGAAAGTCTCGATGCCAGCGTCATCTCCAGGTTGCCTTTGAGTCCCAGCAGTGCAGGAACGAGGATGAACACCTCCGACACCTTCGTAAACACCGTCCAGTGCTGCAACAATCGACATGTAACATCAGTGACATACAAACAAGAACATGATGAACACAGTGAGACATGGTACACTGTCACATACATATGGAATGTATTCTCAGTTGGGAACAGAACGTCTCTGTGACCTTAATCTTTATATTGATTCAGTTGTGAAACCAGACCTCTATGTCGGACCAGACTGTCTGCCTTGACAGACCTTTACACTATATGTAGCATGTCAGCTCTCTGCTCTCTTTAAACAAGAACAAGGTGAGTGGGACCTCAGGCTTAAAGGATTTATCATCCTCCTGTTTGACCCCTGTCCTTTATATGTGACTTACCATCACCCATCAATCTTCATTAACTTTAACACGAGGACAAACTTATCTCACTTTCATCTAAATTAAAACTGTATCTTCCTTACATGCACTCTGCGAGTAGTTACACACACTAAGATTTTTTTTCTCATAGTCCACTGCACAGCTCCTACATTGCACCTTTTGTACATTTTGTGTTTTTTTATTTTTTATATTTTATTTTTTTTTATTCTATTTTACATATCATAATCGTATACTGTATTATTTAAGTTGTTGCTAGTTCTGCTTTATTTCCTTGTTAACTGTTTAGCACCAATACACCAAGTCAAATTCCTTGTATGCGTTAATGTACTTGGCAATAAACCCCGATTCTGATTCTGATTCTGATTCTGATCTAATAGCATCTCAGAAGTTATCAGACCTAATAACATTTTGATTACATAAGCAAATCAAAAATGTATCTGTCTTTTCTGTAGAGGAAGCATATTGGTTTGAAGTGCATTTACAAAGTTTGGTGCCATTTTCAGTTTGTAGCCTTGTTTCAGATCTCTTTATTGCTGCAACCACAGTCATGTGTCTGTTGTTGCACCCTCTATTTGCATTTCCGCCAATCAATCAAAGTTAAACTTAAAAGCAGTATTAGAGTATAAGCAACATGATGAAACTTTGAAATACGAGGCCATTAATGTTCCAATACTGTGTTAATATTTCCTGAACAATGTCAGCTTGTGTGGGTTTATACAGGGCAGGTACAATGGAGTGACACATGGTAAGGAGCATTTTGATGGGGCTGAGGTACCATGTGCCTAAATTCTGTAGTGTATTAGACGATCCACAAAATAAAAAGAGGATGTAACTTTTTTGATTGACACTGTTGGAATCTGCCAACAACAACTTTAAAGTGTTTCAACAGGTTCACACTGTCGCCGTAGTTTCACGCTCACCGCTGTCACTAGCCCCCGGTTTGTGTTTGCAGTGATAAAGAGCTACAAGACATGAACCGAGCTAACCATGCTAAGTCTATAAATATGCTACAGCTGATAGACAGGACTGGTGCACTCTCAAAACGTTCAGGGTAAATCTCAAAAGCTAGGATTTCCATTACATTAGCCGAGTAGTAGAAGAGCCATCTGGCAGAAGTTGTTTGCAATGAAGTGCAAAGAAATGACACGACTGAACTGAATGATTGTTCCAAAGAGGAAATGAAAACCAAAAATGTTTATCAACTTTTATCAACAAGTCTCTCGAAACCTTAAGAGAGTATCAGCTTCTAGAAAAAAATGATTTCCCTGTGTGGCCTTCTGCTCAGTCTCTGCCTCATCACTGGGAGCTTTATTATACTTCAGGCATTACCCCCAAACCAACAGAGTCCTCCAATAACCATCTTAATATAAAGGTGGGCTTTCACAACAATGTCTGCATAACATTCAGAACATGTCTGCTCACTCATTTGCCAGATATAAGTAGATGGCCTTTAATGTAATGTATAGCTTGTGTCTTTAGACGTGACCCTCAATAACCTTCCTCCTGGCTGTCGGCCAAGTCCTTGAGCGGTGGCGTTCCCTGTAAGTCCCCGGGCCTGTCACTGTGTTGAAGTGCCTCTCTCTGCCGTGCCCCTATTAGAGCACATGCAGTGATAGCAAGTTTGTGGTCTACTGTGGCCGCAAACTATTGCTGAGGCCCAGGCCATCGATCTATCTCCAGTGAAAGTGCTTATCTTTGGAGCCAGGCCCAAAGGCCCCCAGCACTTACAGTCCGGTCTACCCAGAGCTGAATCAATATTCACAGAGGCTGACGCAGGGAAGAAAGGAGGAGAGCAGAAAATAGACGAGGGGAGGATAATAGAGGAGTAGCTCACGTTGAAGCAAAGTAAAAACACAGTTGGCCTGCATTTCTCACAGCAGCCAGCTTACATGTCTGTTTTGGTGTGTTGCTCCCACTGTGCATCCAGATGGACAGGGCTGATAAGGGGCGTACTCTACATTTCAAGTTGTGTTGTATCAGCGGGTTGGCCTCCAAAACTCTTATGCGAGTTAAACTCCTTCTGTCCGTCCCTTGCTGTCACCAGGCCAAGCAGAGCTCTTTTCCAACAGGCAGCCCCTCCGCCTGGCTCACTGCCTTCTGCCAACCCAGCACCTCTGCAAGCACTCCTCTCCTCTTTCCAGGCCGCATGTTTTCAAGCTTTCTCCCTCTCTCTCTCTCTCTCTCTCTCTCTCTCTTTTCTACTTCTGCCTCTTTCCTCTATCTCCCTCTCGGCCTCCCCTGTGGTGATATATGTTGTTGTCTCCATGGAACACTGGCTCGGAGCCAAACAAGCCCTCCCTCCCCATGGCCACCTCCGCGGTTCTGAGAACTCTACTGGACAACCCCAGTACCTCTGTGTACAGACCTATAGGAGCTCTGGTATGCAAGCCCCCAGAGGGTCGGGTTGCCCAGTTGAGTAACACAGCCCCGTTTTATTTGCGATCACTGTACTTACTGTACCGACAGGAACGCTGAACCTGACGGCATGCAATGTCGACGCAGCTTCGGCAGCGTCCCAGAAACGACATCCGGTGGTGTCCGTTTCATTTTACTGGTGCTGGTCCAGGCTTATGTGTCAACACGTGACATTAAGGTTACAATTCACATCACGTTGGCCCAAACAGTTGGACGTTCTGAAGATGTACCAAAAATTGAACATTAGCTATGTAAATAGACCTTCTCAGCATTCACTGATTGAACAAAGAGGAATTCAATTAATTTCAGTTGAGGTATTTCTGTCATGTGGGAATAAGGTGAACTGAATGAATGAATGAAACCTTTATTGCCCTAGGGGAATTTGCCTCGCACAGAGAGCTCAAAAACACAATACAAACAAACATTTACAGGACAGCACATAAGAACACATAAAAAAACACACTAAAGCATCACATGATTCAACTGAAATGTGCTTGTGCCTCGAAGCTGAAGAGTTTTCAGTCACACAGTTGCCATAAGACTCACTAAAGCTGCCCGGCATGCTAAAATCTTAAAGAAGCACGACATGCACATGCTTTTTGAAGTGCAAATATAGGCGCTGGGATCCAGGAAGTTACTGGACAGAGTGAAAGATTAGCCAGGGTTTGTGGCAACACAAAAGCAATCTAACCCTCTAATCCCTTCCACCATTATCACTCAAATGCTAACCAAAGAAAGGGTTTATTGTGTGGTGCTATAGCTGTGAGCTGATGGTAATGATTGTTAGATGGAAATGAGTGAGCAAAACACCTAAAATAGGAAGTCAAACAGGGCAAAAGGGAACAGCAATTATTTGAACAGATTGGAGAGATTGCAACTGAAGACAGATTGTAAAGTTAGGTGGCACTATTTCATTTAGAAGAGAATGGTGAACAATTGATGAGCACATATAAGCATCAATTCTGTCGAGTAAACTGGGACAGGTTTGTAAAAAAAAAAAAAAAAAAGTAGTTGGAATGCTGATTCAGGTTGAGGGAATAAGCCCACGCTCTGCTTTCACTGTGGCTCCTGTTCCAAACAAGTGGATGTGGTTAGACCAAAATGGTGACTGGTGGGCAGTGAGGGTTTGGCTGGTTGAAAGTTACTGTGTAGACTACCATTTCCTGTTTACTGGTGACTGTTTTTAAAAACTGTTTTTGAGGCTGGAGCTCTGTCCCACTCCTTCGCTTAATTTGGCTATTTGCGTCGACGGACACCACAGTGCAGGACGGACGGCTAGACGCTGAGGCAGACATCATTACACACACACACGATAATGACTGTTTAATGGACTGCCAACTGTTTTTTTTACATTTGGATAATTTGTTGTTTTTAGTGGAAGAAACATTTTAGGATATGTCCTGTGTAGTAAATTACCCTGTTGGCCTTTGACAAGGGCATTCCAAGGAAAACTAGCACTACGTTTTTCAAACTATGTGTAACCTTTAGTTAGAGTGAGCCGGTAACCCTCAAAGTCCTAAGTGTCTGGCCCTAGCTGTAAGAGACTGACAGTTTTAGGTCATTCTGCTGCCAAGTCACTGAGCAGAACTATGCAGACGTCTTTCCCTTCTATACCAGCCTGCACCAAGTCCTTTCAGGGCCAGCCTTGAGAGGGAATGAGGCCATTTGCTCTGCGTGCATGTATGTACTCAAGATGGTAATAGAGACCTTTAAGAGGTCACATTTCAAAGAAGCCGTAGAGAGACTGACGCAAAAAGCCATTTCCTTCTATACCAGCCTGCACCAAGTCCTTTCAGGGCCAGCCTTGAGAGGGAATGAGGCCATTTGCTCTGCGTGCATGTATGTACTCAAGATGGTAATAGAGACCTTTAAGAGGTCACATTTCAAAGAAGCCGTAGAGAGACTGACGCAAAAAAGCCATTTACCTATCCAAGCCGTAACCTCTAAACTCGGGCCAAGCAGACACGTCGTCTACGGGCTCAAGTGTATCACATTTGCAGAAAATAGCTGATCAAGTCTGACCAAACCAGTGTATGTGTGTGTGTATGTGTGTGTGTGAGAGAGAGAGAGAGACAGTCAGAAACAATTAGACAATTACCTTCATGCAAGGACATGAGGGATTAGCCGAGTTAGCATTTCACTGAGTCATGAAGGGGGAATAAGCTGGAGCGACACTCTGCAAGGTGCTCCGTTTAACTAACAGGAACATTTGTTTCAACCTTACTGTCCAGCCTTACCTCTCGGTGAGGACCGTGGTTAACTAGGAGGAGAGATAATGCGCGATAATGTCTTCTCTTGTCCAGCTTTACCGCTAGAGGAAATACGTGCAGGGTGTTTTGGAAACTGGAGAAAACCGCAGCAGCATGGTGCCTCGGTTGAGGCAGCATGAAAACTTTTTGACCTCGAACCTCTGCATTCCTGGTTTATTGACGATACCTAACCACACGGTAATGAGGGCTTTGAAACGGCATTGTGTTTTGTTTTCACACTGACTTGCGCAGCTCAGCTGAAGTGCGCTGCCATTTCAGGTGCTCAAAAGAAAGTACACTTATTCCCTTCCCCTCCTCCCCTCCTCCCCTCCTCTCTGTGCTGAGTTCCTGGGGTCCACCATGCTGGCATCAGTATGTGTGTACACAATGTGCCCTGACTGGTCTCCTGGCAGCCGGACACTTCAAACTCTATCTGTATCACAAGCTGACTCCAGAGTAATACTGTATTTGACCTGTCAGCGTGACTTTGCTCTGTATTGTTACACTACACATGCACACTGAATTATACTCAGAGTATCTGCAGTGAGTCAACAATAAAAGAAAGGACAGAGAGTCATTCAAAATGATATATATCTAATTCAAAATAATGTCTTAATATATTAAAGAATCAAACATCTCTCTGGCTACATAATAGGATACAATGAACCTCCTGTTATTGTCTCTGGGTTGTCAAAGCATTCCAGAATACAAACAGAAGGGTGTGTAGCCTATTATTGATGATTGTAACAGTATGTGCCAGCTCTAGGGAAAGGTTTTAGTAAATACCCCTATGTTTTACGTCACATGCCAACAGTACAATGACTGACTTAAGACACTCAAAACAGGTCTCGCTGGACCTGTTCACTAAAATTCCCAAGAGGCAAGTCCATTTGAAGTACATGAGACATAAATAGAGTCTGCCTGGAGCACACACTCTGCTCGGAAATGCGACTGTGACAAGTTGGATGAGTTATGACTTAAGTTGAGGTGTCAGTTGTGATTGGATGTGATAAAAGGAAAGAGTTAAATGATTATATTTGCTTTACGTCTGATTGGGTATGCTTGGGAACTAGATTTGCTCATGTGATAGTATTTTGAAGATAAAGAAAAGTATTTGGCCATTTTCGTTCCACACTGCCATTATTGTTCCAGAGCAACCACAACATTTGATTTTGCCTTTGTTGTTTCAAACTGTTCATTTAACTTGTAAAATACAAAAATACCTATTTGGTGCAAAAAAAATAAATAAAGAGTTCTGAAAGGGGAATTAACAACACTGAACCTATTTTTTTATTTTACAGTTTCCAACTAGAATCGTCCAAAACCCGACACATTTTGTCATTCTTTATCAGCGTGTGTTTTGTGTGACAGCGTGGAGTCGAGAATATATGCTGGGATCACTCACCTGGACAATGTCGAGCACCATTCCAGCTGCCACTGTCCCAAACCCGGCCAGCAGGAAGAGGGAACACCACCTGGAGGCCAATGGTGAAGGAGGTCTCTTTCAGGGGCACGGGTGGCTCTGGGCTGTGGTCGGTGCTGGTGTCGTCACTCCCGTTACTCTGGCTTGCGTTCTCCAAGAGAGCATCCTCCTCCCTCTGTCCTTTGGCATTGGCCCGACAGTCCAAGGCCACAACAATCTCGGACCTCTCCTCATTCTCTCCGTTCTCACCAGCCCTTTCATTGAAATCTGTGACCTCTGTGAGCTCAAACTCGACCCCGGTGCCCGGGCTCACGTCCTCTGAGCCCTTGGTGAGGATCACCGGGTGGACAGTGCTGTTGGAGTTGAGGAAGGCTGGGGTTAGGGGGCCTCCCTCTTTCTTCTCCTCAATGGCCCCAGAGGACATGTCGATGTCGGGGACTTTGTCTTGTTCTTTCGACCAAAGTACCATGCGGAAGCCTTTTGAAGACAATGGGCTTGAAAAAGAAATGGTACCCTCGCCTTTGGCCTTATAGTTTTGGGGAAGTTTGAATGGAATTGGCCACCTGATCTGGTTTTAAACCTGATCAGTTCAATTGATTTATCCCATTAAAGAGGCTTAGAGGGAGTTTGGGTCGCTATTGAAGACCAGGAGAAAACTGCTCTGTAGGAAAAAACCTGCAGCAAGGCATATGCAGCTGTGCGTCTGCAGAGCCCGTGTTCCTGTCGGTGCTTCGGGAGCAGAACCAGTATGTTCTCCATTCACTGCAGGGTGCTTAGGGTAGGCCGACAACAAAAAGAAGAAAGCATACTGTTTCAAAACAGTAGAGAAAGGAAAAATAAAGGCTTGGGGACTCACCACAGAAATCCCCCTCCAGTCCCTTATAAACAGTCCTTCAAAGTAAAGTAGAAGTTAAAGGAAAAAAACGAAATCAGAAGTCTCTTGCCGGACTGCAGTGCAGACTGGTCCCGCTCTGGGTCCACTGATAATGTCAGACTGGTCAGTGTACCGGTCTGGAAATGTCTCACCTTACACCGCGTGGCTCCTGGCAGGTATTTAAGGGAGAGATATTTAAAGGCCTGCAGTATGAAGATAGAATTACGGGTTTCAGAAAAGCACGGCACATCCAAGCAGAGTGGACAGTCACCTGGGAAAAGAAAAAAAAATGAATTGATTAATGTCAATATTTCCAGCCCCATTACAGCTCACAACCAATCATCAAATTATAAGAAACCGTTCAATAGTAATAAAACAGCTCTGGAGAGTGCTTGAGTAACTTTCCACGATGCACATATTGACAGAAAGGTATGGTGATTTTATAGCTTTGGCTTGCGGAAAACAGATTGTTTTTTCTATTAATAATAGACCTACAATACACAAAATGTTAACTATTTTCACAGTTAAACTTTCCTTGATAATTGAGGGCTTAAATTCAGTGTTATGCATGTTTTACCAGATACACAGCATTTGATACAGGATTATTGGGACACAAAATATTTGAAAAGCCAAAAACTTACAATTGCATAATGTGACACAACTGCAAGAAAGTTGTCCAAAAAACATTACGCGTTTCCAATGGTTAATGTAACTCCTTAAACACCTCTACCAACCTGTTTTTTTTTTTTTTTTTTTTTTTGCAAGCCCCTTTAATAGCCTAACCAATAATAATGAAGCGTAGAAACAAACAAAAAAAAAAACATTCACTCGACTATGACATTATGGCAGGTGTTAAGAGAGACAAAGAGAGTCTACAAACAGTTTCATCCAACGCTAAAAAATTTCCTGACGGCGGCTAAAAATATTCTACCATTAACAGAGGCGCTGCGTACATCCTCTGGAAACAGTGTGACACCACGATCAAGGCAACCCCGATGCAGAGAAACACTTCCTGTCCGGACCTTTCAAAATAAACATCGCAGCCCTCACAACTCCACTTGTTGCCTTAAATAAGACCAGCTGAATACAACGTTGACCTCCGAGAAAGACTTTCACCCCAAACTGAAAGTAAGTGTATAAAATGTTAACATTTAAAACCCATTATATCTGGGAAATTGAAGTTTTTATTGCCTACTTCTACAGAAATAGTTTCCCTTCACTGAGCAATCTAAATTAAAGTAAATACTAATTCAACACAAAAACTAATTTCACTGACGAGGATGCCATGGAGGAGTGTCGCCTAATATCTCCCCCATACACTGCATAAAAACAAGTAAAACGAACTCAAGTGAGGCTATTGTAATAACTAAAAGCTCTTATTTCGAAGGTCCGTCGACGTGCTTCGTGTCTCACTGTATCTCTTTTGACGCCGCTTTCCTCCGCCTGCATGTTGCGACATCCGCACACAAGACTTTTTTCCCCCCGCTGAAACAATCCTGTTTAGTAGTCCGGACAAATACAACCCGAACCCAACATGGCAAAGACGTAAATTAGTGCTCCCCTGGTCAGCGCTGAATAGACGAGCACCTCCTTTTCTATTCTGCTGCTCATTTAAACGAGGGCAGGGGGGCTTTCTGCCCCAAACACACCGGGGGCTTCAGCCCGTTGTCACTGCCAGCTATCACCACGAGTGTTAAACTCACACGTGTGAATGTAATATGACATTACCGGCTAAATGACCGTGTTTATTAGAGGTACAAGGTTTTCACTGTGCGTCCCCATGTGACACATTCCTTTAGATAAATGTGACACTAGAAGACGGTTTCTCGCTCTTTTTTTTTTTTTTTAAATAAAATACTCATTAAACATCCAGCAGCTAGTGCAATAATAATAATAATAATAAAAAAAAATCCTCGACGGAGGTTACCTTTTCTTGTGTCAGCAGTCCGAAGAGGAGACGCGGACTAACCGGCGTGATGAGTGTCTCCTCCGCCTCTCGGTAACGCGTTCAGGCTGAGGCGTGGACGCCGGTGCGCACGCCTTATGTACCGCACAGATGCCTTTAATGGTTACTGGAGGTTAATGGTTAAACCCTCCCTCCCGCGCAGTTAAGCTCGAACTTCCCAGTCTCTCCCCGACCCAGTAACATTTGTACCCGTCCAGTGGCCCCTGCCCGCCCGCCTGCTTTGATGCACATTTAATACACCCGTCCGGTGCGGGGGGCCAGGAAGCCAGAGGCGAGCCCTCCCCTCTCTCTCTCTCTCTCCAAACACTTTGGACTGACCGTACTCCCCGTGTCTCCTCCCTCTACACCCTCATGTGTGTAGAAATGTGTACCCGTGTGGTGCCACAAGCCTCAAGCCTACTAATTGACTAGCAGGGGGGCCAGAGACAGAAGTTTTAATTTAACAACAGTCCAGATTTGTGAATGAGTGAGCACACGCAGTATAAGTAAATGTCAGTACATCCTAACTAAGCCGGGCAGGATTTTTAGTCGCTGATCCACCAGCAAAGAGAATAAATAAAAGCATTACATAAGTCACAGTTTTGCAATTACAGCAAAGTGACCTGAGAATACACCAGAGCAACAACTACATTTTTTTTTTTTAAGTGACATAACACTTTAAAGCAAAGTAGAAAAAAACCCATCCTGATATTACTATAGCATTTTCTACAGGAACATTTAATGTGCATAATTTGTTTAGGAAAACAGAGCTTTTTTTTTTTTTTAATCAAAGGAAAGCAGCATGTGCTTTGTGTGTTTCTTAAAGGATAAATTGCACTCAGCTTCTTCTAATGCTGTCCCTGGGAGAGCAGAGGCTCTAACAAACGTCTCGAGAGGACTAACAGCTTTGTTGTGCCATTTGCCTGTTGCTAACCAGCCGCCAGGTTCAGCATCAGCAGCCCCAGCATCACTCAGAGACCAGAGGCTGTACTATTCAAACACATCCCCTATAGCTAGTGGAGCAATTGATGTTGTTTGTGGTTAACATGTACCTTTCTGTTTACACTTGGATTGTTCTCTGTGTCTATTGTTTATATTTACTGATTCAACTAGAGGTAGTTAAGTGTGTGCAGCACTGGGGGTCCAGGGGTACGTTTGAATGGTTCTATTTTGGTTAGGAAGGTCCCTGAGTGAAACTCCCCTGAAGTTGTTAACTGTCAGCCATGATAAGAGCTCTTCAACTCTCTGAATAATGAGAAATGGAGCGTCATTGTTTCGTTTATTATCTCCTTTCAAGGTTCAACAAGGTTGTCTTTATTATCCCTGCGAGAGGGCAGTTTGTTTTGCAGTCAGCAGTAAAACACACACATACATACAGCCTGCAATGAGCAAACAGCATAGAAAGGACAATAAATAAATACAATAGATAAGAAACAGAGGCAACACCGTTAGTGGTTTAAAAGGGTGATGGCAGCAGGAACAAATGAGTTTCTCATCCTCTTTGTCCTGCATGCTGGCAGGCTAACGGCAGCAACTTCAGATCCTTGGAGAAAGAACGACTTTGATCTGCCAAGAGGTCACCATGCAGAGTGTTAAAACTGATTCAATGAAACAGGAAAAAAAAACATCTTCATAAAAGTGCTGTCAGCATTAAAAAGACTTTTCAGATAACAGGATACACTGGACCATCATTTACAAACAGAGAGGAGAAAATAGGACCATCGATTCCTTGCGTCAACTTTATTTAAAGTGACGGACCTCTTGACCATTCATGAAAAAAAAAAAGAGATCAACATGATTATGGTAGATTTGAAAGCCATCTGCACTGAAATACACAATCACTTTCATTTAATCAACATTATGAGTCGTGTGGATTAATATGAGAGGAGAAGGGGGGGGGGTTATCAGAGCAATATTTTCAATGTTCCCAAAGTCTTATGATCAACTAAGTCCAAATGTAGAGATATGAAACGTACATTTGTTCTCAGATCATCGACTGTCACAGAGACTGAAAACTGCCTCATCCTGAGCAAATGTAGGCCTGCTGCTTCATTAGCTGTAAAGCCTTAAAAGAGGTCATATTTATCACTGAGGTGTTTTTATTCACTGCATCAAACAACAGGATAAGAATGCAGCTAGTTGTAGTCCATCTTTGGCAGATTGTCGTTTTAACATATCAGACCTGCATCTGTACAGTATAGCATTTTCCTATCATCTTATTCACACCTTTTCTTGACCCTGTGACATTTTGCATCTAGGTCAATAAAAAGTTCACATGAAAGGATTGTGAGTGATGGGGGTCAGACTTCATGACCCCAAGACAAAATTTCCTAAGGGGACAATAAAGTGTATCACATGGCATGGCATCATGTCTCAGCGGTTAACTCTAGTTGAAGGGATAATTTGATATTTTGGGGAATATGCTCATTCACTCTCTTGTTGAGGATTGTGTACATACAGCTGCAACTCTAATGTCTAGATGTTCATTTTAAGGTTCAACTAGGACGCAGCTATTTTAGCTTAGCACAAATCATGGAAAAAGAGGGGAACTGCCTACACTGGACTACATCCACCTTCCAGCACCTCTAAAGCTCAATAAGTGACACGTCCAAATCTTACCTTCAAAATCTCTATTAAATCTCTACTAAAACAAAGCAGCTGACCAAATTATCATTTAAAATCATGTTTTATTGACTGATCAAACAAACAAGATGTAGTGTGTTAGGGATCATTCTGTCAATGTTTCATATTTTATTGCATGTTTTTTCTAAGAAAACAATTACATAAGCAAACCCTGCGACCATGACATTTTGGATTAGAACATGGAATACGTTTGAGATTATGTCCCGTGATAAATCATCTCTCTTCACAGACCAATAACTAAACCTAAGCTTGTTATTCATTTATTTTCCGTGCTCCACATGTTTGCGTAAGGGGATATTTGCTATTGTTTGACTGTGATTCAGGGCTTAATGTTCATTGAAGATGTAGCTGTTTTTTCCAAGAATCAGGTTTGGTCTGTTATCTAGGTAACCCAAAAGGGGATAGTACCTTGACAAAGATTTGAGGGGGTTCCCCTGGGTTTTAACCGTTTTAAAAGTGTTCCCGATAGTTCTGCAGTTAAACGGCTTCCTGGAACAGATCTGTTTACAGATCTAAATTTAGACATCCTATTCAAACTGTGGGTGTTAGAATTAAGGTTGATGTTTGATTATCATGTTGTTGAGCCTTCTGAGATGAATGTTTGACTTTAATTTCCGTGTCTAGATTAAACACACCTGACTTGAACTTAACGAGGACTGTTATAAGATCAGAAAGAGTTATGCAATTGTTGAATTTGTTTTTGTCTTTTTCTTTTATTATCATTTAATTCTTTTATCATTTAATACATATGTCATAAAGTCATAACCTTTTTCTGCTTTCAACATTTCCTGTTAAACTTACACACACTCGTAGTGCCGACGCACCTGTGAGGTCAGGATAAGTGTGCCATACACTGAAGCAAAACCACATAGGAGCTCATAGGCGTATAGCGCTTCTGTGTATCTGCTCGGTTCACCAAAACCATATATAAACTTAGTATCACCTGGGTTATGAACTTGGTATGACCTGTGGATGTATCACGTCTCTGCGAACGTGCATTATTGAGGTGTTACAGGATTTGTAAAGAGACTTTTTGGCCCTGTAGAAAACCTGATCAAGGTTCTTTTTTGCTTTGCTAAATGACTCCACGTCACTCTGACTTTTGAAATCCCATTTTGGGAATTAGTCTCTGAGACCGAGATCTTTTAAAACCTCAAATGTCTACACTCACAGGTTCAGACTTTGATCTTCGTGTTTTGCTTTTCTTTTCCATTTCTATATTTTATACTTCTACTGTTATGTATTTGCACTTGGAATATCATTTGAAATGTTTAAATACATTTTCGGAAACTGAAATTCTGACTGAAATCATTCACACCACAAAGACTGGAAGTCCCCCTTAAGGACCCCGTGAACCTCGGAAAGGTAAGCTTGAGCAGTCACACCACGGCATACTTAATTGTTATACTGACTTTTAGTACACACTTCATACACACCTAACATCCTAGCGAGGGGAGTTCACAGTTATTCCCTCTCCGGGGGGTAATCTAGAGTCCTACACTAGGGGTTATTCTTGAATCTAATTATTCTAGAAATGAATGTTAGGCAGATAATCCTGGGGCTGTGATTATAACTTGTTCATCCGTCCTCCAAAGGATGTTAGTGGAATAATTTTTACATAGCTCCTTCCACTTGGAAATAGTAGATTAGCAGGTTGGTAGGGAGCAAGCTCTCATTTAGTTTACCAAATATATGTTCAAAAACACTGTAAAAGTGGATGTTTCATAATATGTCCCCTTTAATAGATCCTGATATTACAGGTTCAAGTTCTTATATTTGTCAATCTTTCCTACCAGACATTATTGGTAGAAGACTGCAACCTTTTAAAGTAAATCACGAGATATCCAACAGTTTGGTGGGGTGGACTGCCTGTTGCTATGGCCCAAGCAACCCAAGCCCTTCCAGAGGACCTCGGTCAGACACAGCTCATTTACATTTAAAGCTACAGACACAGAAACAGCCTGTTCTGAGCAGGGCTGAAATAGAGGGGTTTATAGACATGATCAAATGAATCTTTGGGCAAGAAACTTCCCAGACTTGTTTTGGGTACCTCTGAGAATCATTTAAACTTGTTGCAAAGGAAGATAATATGTGACCTTTCCAATAAATCTTAGAGCTCCTCCACTTCAGCCTCTGTCATTAACATACTCACTTTGTTTCATCATCATCACAGTTGCTAATGTTAAGTTAGACTGATCAATATTTTATCATTATTGATATTGATGCAGCTATAAATATACCTTTTTCATTGTGGTTGGGTTTGTCTCTTTTCCTTTCCTTCTTCCTGCAGCTGCACTATCCAAGCCCAACACAGGTTCAGTAGAGGACTGTTCAGCGTGAGTCTGGTTCTACTAAAGGTTTCTACATCTATAAAGGAAGTTCTTCCTTGCCACTGTAACTTTGCTAAATGTTGCGTAGTGCTGTGCTCATGGTGGATTCATGTAAGGTCTTTGTAGATCAGTGGTTCTCAACTGGTGGGTCGGGACTCAAAAGTGGGTTGTGAAGCCATTTTCAGTGGGTCGTGTAGATGTGCATGGAAGAAAAAAAAAGTGTCAAAAAGTCTATGAAACACTTTTTAAACACATTTATTTCGTTCAGTTTCTTTGTTCCATCACGTCTTAGGTCCAA